GCCTATGGCAGGCATACCATGCTGTAACACTGACTTCTAAACGATAGAAGACACAGAGATTTCTTGCGTAAGGTTAACTTGACAGAGGAGGCAGGGGATTAGACACAAAGGCTTTCCAAGTAACACGTTACAGTATTGTAAAGAATACTATATTGAGTTGAGCACGAAGCTCCTATCTAAGGAAATACTATCTACTTATATAGTGGCATCGTGCCAAAGGGATATCCGTGGATAACATGGATAACATAATATCCATGATTGTAATGGTGGGTGCATCAGATGTGAGAATCTAGCCACCCAAGGAAGGGATGATTTTACTAAGACAACACACTGTCTTAGGAAACAGAGCCAAAGGGTCGTAGCTTAGACTATTCCACAACGCAGCAATCAGGTGTATGATGTAGTGGAGTGGTTTAGACAAGTTGTAACAAATGTTGAGTCTGAGAACCCAGGGATAAGTCAGAGGTTCCTCACTGACTTTTCAGAAACAAGGAGTAACAAGATCAATGCTTGGAAGCTTGGAAAAGACGTGGAAGTATGTGATAGTCGATTTACTGTATTGTCTGCTTGCCCTTTCTTAAGGAAAGGGCAATCCTATTTATGCTAAAGGAGTGTAGTTCTCTCATTTTTCAAGACTTTCCATGACTAACCAGGCTTGGTAACTGTAGTCAACGTAAGAGAATCCCATAGAACCATCTCCTAGGTTCCTAGCCTATAGGAAGTGAAAGGAGGTCCAAGGTCAGAGTACCCCTATAGACAAATTATGTCATAACTTAACCAATCTTGTGGGTAACTAAGGAGCGATGACGTGTAATGAATCATAAACGGTTGTAGAAGCTTTTGGAGCTATCGTTCATGTTCCTAGGCCTCTAGTTGATAGAGATATGTCATGTGTAGTATTAGCCCAGTAACTAAGGAGTGATGTCATGTAATGAATCATAGAGGGTTGTAGAGATATGCTATGTGGTCATATCGGCCCAGTAACTAAGGAGCAATGATGTGTAATGAATCATAGAGGGTTGTAGCAATCGTTGAGTAGTATTGCTCTTGTTGTTGGTGTGACAAGCCAAAATATGTATAGTGACTTGTAGGTTTGAGGAGGAGATTTCTGTTACGATGGTCACGGAGGTCAAGAAGCCAGTCCGGAGAATAATAAGCTAGATTGGATCTAAAGAGAGAAGAAGAAGAAGAAGGAAGTAAGGTGAGGCTATTCCTCGTAATATACAGTTGTCCGCTTAGCAGTTGTAGCCTTGGTGGCTAAGGCTGCACCCGTAACAACTGTAAGCTATAATCATAACAATTTCTAAGTTTGCTCTTGAGTTTGATAGCAAACTGAGTGCAACGAATGTCAGTATGACAAGAGGTGGTGTAGTAGCGTTTGTTAAGGTTATAGAAGAGCGGGTGTGTAAAGTTGGTAAGTGTTTATATGCATTTTGAGGATTGAATGGATAAATACCTGCTCCTAACTATGCGCTTTAAATGTTGTATTGTGATATTGCTCGTAACCTTGCTTTGTAGTACATTTCTATCCATTCTACCTTTTGTATACGCCTTACTCCAACTCGTGAAAGTTGGTCTGTCTCATTTGCAAGTGTAGTCTTTAACGGCCTAAACACTGCAACATCAAGAGGTTGAAGAATATGTGAACAATAAGGCGCCATCTGCAATCAAAAGCTGTGGTTTGCCATCTGCAATTTCACAGGTTTCAGGCTCAAAAACTTGTTGTAACCACTGTAATTCATGAACATTTAACGTCCAACCTTTCATACTTGCTGAGAATCGCTAGTCATAAACGTGTGGATTTGTAGACCAAGTGCTGTCGATAGTTGTAGCTTTGAAAATTACAAGTGGTAGCAAAATGTGTTTATCTGCAGAAATGCACTTAATGACCAACACCCACTTTTGACAGCTAGGGACAACTTTCTAATGCATACATATAGTATAGTAGCATCAACTACTACACAGTTCGTTTGGCTTGTACTAATCCCAAAACCCGATTCATCCATGTTATAGATGTTACATAATGCGTAGTTCTGTTCTTGCGACTTTGCTTGCAACACTGCAAAACAATGTTCAAGTGGTTCTAACGTTGCTTCTTAATGTCTTGTAGACTCGATTTGTCGAGTAGTAATTGTAGCAAGCTCTATATGACGTTGAATAAAGCGTTGGATCCATTCTTTGCTAATTGGTAGGTATCGTATAATTTGAGATGACATGTAGTTAACGCGTTGCACTCTTTGACAAAACCAACAACTTTTATCTATAGTTGAAGAGAGTACCTTGGTTAAGTAGGTTTGCCAATTCTCATCGATAGGACGCCCTATTAGACACCAGCTAATAAGGAATTAGCAGAAGAAATCAGGATTCAAATGTAACGCATTAACGACACGTCATCTCAAATTGTACAATACCTACCAATTGACAAAGAATGGATCTAACGCTTTATTCAACATTATATAGAGCTTGGTACAATTACTACTCGACAGATCGAGTCTACAAGACATTAACAAGCAACGTTCGAAGCACTTGAACATTGGTTTGCAGTGTTGCAAGCAAAGTTGCAAGAACAGAACTATGCGTTATGTAACATCTATAACATGGATGAATCGGGTTTTGGGATTAGTACAAGCCAAATGAACTGTGTAGTTTGTTTGGCTTGTACTAATCCCAAAAGATGATGCGTCGTTAACACGTTGCACTTAGGGTTAGAAAATCAATTATAATCATGACTATAATCTATACCTTATTAGGCTTAGTTATTACCTAATTAGGTATAATTTATATAAGCGATAAGATAAGATAAGATAAGAAAAATGAAATGTTTCTAGAGAATTCTACAAACTTCTACAAACTTCTAGAGAGTTCGAGATGCTTATAAATGCTTATAAATATATCTATATAGCATATTCTAGAATCTATAATCTAGATATATATAGAGCCTTTAACTCCCTCCTTAACTAACTTTTCTATTAAAACAAAAGCAACAATAACAACACTTTATACTATCTTTACTATAACTATGTCTTCTTCTAAAGATCAATATAATAGCCCTAGCTATACTCTTCCTTTAGATAACCTTCCTTATATTTTTAAGGAAGGTCTCTTTACTAGAGAGTTAAATTTTATTATTGAAAATAAAGAATGAACACTTACTATTAAGTGTACACAACCTAGTTGTAGGTAAGTTAACTTTATCTTATTTAATTATATAGATTAATCCTTTAGACTATTAGAAAATAAATCAATCTCAATTTCCAATTCTACCTACTATAGCTAGGCGCTATTTACAAATCCCTGCTACTAGTGCTCCTATAGAGAGCTCTTTTAGTATAGGTAGCCTTATTATTTCAAAGATTAGAAATAGGCTTTCTAAAGACGTTTTTAGAGTAATAGCTTCTTTAAAGAGTCAGGATTTTATAAAGGAAGAAGAAGAGGATCTAGAAGAGGAATTTATAGCTAAATTAATACTTTAAGTAGTATTTAGATAGATTAATATATATTTGGTTTCCTTTTCTACTATACTAGATAATTACTTAGGCCACGTGATTCTAACATCATGTGATAATCATGAATATTCATGATTATGTAATATTTGACTAACTTATTTGAGTAGTCATGATTATGTAATATTTGACTATTTGAATAGTCATGATTATTATGATTATTTGTGCTAACCCTGGTTGCACTCTTTGAATCCTGATTTCTTTTGCCAATTCCTTTATTAACTGGTGTCTAATAGGGCGCTTATAGCTTACTAGAATCGACAGTTTACAAGCTTAAACGCACTGCAGAACGCTTTCAAGTTAATCGGATGACTTTGACACGTCGCGTGTCAGGAGGCTATTGCCAATTCTCATCGATAGGACGCCCTATTAGACACCAGCTAATAAAGGAACTGAAGGAAGAAATCAGGATTCAAAGAGCATTCGCCATTGAGAACGTTACCCATGTCCCAACCCCTGCCTTACCCCCTGCCTTACCCCCTGCCATCTCCGGATCCACCGACAGGCATAGCTTCGGGATCGACGCGCACGTATACTGTACTACACAGTGCACAATGTCTGTCTACTACCCCGTGGCAGGAGAGCTGATACTGTGCCATCATACAGTAGAGTAAGACAGTGCTGTACACTCCGAGTTGACCGAGCCGGCGAAAGTATCGAAAATCGACGCTATGAAATTGTCTCTCTAATGAATGACAAGGCGCTATGTGCGCTGCGAGAAGGCCGAGCTGGCCGAGCTGGCCGAGCTGGCCAAGCTGCCAAGCTGGCCAAGCTGGCCAAATATTGAAAGCCAAGTTGTGAGATGGTCTCCCAGACATGTAGATGATGACATGGCGCTGTACGACGCCCAGTGCCCGTCGCTCATGCAATCAATCATATGATCGGTAGCTACGACGTTACGGCAACTGCCACGAGAGTGTGGCGTGGCGCAGCTGGAGGGAGTTGATGGAGGCAGCTTTGCAATATAGTAAAAGTAGGCGGTAATATGTGGAGATGACAACTGAGGTACAATCGCTGGAAGTACGCTGCCCTGCCCTCCCTGAGTTACCTGACTGACCTAAACAAACGCAAAGTTAGTAGACTGCTATTCCTGTGGATTGGGCGTGCAGCAGATTCGTCGTAAGGTGTTAGATGAACTACGTGAAGAGAACAACTACCTCTAATACCTGCTCGATGAGACTGAAGCTAAGGCGCACTCCCTTTCACCACTCCAAACTTGATGGGGATATAATATACTAATAAGGAATCTGCACTCGAGAAACAAAACTTAAGGAAGAATATCAACGCCCCAACAAAGGTTACACGGCCACAAAAGCAGTCCCAAGCTTCAGCCCTCAAAGTGAAAGGCTTATCTGGGAAAATCTCGGGGCTTCATGTCAAAATGCGAATCTCGACGCGAAGGGTTGGTCCGAGAAGTTGGCAGTGCTTCATAGCGAGACGGTGCAGCTAAGTGAGAGATTCCAGACAATTCGCACTAAGAATGAATGCTTACAAAGAGGGATATCAACAGTCCAGCACGAGAAACCCCGTCTAGAAGAGCAGTTTAAATCCATGAGTCTCAAGGCAGATGGCTTGCCTGAGAGAAATACGACACTTCAAGACGAGAAGGCTCATTTAGAGGACGACGCTCTGACGCTCCGCAAGGAAAAGATACAGCTACGTGAAGACCTCCTTCGACAACCCCATCCGGGGGACGTTGGATCTCACTCAACCTCCCGGTCGTCAAATGGCCAAAACCCCTCTACAAGAGCTCTATCCCCATCATCCTCTCCCATTTCATGCCACTTCTTCTTTAGCGCCTGATTTTTCTCCACAACCTCCTCAAAGACCTCGTTCCTCACCCACCCATCCCAACTTACCCCACCTAACACCTGCTCTCTCCGGTACTCCACCAGAATATTCCCCTTGAACCAATTTTTCTCATAGAACGCCCCAGACTTCTCAGCAGCGAAACTCACGGGGCACTCAACTCTCCCGTGCCCTTCTAAGGCGAGTAAACCCCACCCATCGACGACGCAGCGCCCCTTGCAGCGTGACAGTATTGCCGGTCCACTGCTTTCCCGCGCGCTCGTGGGATGCTGGCGCTGTGCCAAGAGAGGTGTGCGCATCGCAGCGAGGTGGTCCTTGTTATCCTTGCCGTTGAAGATCATGTAGAGATAGAACAGCATTCTGCGGCGATGGAGTTCGTCAGCGTATTCTTTTTCCTCGGGGTTTAGCGACGCATAGTTCTCTGGGAGGCTGGGTGCTGCGTAGTCTTTGGGGGGCGGAGGATCCGGGTTCTCGAATAGAGGGTTGCCAAAGCAAGGACAACGGGGAGGACGGTGGTGTGCTGCCAGTCGATTATACATGATACCTTGCACTCATCTGAGACGAAGATGTTCGTCGGGTTGAGGTCTAGAGATCAATTAGCTTACAGACGCCATAGTGCCAGGATTGAGGGATATTTACCAGGATGACGCAATGTTGGTCGATTTAGCAGATTGTCTCTGCTTTTCGGCAGGAGATGAGAGTGCAGAGTGAGGTAATCATTGAGGAGCTCGGTATATGCCTCCGGAGCGATCTCTCCCTAGAGCATACCATTATGCGGAAACCCATGCATTCGAGTTCTTTTGCGCCTATTGCGCGGAGCTAGGCATCCGGATCTCGCCCCGTATCATGGACTGTGAGTGAGGTTATATGGCAATACAGAGGAGGATGTGGAATACATGCGAAGGACCCCGATCCAGTTCAACCCCAGCCCGTTTCCCACGCCAGAACATGTAGTCAGCAGTTGACCCAACACAGAAGCGCTCTGCGTCTCCTGATCCGTCCGGCGTATCAGGGGCGTAAATGTCTGCTTGGAGATGCGGCGGCAGATTTTCCTTGCAGTACAGACTACCAAATGCGTCGATGCGTAGGGAAAACAGCTTTCTCTCCAACTTAACATAGCTCATCACGAGACGTACTCTCTCCTTTGGACTTAGACTAAACCACCGATTTTCAAGTGGTTATCCGGGGGCTTTCTCCATAATGATGTATTCTGTACTGACGGCATTATAGTTTTTGGACGATCATGCATAGACGCGGGAAATGGGAATCCCTTTCGATTGCAGAAAATCGAGCGTGGCTACTTCACTCTCCGTCGCGAAGTGCTTTGGTACTGTCGGATGGTAGGGGATCTTGACTGTGACCTCAAACCCATCATCCATAGTGAGGAGAAAGACCCTGTTAAACCCGCCTTCTGGGAGTTTCTTCATATGTGATACTCTTTTTTTGCCAACACTCTCTGCCGCAACCGCTTTGCTCCTTGATGTTAAACTCAACATATCTCTCTGCCAGCCGGCGCTTCTCATTGTAGAGGTAACGACCAGACGTGTAGGAAAACAGCTCATCCTACTGCTCTTTCGGATTCACCAAATGTCATCCGCTTATTGCAGTAAACCCCCGAGTAGGGATGGCACGGCGGCTGTAGGGATGGAGTCCTGGAGCACGTGCGCTCTGTACCAGAGATGGGGGGCCAGGAGGCCCCTCGACGAGCGTACGAGATAGGGTGCGCAAAAAGCGCGAGAATTCATCATCGTGATGCGTTAATTGAGTAAAGTATGAAAAATATCCAATTGGTTTCTCTATTAGAGAATGATCGGTAATGTCTCAAGCTTCTGTCTTCGGGCGTGTTGTCAATTAAAAGAGTGTTACGCAATGGCCACCTTTATAAAAAGAGTGAAATGTTCCAAAACTACTATAACAATCCCAACTTTACTGAAAACACTTGGCACCTGTGCTATCTTACAAGCCAGGGCGTAGTTTGTCATGTCGTGATGCGGTCGTGAGAGAATGTGAAGTGCCAGGAGCCTCGATGAGCGATGCCTCCATCGAAGGCTTGGCAAAAGGGGAACGACAACAAGACTCCATCCAAAACCAACAATTTAAAAACACTACAACGGTGCAATGCTTTCGCGACATAGAAAAAAGGGGCTTCTCAAGCTAGGATAGGGAATTATGTTATGCTGTAAATGGATTTATAAAAGGCCGGGGCGAATTGGAGTTTCTGGAGATAGATTTGCCTTATAATAAATAAGCCGGGGATAATTATGACCCTCCTTGGCAGCACCCACAAACAATGTTATCAAATACCCAGGTAGCTGAACTACAAATAACAGACTTTACTCTGAATCAGGCCGGCCCCTTGTGGCACTGGGACTGACGGATTAAGCCTGTGATAGCACAAGATTGTGATAGCAAGAGTAAGTGACACCAAGAGCAAGTGACAGCAAGAGCAAGTGGCAGCAAGAGTAAAAGTCAAACCCAATCATAGTTTTAGGCTTGTTTGGCTGAGGTGACTACTCTCTTCAGTAGACTGATGTCTTGAGACATCATCCCACGTGAGTTGGCGCAGCCCACCAGTAAAGACGTCCATAATCCACGTTTTAACTTTAAATCACAGCAAGAGCATGCGGCAGCAGCGTATCCGGGAAACAAAATCGCAGACTATATGATGGCTGGCCGGGTTAAGTATTGCTTGCATCGTTACAGTCTTATTCTTCCTCTCCTACTCGGCAGTATCCGCTTTTCCATAAACGATTGAGCTGATGTCTGTAGCGGTAAGTTTTCGTTCACTTAGTGCCATAGAAAAATTATATTCCAACGAAGGCAGACTTCAAACTTGTGCCTTTATGATTCATGATATATAGATCAGCCATTTTGTAGCATCCAGGCTCAACATAAGGTAGGACAGATCCAGGACCTCATCTCGGAACGGCCGGCTCGCTCCCCACTCCACCACTAATTCAACGTTCCCCAAAGCGACCCTCGACAATAAATCGCCACCACGTCCAAAAATGCAGTACAGATTCTAAAACATTGCTTGATCTCTTCAATTCTACACTCTTAAGCATGCGGCGCGAGGCCGATCGTGTTGTTCCCGCCGTTGAAGACGACAAACTGCGACTTGAAAAAGATATCACCGTAGATCTGGAGATGACCAGTCGTGCGCTGAACACCGCCAAAGCAAGCTACAGGGAAAAAATTGTTAGTAATTTGTGCTAAAAAAAAGTCTGTAAAAATCAGGAAAACTCACTATCCACGTTCACCTGGGCGAAGTTGATGAACTTGCCCTGGATGGTCGCCGTGTACGTCCCGCCAACATCGATATTCAGATCCGGCAGCACCGAGTTACACGGGAACGTGATCCCGCCCACCTGCGCGTTGTTCACAGCGCCGGCGACCTGGCTGTAGTACGCGTTGACGATAGCGGCGTTGACGAGCATCAGCGTGGTGCCCGTATCCGCAATTGCAGTCCCGCCAATAGCGTTAAGCACCTCCCCGTTCCCAACACTGAACTTAGTCGACTTGAACTCCCAGAATCCGTGCGAGGAGTCGATAGGCGCCCATGTCAGGTCGCCGGTGAAGCGCGCGGTGTCGATCTTGCCGAACTCATAGGCGCCGACGGCGTCCTGGCGAAGGTCGGCGGTGAAGACCGGCTGCGCGAGGGTGCCCATGGCGTTGTCGAAGAAGGTTTTCTGTTTTTGCGGCTTTACGGTGTTGGTTTTGGAAAAGCCGAGGCCGACGAGCCCGTTGGAGTTGGTATCCCGGATGAAGGAGTTGGAGACGATGGTGGCCATCTCAATGGCCTGGCCCGTCACGGTTGCTCCGCCAATGTCAACGGTGTCGGTGCCAACATTGCCGGCGGCGCCAGACCCATCGCCGTAGGAGATATCGAATGTGGCTCCTCGGATGAGCTTGAAGTCTGGGGACTTGGTGGGGTCGTAGAGTGTGTGGCCTTGGCTGCTCCGTGCGCTTAACTGCGTATTGAACACCCATAGATCCGAGGAGCCAGTGTCGAAGTTCATATCGATTAACTGCCCACCAATGGTAACGGGTGCTATGTACTCGAGGTCATTGGGCTCGACGGGTGTGGCGGTGACGTTGCCGACGCCGCTTACCTGGGGGGCAGCGGCTTGTACAGTTCCATTTGTAATTGCGGTGCCATTTCCAGCCGCAGTGCCAGCTCCAGCCGCAGTGCCAGCTGCAGTTGCGGTGCCATTTCCTCTCCCAGCGCCATGGTTATTGTCCTTCCTATGACGATTCCCTACAGACAAGTGCAGTCCCTCGGGGACAGTCATGCCAAATTTTTGATACGCCTTCATGAGCTGGGTTGGTCCATCATATCCCTTGAAGTCTGGGTTTCGCTTCCGGTGGACCTTGAACGAGCGCTTTTGGATTCGTGATGTTGAGGGCGTCGGGATGGCTAAAACGAAGGCGGCAAAGACGGTGACAAGGATGAGGCTATAGAGTTTTGAATGCATGGTGGCTGTTGTATGGCTAGGCGCGGCTAACCGTTGAAGAGAATGAACGAAAAGACCACACCAGGTGGATAAGTATGAATACAAAAAACAACCAAAAATTTATACAATATTGAAATGAAAGACAGGGGAAGACCGTGGGAAAGGGGGTCCAGAGAAGGCGAGTTGAGAACAAAAGGAACAGACGAAGGTGGGAAAGAGAGAGAGCAAATACTTTAGACCCCACATGAAGACCAAACGATAAAACGATTCAGCCAGTACCCATTGTGGCAACCTGAGTAGTATCAGCGAACGAGGGTAGAGAAGCAGTGCCGAGCCCCAGTAGAAACCCCCCATCGCCTTCCCCTGACGACGCATCGAGCAAATCGAGACCCTCCTGAGACTGAGACGGAGGTACAACCCTTCCACGCGTTGGGTACGACTCCAACACACGCCCAACGCATGGCTTTGAAAGTATTACAAGAAGTCACCCTTGGCCGAAACCACCCAAATGCTTCTTTTCAGGAAGCGACGTCGACTCGACTGATCGTCTCGGGGTCCTGCAGGACGAAGGATCGATTGGGCAACCGCGCGTTTCTCTTCGCGCGCCCCACACGCGAGTCTCGACCGCCACGACCGCCAGGGTACGTATATGGCTTCCACGAATAACAGCCGCCGTCTGAGTCGCAGCGATCGGGGGAGGGGCGATCGCCTACACCCAACCAGGCAAACCTCCCCGCGTAAGACGACTTGGCTGACGCTTGTACATGTTTTATGGGGTCGAGAGCACGCTGGCTGGCTGTCCAACAGGACAACCAGGCACTCGAACGGAGGCGCTGGGAGTTGTATTGATTCCGCATGCTGCACTTTGGCCTTGCGAGTGGCCCGCCAGACTGCTTAAGCGGAGACAGAAAGGACGCGGCGGCGGGTAGGGCTTTGTTAGGGCCTCCAGTGCCGCGTTTGAACCTTGGTTAACGCGCAATGGTTGGCGAGCTTCCAAGCAGGAATTGAAGAATCTGTGGAGTTGGTCGTAAGCTCTCTGATGGCGAATCGAGAGGAGTATGGGATTTCTTTTACGCAAGTCGTAAGCCCAGACATCAATGCGACAGATCTACGATGCAATAAGAGTTATTGTATTTGTTTCGCTCATTTATACACCAACCAGAAGTTTCTCCCGGGTCCTAAATATCTACAGCGCCGTTCATCCGTTGTCCTACCCAAAAGCATTTGCACACCCTTCCCTTGCCAACATGAAGCAAATTCAAACCCGCGACACCGCTCCTAAAAAAGATTCTTAGGATTAGCCTGAAAAGGGGCAAGAACAGACCCACGTAGCTTCGCTGTGCTCGCGGACAAACGCAAACTGCATCTTGGTATCTCGTGCCTTCCCCTCGCCTATCTATGCTAGCTCTCATCTCGTGTACGTACGAGTCTAGCTATAGGTCTGTAAAACTGTTCAAAAAATGCGAATCGCTCCATCGTATCGTAACCTCGTAATATAGACCTAACCAAGCCACTGAGGTAGCCAGCTTATCGGCCTCCCTCGCCAATAAATTCATGCGGTGTTCTAGATCTCAGCCTCTAGACCCGCCCTATCGTCGATCGCATTGGCGTGGTGGGGAGCTCGATCTCGTCATCGCTACTATCCGCGTTCTCCATTGTATCCAGCATGCGATCCAGCTCATCCTCGCCGAGCCTCCCTCTACCCACAACTCCAATTCTCCTCCTTCCTCTATACCGTGCCGTCCCAGTCTCATATGCTCTCGGCATCACGCTGCTATCATCTGACTTCCCATCGCTCGTCCCCTGTGCCCCAAACTCAGCTTTCAACGGACTCTGCATCCGCGATCCCTGACTATGCGCCCCGGGAAAGTTATTTAACATAGGATTCCCCGGGCTGCTCATGAACAAGAGCGTCTCAATCGCATCCTGTTCTTGCAGCGACTTCTGCGTCGGCGCCTGTAGCACGCTGTCCCCTCTATGTGAGGGCTTCGTGTCCTGCGCAGGCGTATTCGGTGCTGCGCCGCCGGACGATAGGCTGCTTTGGCTAAGGTCAGAGCTCGCGGCGCTGAGCATGTGGGGTTTTGAGGATTTCACCGGGGAGTGGCGGTAGTTGGGTAGGGTGCGAGAGGCTGAGGATAGTTCGGCGGAGGGCTGGAGAGATATTTGAGATGATGATGGGGAGGAGAGGGAGGCGGATAGTCCGATTTGTCGTTGGCTTTGTTCACGCCAGAAGGATTCGTAGGTCCGTGACGATGGTTGGCCCTCGGATGTGGATTCCTGGGAGTCTGTTGGTGCGGCAGGGTTGGGATGTGGCTTGGGTGATACGCCGGAGAGGCCCTGGAGGCTTGCAATGGTACCGCGTGGTGATGCAATAGTATTTCGCCGGCCATTAATCGTGGAGTTTGATGGTGTTGGTGAGCCGCTTTGTGATGCGAGCGACTCGACTTCGTAGATAGGTAGAGATTCCCAGCCCTTGTTCACCTTGACCATTGCGTAGGAGAGGCGCGTTCGCAATTCAGATGTTAGTTCTCTTGGGCTCATAGCCGATGGGGCCGCGCTCACGGCGCTAACATTTCTAGTATGCCTGCCTTTGCCGTTAATCACCGGGCTGTCCGACGAGCTTGACCCCGACGACCGTCTCACGTAGCCATCAATAGTCCTTTTCTGCCCCGCATTCGTCGCAACTGCCAACGGTGGCATCTCAGCAACACGCGTCGATCCATGGGCTTGGTCGTGTGACTGACTCGAAAATCCTGAACTGGGCGGTGTGTCGGCGTCCGGGACCGTAGACTGCGAATTGTAGCTGGACATACTCTCGAGCGCATTATTAGACATCTGTGAGCTCGCCAAAGCGCTATTCGTACTGGTAGGTTTGATGGCGGTTGCGTGCATTGCGCCACCCGCGATGTCATGCGCTGCTGCAGGCGATGAGGCACCATCTCGGGGACGCGAATCAACGACCACCGCTTCACCGAGCGCCGCGACTGCCAGCTTGTGCGCGCTCATCATCGTTCGCTAGCGACCTTTCTCAACTAATTGCCGTATTGCTAACTCTCTGCTTCGAGAGGGACCATAGGTGGGTGTCAGCCTAGATATACGTAGGTCTATCGTGGCCTGAAGTGTTTGCCTGCGAGGCGTCCTTCGCGCGACTACCGGCTCGAGTTACGCGGCTGGAACTTGTCACTCGGTCTTTGTTGTAGTCCGCCCGCGCGACGTTTGCAATTGGCATTTATTCTTTGTGGTTTGCCAACGATAGCGACTGAACAAGTGATAGCGCCCGAGAGACGGATTTAGTATTTATTACGAATGATTTGATTGAGATTTCCGAATATCATGCAATAGTCGTGTTCCCAAGGTGGTGGGATGACACAACTAGCGTCATTATACACGTTGTCACATGACCAGAACATGGCTAGAGCTTAACGCTATTCCAATCTAAGACTAGGTTGAAGAATCTTGGGATGAAGACGATGAAACAAACGGATTCATAGAATTTTTGTTACAATATTAGAAGCCTTGCTGGGCATTCTGGCCTATCAACCTAGTCTCATGCCTCTAGTTCTAAAAGATTGAAACCAAATATTCAATTTCAACAAATCCATAGCTTTACCGCCATTCGCGACGCAAAAAACACCCATTGGTATCAGATCCCTCCTCATATGTATCATCCTGCCCGTCTATAAACCCCTAACTTTCTTCCATATACAAAAATCAAGATTCCGCCTTCTGTCCCTGCTTCTCCTTAAGAAAGCTCTTCATAAGCTCTTTCAGTTCTCCCAATTCCTCCCTCAATTCCCTAACCTCGACCGTAGCTTGGTCAAGGTCCACATTGCTCTTCGCACTCTCGACGCTCTTCGTCCACCCCTCTCCTTCAAGATCCAACTCACTGCTATCCAGCTGCTCCCACTCTTCGATCGTATCATCGTCGGCCTCTCCACGCTTTCTGTTGCTCGTCACATCCCTCGCACTTCGCATCTCGAATAAGGCGGCGACAATAAGTAGCGGAGCGTATATTACTGCCATGACATAGTCGTTGAGCTTCATGTATGTACGCTTCGATATCCACCACTCAAATGGTAGGATGAGTCCGAAAATCTCGATAAGATTAAAGGGTGCGATAAATACGTTCTCATCAGGTGCTCTCACATACTGCATCGTCTTCTGTGCAAAGAGAGCCATGTACTCGTCCAAGGCGTTCCCGGTAATGTCCTCATATGCAGAGTTGTACAGCGCGATAAGGATGTTCAGTAAAATGACCATAACCGTGAATGTGAAGATATAGTAGAGGATGATTCCGAATGGCGGTGCAAATGCATCGAAGCCACTGAAGTCCGGCGAGCCAAGAATAGCATTAGCCATGTTCTGCAGGATGAAAACTGTCGCGTCGCTCTTGTTATCCACGTTGTCCATGCCGATAAAGGCTTGTAAGAACCCAACAATGACCACAATTAAGAGGGCAAAGAAGATCAACGACTCCTTCATCATGACCTTCAGAACGACAAGCATAGCGCCGAAGAAGCGGAAGGTATCCATGAATAGCAGCAATCGACCCCAAAACATAGGGGCTGAGAAGGCAAGGAAATTATACGACAGCTCGTTGAAGCGCTCTCGCTGGCCATCATGGTCATCTTCGATCGGATGAGTGAGAGCGATGCATCGAGTTACGAATGAGATCGTGAGAAGAGAATACAGAATAAGATTGAAAACGTTCCAGAAACCGAGATAGAAGCGCCCGACTTTCCAAAACTTGGAAAACTCGTCACAAAGGAAGCCCAAGGTGAAGACGTAGAGGAGAACCTCAGTAATATCGAGATCACCAGTTGGGTTGACCGTGTTAATTGCTCCGGTATAGAGGCCGAGGTAGACAAGAGAGACAATGACTTGTGTAGCATTCTGATAGATTGGTGCGCGCATACGATCGGGGTTGAGATGTACCCAGTAGTTCGGGTTCGCCTTTTGCTTGTAGTAGACAAATGTGGTGGCATCGTTGTCGTCCTGCACCAGCCAGCCTTTCCACAGGTATTTCACGGTCTTCTGATACCCAGATGATCCAATGACCCTCAGTGCATGTAAATCAACGGATTTTTCAATCACGTTGGCTACTGCTGTCTGGGTGCCGTCGTTGATAGTGGCGTACCTCTTCAACATGACTTCCGACATCAGATATTCCATATCTTCCTCACCCTCAATACTGCAATACGGTCAGCTTAGAGCTCATGCATCCCAACATACATATCCCTGGGCACTCACATTTGCTTCGCGATAACCTCCGCGGCAGTTGCCCGCACATCATGTAGCTCCGCGTCCCAAATCTCCAACATTGCCTGCCTCTTAAACCATCTCTTATTCACCAGCAAGGCGTAAACCACGCAGGCACCGTACTCGGTCCCACCCGCTTCTTTGGCTGCCTGTATGACCTTGTGGGTGATAACCCGGCTGTGCGCCTTTGTGATGAGGTCTTCCTCTAGCTCACAAGGTACGCATTGTTCGATCAAATAGCGCAACCTGAGCGCGACTTTCGTGACTTCCTCCGCTGGAATTGCCGATGAGAGCGACTCCTCATGGTAACTAGGTAGCACTGGTGATAATTGTTAGAGGATTGGGCTGGATTTCTGCTTTACTCACGGGAGTAGAGGGAATGCATACGACGACTGGTCTCGGACGCGACATGGGATCGATGCCCGCTGTCCCAGAATCTTGTCCAACTGGAACGCATCTTGAATAGCAAACAATCGTTTCTCGAGTCGACGTTCGATCGACTCAGAAAGTTCCACAGAACTGCTCCTGGTTATTACAGAAGAGAAGAGTGCGTCAGCTTCCACTGTTGGCAGAGACAACTCGGCGCAGACACGGGAAGAGCCCGTTAGTACAGTATAGCGGCGGGTGTTTGTTTAGTGCTGGTACGGCCAATGCTATGACGTCGCGTCAACTAAAAATGCGGGATGCGGGGATTTTCAATGCAACGGTGCGGGGACCCTTTCAGCACCCTGTACAGCTGAACCAGTTCTTTTAAAGTGCTTATATTATTCTTGGCTTCTGCAATATAATATTTTCTGATGGGCACTTCTGTTTGCTACGTGCCTAGATCACTCTTCTTTTCTCGATAAGAGTCCATGAAAGACATTATGTTTATAAGTCGGTCATCGTCGTGCGCCAATCAATACCTTCATCCTCATGTCTTCGCTCCCTAACAAATCTCGAACTCCCAAATATATCAGCCCAAAAGGTAAGATACGCCGCTCAGAGAACGCCCTTTTGGTTCACGATTTGCCTCCTGTCACCTCCCCACCTGGCCATTTTCATAGGCTCCGGCGAAATCCAAGTGCTCAATCATACCCGTAACCTGATCGATCTCCTTGCTCAGATCCTCCATATTCATCGACAGGCTGGAAACCTCGTCGAATTTCCGCCTTTTATTCGCATCGGCGATCATTTCACTAACCATAAACTTCTGCTCTTCTAAGACAATTAACCGTTCTCGTAGCTCCTTCTCTTCCGCTTCCATAGCCAAGACAGAGGAGCTACTGCTCATCTGGCTCGCAGAGTCAATGTCGTTATATTTGATTGCAGCAAGGGCGCCACCACCACCGTTACGCGCCGGCCTTGGGTTTCCGGACCCATGAGGCGAGGCATGTTTGAGTAGTTTGGGAAGAGATTTCAGTGGCAGCATATGGAGGTGCAGGAAATTCGACGCTTGTTGGTATATTGCTTTCTGCAACTTAGCCTCCGTCTCGTTCGAGGTCGGGAGATCCCGTATGCGTTTTGCTGCCATATCGTACTTTCCAAAGGAGTCAATCAGCCGCTTTCTTACTTTAGCTGCTTCAGCCAGCTGTGTGTGAGATGGAGGCTGATCGGGATCCTGTAACATCGGAAGCGTCTTCTGGAAGCTAGCCAGAAGTGGCCGTATACCTCGCTCAAACTGTATCAGGTTCTCGTAAGACTTTTGCACTGTAGGTTTATGCACCAATTCGGCCTCGAAATCTTTCCTGCTGAATATCGTTGTTCGACAATCTCGGCACATCCTAACATCAATATTCATATTGCCTGGTGGGATTTCTGTATCAATGTAAGCTTCTGCATGATAATGGTAGCCTGCGAACAAGATTGGAACATGCATACTTCTGCTGACGTTTAAGCCAATTTCGGATGAACATCCAGTTCGTGAATCAGCACATACAACACGACCGCATATCCTGCAGTGGTGCCTCCTAAAAGTCCAGTTGCCAAATTCTTGCTGGCAGAATGGGCACTTTGCCACTTTTGCATCTTCTTCCCACCTAACCACGGATTGCTCGATAGCTTTCCGTGGGTCGTTTCGCGAGCCTGATAAGAGACCTCCACCGCTTGCAACTAAATCTTCGGGCGGATTTGCCAGTAGCTGCGTGAGTTTCGAAAGCCTCTTTTCCAACCTTGAAATTTCAAGGTGGTGCTTGTCAACTTTCTGCCTCCGTAGTGCCGCGAAGGCATCCGTATGGTTCTTGATAAGGTTGCTGTGGTCGTTATATCCTTCCCTTGATTTGTAGCACGTTTCGCAGCACCTGCACCAGAATCCCCGGACAGGTTCGTGTTGTGCTGATCTCGACAGCTTCATTTGGTACATGGTATGGTCTTCGCAGAAAAGGCGTCCGCATTTCCTACAGTTGATGTTGCCATTGACAGGACCCAGCCTCTTGCCGCATGACGGCTCTGTGCACACATCATTGTAACCGTTCTTCTGCCAGTGCGTTCGCGTGACAACCTCGTCTGGGTCGGGCTGCCGGACTTGTTCCACCGATTGCTGTGGTCTATGGATAGAAGATGATGTAGTTTGTATAGGCATTACCGCGAGGGAATCGTTCGACTCGAAGACATCAAGTCCCTTGAGCTTCTGGTTTATTACCACCAACGGCTGGAACTTCTTCGCTTTAACAACCTGCTTCTCAAACCAATTCTTCACCTCCACTTGCTCGACCGGCGGTAGCTCTCGGTGGTCATCATCTAGATGTCGATTGAGTTGTAACAGAGTCATCTGTCGCGCACTTTAGTAGGGTGTCTAGAACCTGGAGCCTGGGACATTACCATCTCCTCGTTGCATATAGGGCAAATAAGCTTCGTGCTCCCCGTATTCGCCTCATTGCCATCATTCCTACTATCTAAGCTCACTCGTGATCCTAAATCATTTCTGCCATGCTTCAGCGGGCTCGTCCCCAGCGTGCTCACATTTGAGTCGACGCTGACAACGCTCTCCCCAATGCTGAGGAGGCTCGACGACCTCGTATGCGACGACGTGTTCGGCGGCGCCAGCGACTTCCCGCTCCCCAGTATCCTCCCGCCTCCAAGCTTCCGCGCGGCCATGGCGGGAGTGGATACAGCGTGATTCTTCACATTCGGCTCTGGGCGAATGGTGATGCCGTCAGGGTCCCGCCGCCTCACTAACCCCAGCAGGTGGTGTTGTTGCTTCGCCAAGAGTGCCTTATCGCTTATCGGTCCTCCTATGGAAATACCTCGCTCGCGGGGCACTTGGTGAATCATAGCTTCGCCACAACTAGAATATGACGTCGCCGTCTCCATTCCCAGAGGTTCAGGGAGGGGGGTCACTGTTATTGGCGTGGCAGATTAAGAACAAGAGGGTTCTTGTGGTGGGAGGGGGCGAGGTGAGATCACTTGTGTCCAATTCGCATGGGCGATGTCTAACTGACTTTCGTAGGTTGCGGCTGGACGAATACTAAATGTACTCAATGCAGATGCGAAGGTCACTATCGTCTCGCCGCGGAGTGGGCTCAATAAAGAGGTGGCATACAGGATAGAGCAAGGCCAAGTCGACTATGTCGACCGTAAATTCGAGCCCTCCGACCTCGACGGTGCCGATATGGTCCTGACCGCGGTCGACGATCCAGAAGCCTCGACCCAGATATGGAAGTTATGCAAGGAAAGGAGGATTCCCGCAAACATTGCAGATGTGCCACCAGAGTGCGATTTCTACTTTGGAAGTACGCACAGAGATGGCCCGCTGCAGGTTATGGTGAGCACCAATGGGAAGGGGCCCCGTTATGCGAATATAATGAGGCGCTCCATTGCTGCGAATCTGCCGACGAATGCTGGGGGAGGCATAGAAAAGGTTGGAAAGCTGAGGGAGATGCTTCGAAAAATTGCACCGCGACCAGAGGAAGGTCCAAAGCGAATGTCTTGGTATGTCAACGGTTGTTCCTGATTCCCCCAAATTACTAATGTGCCGAAGGATGATAAAGGTCAGTGACGCGTACAGTTTGGACGACTTATGTTCCATGACTGAGGATGAAATGGCAAGGCTACTAGAATTCTATGGTCCTAATGAGGCCCCTACACTTGAATCTATAAAGGCTTTGAACAATAATTGATTGTTAATACTGTATTATCTCTACTACCTGTATGCAAATTAGCAAGGCGCAATAGACAATCATAAGTTAAAAGATGAAACCCAATTCACGAAACAAATGCATAACATCTGGGCATTTATAATCAATCATTGATATATTGCCATTTTTGTGGAGGACCATATAACGTATCGTACAAAGCAATACAATCTATTTAGTGTATTACAACCGCTCCTCATAACCATATGCAGTTTTACCATCCGCATAACCAGCTCAGTATAAACAGGATTAGAACCAACGATGCCCAAGTCACAGCAACTTGTCATCATCCGCAAATTCCGGGGGGTTAGTCGCGGCGGCTAGCCCGTCTTGACCTTGACGGGTTTGGCTCGCGAAGCATTCCATCTGGTGAAGTCGTCCTAGACGAAGGAGGAATCCCAAGCTTTGTTTCCCCTACTCTCCTGAGGAGGCCTTGTAGCGCTAGGCGGACATCCACACCCACATCCTTATTCAGGAGGTCCACAGCTAGTGGGTAGAAGACGGTAATTTGTTTCGTAAACCCATCCTCCGGGAAGTTGGTATAACCCTCAATCACATCAACAACCACAGGTCTCCACGCGATGATGTTTCGTTGCTGTGATTCTTCATCCAACAGTGTATAGCTACGGATGATGTCTGCGCATAGAGGGACAAGCGCTGCCTCGGTGTCGTTGCGGCTGCGCTTCCTCTCATCGCTCTCGTCATGATACATCCTCAAAAGGATACTGACATAAGTCGAGGCGCTTCCACTTTCCTGCTTCAGCAAGTTCGGTGGCTGTTTCATGAAGCCTTCTCTCCACAGACGCATTCGCAAATCCTTGTCGTTGTTGAACTTCTTTGCGAAAAGGAAACTCGACTTCAACAAACCCATGAGGCGCAAAAGTTCAGGGCTTGGAATTTGAGCATATACTGCATCGTTTGAAAATAGCTCGTTGACCGTTTCAATCATCAGCAGCTGCAAAACGCATTGAGTGATAATCTGGTTGAAGAAGCGACGACGGGCTGCTGTAACCGGAATAGGCTGCTGCTGAACATCACTCTGCGGTTTGTAGTCTTCCAATCCCGATGCTGAGTTGGTCGCCGACGGGCCTGCTCCCTCATCGTCCAACATACTTCCTGAATCTGACCCGGCGGAGCCGTTGGCTCCAATTGCTCCGTTTATTTTCAAGGAAGAAACCCCAGGGTTGTCGCCACCATCTGCATCGACGGGTACATTTTCGAAGCCAGTTGACGAAAGAGATGGAGTGGACGGATTGGTCGCAGCGGAGAAAAGTTCGTATGCGGTGGTCTTCTTGAAGAGGTTGACAAAGCATCCAACCACCTTCGCCCAGTGCTCGGGCTTGAACTTCGTCACGTTCTGCAGTATAAGTTGCTGCAGGCAGTTGCTACCGATCCTTGCAATTGTATCATTCTCTTGACAGATGCAAAGTGCCAAAAGGTCCAAAAACCTATCCAGCATATATTCAAGGGCTTCGAAATAGTGCGTCAATAACGTGATCATACTGCGAAGTGCTTGGATCATGGTTGTCGATAGCCATACAGAGAGTTCTTCATGCTTTAAAACATTCGAAAGCTCGGACTTGGACTTCAACACCATGAAGATCGGGTACAACAGTTGCCTCCAAACAATGTCCCAGAAATCAGGTGGGAAGTCACCACCGTACTTAATGAGAGAATCGAAGAGGTAGTTGAGAGAGTTCGATCTGATTTCGAGATCTTCTCCGGTCATGAGCACATCATGGAAGGCAAATAGGACTGGGAACCAGAAAGCCTCTTCTTGCGAGGCACGGCTTGGCTCGTTCTTCGGCCCATCCTTCGCCGGGATTGACCCGTCAGAATTGGCCGTAGATCTTAGGGAGAGAGGGCACTCGGGTGTCTTTAGCATCTTTGGGATAATTGACTTGAGCGTCTCCATGGCTTGAAGACCCTTCTTTTGGAACCTCATATTCTTTGAGAATTCCGTGAGACAAACGACGAGATCGGGGAAAGCAGCTTGGGAGATGACAACACCAAAGCGGGTCTTGTAGACTTGGTTGACATTGTCAAATGCAAGATTGACAATGCTCTCATACGGCTCTCTTGCCGCCACTGTGAAAACCGCGAACATCGTCCTCCATCCAGAACGGATATTCTCACCACGTGCTTGGATCATTTGAATAAGACAACGGAGAGCCATGTCTTTCACGGCAACCACATTGCTGTATGCCATGACATGCTCGAAAGGCTTGAGGAAATCCTTTTGGAACTTGAAACCAGGAAGCTCCTCCATTTCCATGAAACGCATTGACAGTTGTCGCAAAGAATCGAGGGCAAAGAATACAACAGCGGTGTTATTATGGGTGCCAACTTTGTTGAAGTGCTCACCAAGAATAACCCAAATATTTGTCCATTCGAAGCGAACTCTGGTCATGTTGTAGTAGCTGATTTCCACGAGCTTTTGGAGACTGTACGTTCTGGGCGATTCATTCTGACCCGATATTTTGATCTCTTCCCAGCTGACTTCCGTCAGGGCCCTGACAAAGTGGACAATGGCCTCGCCTGATAAATTCGCGGTATTGGTGAATATCCTATCAACACGCTTGATGACCTCATCGGAACGGCTTTCGAGTGCGATTTCAACAGAGTAGCCAGTCTGTGTGGTGGAGCGTGGCCTCTGGCGAGGCCTTTGGCTCGCGGAAGATTTTCTTGGCTCATCGGGATTTGGTCGGGTTGTCACAATGCGAGCTTTCGACACATCTGGAATCGCCCTTTCATCGACACCCCCAGAGATGAGCTGCAGCCGATCAAGCTGGCTGATGCACATAAGGATATCCTTCCACGACTCCTTGAGGACATTTCCTTCAGTCTGGGCAATTTCCAAGAGCACCTTCAGCGCCTCCACGTTCTTCGCCATCATCTCTGGCAGATTATTAAGGTTGGTTGAGTTCTTTAAGGCGGATATGAATGCCTCGCGAGGGGTCTCCAAGTCGAATAGACAGGCAATGCGAACCGCCAGCTTCATGCCTTCCATGCAGAGCTTAATTATTTCCAGGTTATGGGCATTTTGCATCTGTCCAGACAACCCAGAAAAGAAAGACATCCATGTGACCTCGAACATCGGTCCAACATGCTTGAAAGACGTAGCAGGAATGAATTTTGGGGCGCCAGAATTGGCAGCATTGCGCCGCTGGTTTCTGAAGAGGGTTTTGAAGAGTTGCTCGGACCTAATCGAGATCTCTTCGGCTTGCTGCAAGTAGGCCTCGCGCTGGAGGTCACGGCCAACAGTTGCAAGAGCTTGACCGAGACCGGAGGCAATGCCACCACCAGTTTGAGGAGGTGCTATTCCCATAGCAGCTGCGGCTTCTTGCTCACTTCTCAGAACGATTTCATTGCCAGCAATCTCATCATAGATGCCATTCAGGTAGTCATCAGGTAAGTTAGCGTTGTCGTTGATTCCACGGTTGTTCTTGATGAAGTCTTCCTTGGTCATGCGTTTGGCGACTTTGGAGCTGTGAAGATCGGTATTTAGCAGGATCACGGAATAGGCCAGCACGTATGCCGTATCAGCATTCGCAAAGGCGTTCGGGTTGCCAGTAACGTAGCGATTTGCAAACTTCAGCATGAAACGATCGATCTTCTGAGCCTCTCCGGGAAGTCGAAACGACTGCAAGAATTGGCGAAGCGCATCTACAAATCGTCGTTTGGTGAAATCCATAGCATCCACAAAAGCGTGCATGATTTCGATATTCTTTGGGTCACCTTCTCCGAGAAACTCGCCGATTTGGGCTTTATCCAGCCTGTCATCTGCCAAGAGAAACTTCGCAATATCTTCGGGGCTCTCGCTTGGAATGAACCCCCCAGAAAGTAGAAGCTTTATGCCTCGTTTAGGTTTGAAATTAAATTGTTTGATGGCATTGGCCATGGCAGTTTTCCTTTGCTTCACCTTTTCTAGTTGGTCTGGGTCATCTTCGGGAATAGGTGTGGAGGCCGAGGACGCAGTGTTACTGTCGCCGGATTTTGATGCTGAATCTCCTCCAGATGGGTCAATTGAAGCTCTGAAATCGTCTGTCGAAACTCGAGGGTCCTGGCTGTCGGGCGCTGGCGCCGTGACATCAGCAATGCCTTGTTGAGACCAATTTACCAATGACCTTAGAGTCTCCACAAGACAATCGAGGGCCTGACGTTTTACAATGTACTCCTTTGGCACTTCCGACTCATTCTCGCTGTAATTATTCATATACATTGTCGAAAGAGGAGGCGGCATTGCTCCCTTGGATTGCCAATCAATGGGTCCCTTGTTGGCACGGTCTTCGTACTGTTGCTGGAGGATCGGGCTAATAGTGACCGAGGTGCTGGATGCCTTCGAAAGGTCCTCAATAAGCCTTTGAAACATATTGTCCAGAGCTGCTCGATCGCAGTCATAATTGAGGTAAGTTTCCACGAGAGCTCTCGGATCAGCACAGAATCTTTGTAAAATACCGATGAAGTATATCTTCTGGCTAAGGGGGGCACTCCGTCTCTCAATAAGGGCGAAGTATATTTCATTGAGGAAAACCTCTATTTCTTTCTGTAGTTTGCTTGTTAGAAAACGAGGGGAGATCACATCAACAGAGAACCCGTACCTTAAATGGCGCACGCATATATTTTAGCATCAGCCAGAGAATCTCGCAGCATACTTCATAAGCTCGATCGGCAGAACTGGCACCGTTCCGCGTAATGCTCAGGCATAGATAAAACTTAACTGCCTGTAGAAAGCTTGTCTGCTCGTTGTTTTTGCTATTAGTGATGGTGCATAGCGGCGAGGTAAACACCAAGACATGGTTATTCAACAGGGTGTGGATGAGGTGAAGAGATATCAGCTTGGATCGCATAGCCTGGCTCTTCAGATCAAATAATTGGTCGGCAGGCAAAATCTTTGTGCTAAGGTTGCAGAATGAACGGAAAACGAGGTATGCGTCCCTAATGTAGACCTCGTCCTCAATTTCGTCGTCGTTATTCTCATCCAAACCATCTTCAACCGAGGTTTGATTCGAAGTAGCTCGAGAAACCTTTCTGGCCTGCTTCAACTGTGTGACCATCGTAGGTCCATCGCCCATATGCGAATCATCGAAATCTTTCCTATGTTCCAGATCTTTCAGTGTGAGCTTGGGGCCTTCTTCCCCTGCAGGAGTAGTCTCCGGTTCCGCATCCGCATCGACCTTCTCTGTATCTGCGTCTGCTACGCTCTCGGCTTCCGAAGCATTAACTGTCACGGAGCTGCCGTTTGCAGTATCTTTCCCAAGCTTTGACAGGTTTGCCCTGGCCTCTTTCATGTGTATCCTTGTCTTGACCCTCTCAAAGACTGTGCCGACCATCTGCGTCAATGTGCCTTGTGCAACCTGTTGGTTGGCGCTGTTTTTTGACAGGAGGAAGACATTGTAAACTTGGCGCACAGCTTTCAGGAGGCCAGCTCCATGAACCACGATCTTGTCATTCAGCACAGCTGCTAGGAGTGATTTCACAATCTGTAGCTGGACCTCCACCGGCGTGGTTTCGCCCTGGAAGCAGTTGCATATTGTGTCGATTGCTCGTTCAATTAAAGGTGCCTTGTCGGCATCGTTCTCTGTCGGGGTTGTGGATGGGAGCGAAAAGTATGAATAGCTGATCAGCTTCCCAATGCAGTCAAGGGCAGTCGTCGTAAGCACAATATTCGACGATAGGGTCGCAAGCTGCAAAGGGATGAAGAGGACCTCCGGGTCTGGTAGTTGAGGTTCGAGATCTTTTATATCGGCAAGTGCCTTCTTTGTCGCCTCGCCGAGTTGAGGCTTCTTGTGCGCCTCCTTGGATGCGGCGATAGCATCCAGAGCTGACACAACAAATACGATGGAGCCCATGATGTCCGTTCCGTTTTCTCCCATTAAGCCATTCCAATCGTGTGCTCGTTCCTGGGGGTATCGTTACAGGAAGTAGGACCTGGCGCCCTTATAAAATATAATTAATTCGCGATGGCCGCGTATCACCGAATAGACGTGAAAGGCGGACAAAATAATGGCAAGGACAGGTCGCTATCCTAAGGGTACTTGGGTCTATACTTGGGTACCTTGTCCCCATGGATCCTCCCGCGCTCAGCCGGTCGGACTCTCGGTCGATTATTAACCCGCCACAACCAATCAATATCGCCCATCGAGTGTTGAATGAGCTATACCATATGCGACTAGAGCGAGATTACGGAACATCCTCGAGCTTCAGAGTTCAACCCAACATATCCGCGACATTTTTGGATTCGAGCGGTCTCTAAATCCCGTCAGAGCCATACGACTTCATCCACACGGCTCGCTCTTCTTTCTCCTCACCCCTCAAATTCATCAATTGAGGTCTCCTCTTCTCCCTAGTGACATTTAATTCACATTCGCGAGCAGCGAGCGCTCCATCCGTCACAATGTTCACAGCAGTACTCAGGCGACGGGCGCTTCAGTCCGCAAACCTCCCTTTTCAATTCGCAAGATGTTACGCTGCGAAGTCATACCCACCACACTCAATCGTCTCTATGCCGGCGCTGTCGCCGACGATGACTTCCGGTAACATTGGCCAGTGGCAGAAAAAGGCCGGTGATGCAATCGTACCTGGTGATGTCTTGGTGGAGATTGAGACCGATAAGGCACAAATGGACTTTGAGTTCCAGGAGGAGGGTGTTTTGGCCAAGATTCTGAAAGACTCTGGCTCAAAGGACATCGCAGTTGGCAACGTAAGCCCCCAATTCCCATACACTTAATACTTGGAGCTGTCTGCTGATCTGATACAGCCAATTGCGGTGATGATCGAAGAGGGAGAGGACGCATCGGCGTTCGCGGATTTCACAATTGAGGATGCTGGCGGACAGGCTGCTGCTGAGGCACCAAAGGAGGAGGCTTCCGAATCGAAGGAGTCGACCCCAGCGGCACCCAAGCCAGCCCCAACACCCGCTGCTGAGGAGTCCGCATCCAGCGGAGGCAAGCTCCAGCCCGCCCTGGACCGTGAGCCAAATGCCAGCCCCGCCGCTCAGCGCTTGGCTGTGTCCAACGGCGTCAAGATTAGCTCCGTCAAGGGCACCGGTTCCGGCGGACGCATTACAGAGGAGGATGTTAAGAAGGCGTCTTCGGGTGGTGCTGCCGCTAGCGCCGCTGCTGCGCCTGCTGCAGCCTCTTACACGGACATCGAGACCACCTCCATGCGCAAGGTCATTGGAAGCCGCCTCCAGGAGTCGTGGACCCAGAGCCCACACTTCTTCGTTGCCTCGTCGGTTTCTGTTACTAAGCTCCTTAAGCTTCGTCAGTCCCTCAACTCTACTGCTGATGGACAGTACAAGCTCTCCGTCAACGATCTCTTGATCAAGGCCTGCGCTGTGGCGTGCAAGAAGGTGCCCGCTGTTAACTCCAGCTGGAGGGATGGTTACATCCGCCAGTTCAACAACGTTGACATTAGCGTCGCTGTCTCTACCCCACTCGGTCTTATGACTCCTATCGTGAAGAACGCTGAGGGTCTTGGCCTCGCCAGTATCTCTGCCGCAGTTAAGGATCTCGGCAAGCGCGCCAGAGACGGCAAGCTGAAGCCAGAGGAGTACCAGGGCGGAACCTTCACCATCAGCAACATGGGCATGAACTCTGCCATCGACCGCTTCACTGCCATCATCAACCCGCCCCAGGCAGGCATTTTGGCTGTTGGCACAACCAAGAAGGTTGCCATCCCAGTTGAGACCGAGGAGGGATCGTCTATTGAGTGGGACGACCAGATCGTTGTTACCGGCAGCTTCGACCACAGGGCTGTGGATGGTGCTGTTGGTGGCGAGTGGATCCGTGAGTTCAAGAAGGTTGTGGAGAACCCTCTTGAGCTTCTGTTGTAGGGGAGAGAAGGCAGGGGGTATAATGATGGGAGATGGCGCTGACACTTTGTACAACAAACAAATTTTTCTATGTATATCCTGAGCAACATCAATTCAGGAGACTGCATTAAAAGCTGGAACACGTCTTCCCCATTCCAGTCTCAAATTGATAATACGGGACTACATTTATGAACAAACTACTTATGCATAATACCACCAAATAGGATAAGCATGGCATAGCAGGGCAGACAGCCTTTCGCAGTTTTCCATCATCAAAGGCAATCCATTTTCAAAATGATCCTCATTGAAAAATGTATTGTTTACGTGCGGAGAAATGTGCGGAGAAATGTGAGGAGAAACGTGTGGCGCTAATACGAGCGAGGCTGTGCGTGAGGGGGCAGCGACATGATGTAGGAACGAACCCACATAGTTCAACAACCCGCCACACTGCTACTCTCCATGCGTATAGAGATCTGCGGGCAGCTCTCTGGACAGCTTCGGATATTGTCACTAAGCAGAATGATTTTGTGTCTTTTGAAAAAGGAAAAGAAAATTATATATGTCGCATAAATGAATGCTAAACTGGTCGTACGGTACCTTGGTTATAACCCCTTTCATTGACACTAAGTATGTTGGTAGACTTGGGTAGGGCCTTAACTCCCGTACCACGAATATAACCTTCACCACCCCAAAATGTAAATATTATATTAGACATGCATCTCGTCCCGCCTTTGTACACTATATCACAATCTAGATTAAGCTTCCTTCTGCACTTCTAAGCTGTGAATACGCTGGTCGCCTTTAGCCTATATGATGAAAGTCTATAAAGCATACTGTGTTACTTAGGAGTGCTCTAGGCTACGGCCACCGCTCTTTCGGGCTCTCTCGCGAAGTCCACCGAACCGTCTATTACTGTTTATTTACCATCGTTGGGTTTGCCGAGAAAAGACCAGGCCCATCCAATGATTGTTGCTACACTGTCGTTCCAATCTTCCATCAACCCATCACAAAGACTTGATTGCGCCAGCTGTGACGACATTCTGGAGAGCAGGAAGTGTGAAACAGGGCGGGCTTTGATACAACGACAGGTTAGTAGGATCCTACATACAACACAATTTACCATGTGTGTATAGGATTATATGGACAGATCACAGGTTCTGTGCAGGACTTACATGTAATAGATCTGTGATACTTTCAGTCGCCTGCCTGCTCAATATCTGATCTAACAAGATCATGGCATCCATGGCCCCAACAGGCGCCAAAACACCATCCACCCTACTCACCCTCCCCGGTGAAATCCGAGATCTCATCTGGGAGTACTGCCTCGTCTCCCCTACCTCTCGTGTCCTACCCGTCTACTACCGCACCTTCCCCGCTGCCGACCCGCCATCTCCCTTCGTCTGGACAGCCATACGCCCCTTTCCCCTTCCCTGGTCGACCGAGGCCGCCGCTTACGGCGCCGCCCACGGCGCCGCCCTCCGCATTGCCTTCACCAAGTCTCTACACCTCGTCCCCTGCGCCCCTACCACCGAGGAGCTCCTCTCCCCAACGCTCCTCCCACTCGCCCACCTCCTCCCTCTCGTCAACCTCCAGGTCCATGCCGAAACCGCCGGCAGATTCTGGGGTTCCAACAGGCTCGTCCTCCCCGACTACGCCGCTGGGTGCGAAGTGCTGGCGTACCTTGGTCCGGCTAGCCAGGGGGTCCAGCGCGTCGAGATGGCAATTGGGAATGTGTGGGACGTGGACCGTTGGCAGGGTTGGCAAATCATAATGATGCTTAATCAGTTGGAGCGGCTGGTGCGCGAAGGGGCGCTGGAGATGCTGCGGCTGAAGTATGTGATCGGCGTCGATGATGGCATGCGTAATCAATTAAAAGCGTTCAGCCTGTGGTATCACATGCTGCTTAAGAATCGAGAAGAGAGTAATTGGGGGAGGTGTAAGAGGGAGCTGGTGCGGGAGGACAAGATGAAGTCGGATAAGGTAATGCCTTTGTTGGAGCGTTCATGGGGGTTGGAGGAGGACAAGCAACCGGTAACTGCTTGGCAAATGCGCAGAATTAAGAGTCAGAATTGGTGATAGCAAGCATATAGATAGCTAGCTGTCTAATAATCTACTTGACGGCTAGGTGCGCGTAGCTATTGTTTCTCAGCTTCTTCCAGCGATATGCTGCGTTTGGTGTGTTACGTTGACATCCAGTTATGCAGCTTGGTCTTCCCGATGACGACCCACAGCCACCGCCACACCCCGCTTTCAAAGTCCCGTACCTAGCCAGGCACCAACATGCTCAGCTTTCCAGATGGGTCATCGTTCTTTGTCCAAGCCATATAAGTATTCGTCTTTCCTTCTCTTCGTAGTTCTCTTCCTCTCAATATTTGACTTTAAAACTATATTTACCCTCGATGCCTTGTTGAGAATCCTACCAGTTATCAAATCGATTTCGCACTGATCGTTGTCCATATCCGGCCCTAACCAGTATCTTCACATTTCACCATGGAGGCTCAGATCCCAAAACAGGAGTTTTCTATAAGGAAGCTGGGCACGAAAAGCGTCACGTTGTATCCTACCAAAGCCCAGGTTGTCCGCAATGTTAATGGCGTCTCTTTGAAGGTAAGTTTATCCTCCTAGCCATCAGGTAGAATTATTACTGACACAGGACACTAGCCTGGCCCAAACCAAGTTACCATCATCGGGTTGACTCCTACCTGCGATGAACACTCCATTAAGGTTGATGGAACTGGTGCAGCTACCATCACTGATCTCACCGTTGAGCTGGTGCCAAACCCAGAAGTCTACGCTGATATCTACCCCGACGAAAATGAGTCTGACAATGAGACGTCCGAGGAGGAGTCTGATGCTGAGGCGGATAAGGTGACTGGTCGGCTGAAAGAGATTGCTGACGAAACGGCAAAGCTCGAGAACGAAGCCATGCAGCAATATGAAATCCAAAATAACGTCTCCAGGCGGTTGACCATGGTTGATTTGTATCTCACAAACCAAGCCAGCAACAAGAACCCAATCAATCTGAGCGAGGTAACTGATGGCTATCGTAATGAGCGAGCAAAGATTTTTGCAGAGAAAACCACAGCGGATGAGATAGTACAGGAAATCCAGACGAGACTTGGTGAATTGGCCAAAGAGCAGCGTCGGCTCACTCGAGAGTCGCGAAAGGCGAAGGCGAAGGCAGACAAGGAGGAAGCTAAGGCGAGAGAGAAGGAAGAGCGCAAGAAGCGTGAAAAGGAAGAGGAGAAAGCCAGGATCCGCAAAGAGCGCGTCAAATTTTGGCCAAAGAAGGTATTCAAAATTACAATCAGCCTCGAAGCACCTTCTGGATTTACGCCGGCTTCCTCAAGACGCAGCTCCATCGATAGCACGGTCAAAGTTCCAGAAGTCACCAAATCCGATGATTCATTTGACACGGCGGAGATCAATCTCTTACTTTCCTATATCACCTATTCTGCGTCATGGACCCCACGATACGATCTGAGTCTCAACACAGTCACCAATACGGGAACGCTCGACTATTCTGCCGAGCTCACCAATGTCACATCTGAGACCTGGCGTGATGCCAAGGTCGTTCTCTCGACCTCGCAATCCTCTTACCAAGGTCTGTCGGATACCATCCCCACGCTACAACCATGGCACATTCGTCTCGTCAGGGGCGATGCGTACCCGGGCCATAACGCCGCTCTCCAGTCAAGCGACGAGATAAACCAAGCCCAACAAAGCCGCAAAGAGCTCCCACCACAGGTCTACCAACCCCGAAATGAGCTTTTTGGAATTGACCGCGATGTCGCGCCTCTTGCAAAACATACTTTCGGACCGCCGCAACGCGTCCTCTACGAAGCTGTAAGTCTCCCTGTAAAACGGTTTCATCAGGATATCCGATATTGTCCCCCTCATAGTCAGATATAGAAAAGGGCGTACGCTAATCAAGTATTATATATACAGGGTCCATACGCTGGTGGATGGATGCCTAATTCCGCACCTGCACACCACCCCGCCCCGAGTATGACCTCGCGGACGGCTCGAATGAGTGGAGCTTTTGGAAGCATGCCGCCACCGCCACCGCCAGCTGCCCCATTAGGATTCGGCGCCTCGTCCAAGAAAAAGCAGGTATCGCGCGAATGCTTCCGGAGCCAGGCACATGGAGGAGCAGACGCGGAAGAGCACCAGAGCAAGGATGAGGAGGAGGGCGGTTATTATGCTGATGATGCCGATGGCGCGACACTTGCAGGCATTATCGAACCCGCCCTCTTGTTCGAGGAGAGCAGCTTCGAGGAGTCAGGACTAACAACTACCTATGACCTCCTGAGCTTGAAGACCCTCGCGCCCGTCAGCACAGCAACTAAGCACAAGATCGCCCGCGTGGAGTTCAAGGCCGTGGTATTCAGCCACGTTGTAGTGCCCAAGCTGCGCGCCGATGCGTTCCTCAAAGCCAAGCTGCGCAACACCTCGAAGATCACTCTTCTGAAGGGCAGCGCGGGTCTAACAGTCGACGGGTCCTTCCTTGGCCAGTCAACAATTCCGCGCTGCACCGCCGGCGACTCCTTCACGCTCAACCTCGGCGTCGACCCCGCTGTCACAGTCGGCTATTCTCGTCCTTCCGTTCAGCGCTCCTCGAGCGGCCTGTTCACAAAGGAGAACTGCGAGGTATTCACTCGCGTCGCCACGCTCACTAATACCAAGAGCAACAGCATTGTGGAACTCACGTTGCTGGAGCAGGTGCCTATTAGCGAGGAGGAGCGTCTGAGGATCGAGATCATGACGCCGAGGGGATTGCGGATTGGAGGCGAGGCGGTGTTGGCTGGGGTGCCGAAGGATGGGGATAAGCCAAGGGAGAGTATCGGTTCGCTAGCGGGGAAGAGCGTGGCGGGCGCGGTGAGGGCGGGTGTTTATGGAAAGGATAGTAAGTGGGGTTCTGCGATTGCGACGGCGAAGAAGGGCGGGGAGATCAACTTTAATGTCAAGATTAACCCTGGGAGAGGGTGCAAGTTGGTCTTGGAGTATGAGGCGACATACCCTGGAGGAGAGACGGTTGTCAGTACTTAGGTGGAATGGCTGGAACATGTGCGTGGGGCTGGGTTTGGATAACCGGATGGGATGTTATTTTCGACGATGTATTACGCCGTTAGAGACTTGTTCTCGAAGTCCTTATTTAATTTAGATAAATTGCTAGATAATAGTCGCTGATAACTTGGGCGAGACGTTCAATTTCCGCCGTGTGGGTGAACATGTCTGCAAGTGAGGCTCAGGGGCTCTGAGGTATCCAATGTTAATGTCAGTGACTGGAATCAATTGTAACACCCAATGTCCATATCAATGACTGCAATCAACTTGCATGAATACAGCCACTGCAACGCCCTGTTCGCGCCAGCAACCGTAATCAACATGCACGAATACAGTCACTATAACACCCTGACCAGACTTTAGAAACGTATTTGGATATTACACACCAAAATAATAATTGTAAGAGTAAACAGATAATCATAAAGCCTATCATTACATTCTATCAACTTCTCATAGTATGTATACCCAACCCCTATCACATAATCTACTGCCTACTCCATCTAGCCCTCAGATCCGCCATGGCCTTCTCCGCCTTCTCAATCGTCTCCTTCTCCTTCCTCTCAGCATCCTCTGCCTTCTTCTTCTTCGCCTCCACAGCCTCCACCACCTTCCTCGCCTCCTCCTTGGCGATCTGCTCCGGGCGCCTGATGGCGATGTCCTTAGGCCTGTAGTCGCTGAAACCCCATTTAAGGCCCTTCTCAATGGCGTAGCAGCCGACGTAGTCAACCAACATGGTCGCGGTCATGCGAACTTTGAAGTCGGAGGTGAATGGGACAAGCTTCATCTGCTCGTTGAGCTCTGGGATGAACTCGGTGGAGCAGGAGAAAGCGAGTGCAGATACACCGAGGATGCCGAGGTACATGCCACGGTTCTCGGAGAGGTTCTCACGGAACGGACGACCTTGGTAGTTGATTGCGAAGGTCGAGATTTGCTGGATCAGTTGCAAGAGGTAGACGGCGCTGTTAAGCAGAGATGGTGCGAATTCGCCCTCGAGGTCGACATCTTGGTCACGTCTGGGATAGTTAATATGAAGTGTCTCGCTAGGTTAAGAACGGGGACTTACGGTGCAATAGTATCACACAGACGGGCGATATAGATCAGAGTGACGATGTGAATGGCAAACTGGCCAAGGATAGAACCAATGATGTAGACGTTGAAGATATTTGGCTGCGGGCGCTCCTTGGAAAGACCCTCGACAGACTTGGCTCTGGAGATCGAAAGGAAGCAAACGCTCATGAGCATACCGCTAATAGTAACTTGTCCATCACCAAACTTGATGCCCTCAAGGTACAAGACACTCAGACTGTAGGCGCTAATGAGGCAGTTAAGTGCGAGGATCTTGTACATTTGGATTGTAGCAACGAGAGTGCAACGACCTTGTCTGATGATGTTCGGGATAGCAATAACATTGCCAAGCTTGCTAGTAAATGGAGCGGCAACTGAGGCATCACCAAGCTTAATAGTCGGAGGCTCGTCATCGAGCTCCGACTCCATCATGGATGCAGTTAGTTGGTCAGCGAGGGATGCAGCCTTGTTCATTTGTTCTTGACGCTTGTGGGGCGAACCGTCGATAAGGGCTTGAGCGGCAGGGGATGTCATAGTTTCAACTCCGTTTTCTTGGACAGCTTCAGTGGTTGCAGTTGGGATGGTGATACCCTTCTTCTCTGCTTCACGAATCATAGCCTTCTCATATTGTGGGTTGGAGGGTCCTGGCGGATAGAGGTGGGCAATCAAGATAGGAACTGGTGGAGTTGGCTGGTTGAAGCGCTTCATGACACCGACCTGCTTTTCATACACCTCCTTCATCCTGTTATTTCTGATGTGTTCGCTGATCTTGGTCAGGTCGTCCTTGGTTCCGTTAAGAAGCGCGACTCCAATGTGAGCCTGTTTCAGTGCGCCAACGTCGTTGGTGCCATCACCAGCCATAAGTGTGTAGTAACCGAGCTCTTTCAAGCCCATGAGAATTTCTTCCTTCTGCTTTGGAGACACGCGAGCATAAACCCAAGTGTGTCTAATCAGAGAGAGGAGTGCAGGTTGGTCCTTGAATTTTGCAAGTGCATAACCAGTAACGCAAAGATCCTTCGAAGCAAGGATTTCTTTGTCCAAAGGCTTAGTAGGATCAACAGGAATACCGACCAGATCGTCGACGCTGCGCCAGACTAGCTTTTCGCCCGAATCATCGTGCTCAGGGGCGTCCAGAATGAGAACATCGCGATCCACAATTTCAACCTCTCTTGCAACGTGGATAGCAGTGAGGGGGTTGTCGCCGGTAATCATAACAACACGATGGCTGCTTTCATTGAGCATTCGGACAGATTCCTTGGCGTCTTCCTTGAGTGGGCAGTGCAGGACGAGGAAACCGGCAAAAGACAGGCCTTCCTCAACGTTCTCGCGCTTAAGCTCGTTAATCCTTCCAGATCCAAGCTCAGTATCCCTGGTCAAATGCTTGTATGCAAGAGCAAGGACTCTCGAACCCTTCCTTGTAAAGTACTTGAAAGTCTCTTCGTAATCAGCCGGAACATTAACAAGCCTCTTCTGAATTGTTTCCGGGGCACCCTTGACAGCAACGAAAGTACTTCTCGTCTTCCTGGAGGTCTTAGGATCGACGGTAGTAACAGTTGCGACGGAGCTTTGGCGCTTGAGGGCAGAGGAGAACTGGAAGCGGCGCTTGATCTGGACAGTGTTTGCAGCAATGGAGTTTGGCCCCTTCGACATGCCAACAACGGACTTGCTGGTGAGGGTGTCATTCTTTCCTAACTTCCATCCAAGAGACGTCAAAGTGGCTTTTTCCATAGGATCACCGACAATGTCGCCTTCATCAAGTCTGACCAATGCATGCGCTGTGGCTAGAACCAGTGTAGTCTCAAGTCCGGCATCTAAGACCTTTGTGATATGGCTGTGAGCACCATCGTTCTCACGTGGTGTATCGGTTCCGCTAACGCCAAGTCCCAGCCCAGCAATACCTTCAACGACGAGGTCCTCGCCGGTCAAAGTACCGGTCTTATCAAAGCAGGCAACATCAACGCGTCCAGCAAATGGGATGCGGAAAGGCTCAGTACAGTAAATAGCATATTTGCTCAAGGCAGCCAGAGAAGTGTTGACAGCCAAGCTAAGCTCCATAGGAAGCTCAGGGGGAACAACACTAGTGACGATCAAGACACAGTCGAGGAGAAGCTTAGAGCGTTTGCGGTCCTTCTTCACACCCTCATCCCAAACGTACCAGGATGCGGCAATTGCGAAGACAAGGAGGAACAAAATGAAGAACAGGGCCTCTGCGTTGTTGGCAGACACACGTTCCGTAGAGTAGATCATAGTGCGAACCAGGCTTCCCTGAGACGTCTCAAACCCAGTCTTAACAACAATAGCCATGGCTCCGTTATCAGGTGGGGCTGGGACACCAGAGGCAAGCTTTGGTCGCTCTTCATCGATAGAGACGTGGGTAATCTGGAGCACCTTGGTGCCACCATACAGGAATGAGTTCTTGTCAAGTCCCTCTGGTTCGATTGAAGCATCGCCAGGGCGGAGTTGTACGGAATCCTTAAGGAGAGGAGTACTTTCGCCAGAAAGCATGGCCTCGTTGACAATAGCGCTTCCCTCAACCAAGAGCATATCGCAAGCAACACCACTGTCCTCCTTGGTTCGGCCAACAGAAACAAGGTCGCCTGGCAGAAGCTTGTCGCTTTCCGTCTCGACCCATTTGTTCTCCCGGAATGCATAGATGTTGTAAGGCTTGATGCTCATTCCACGGAACTCATTGAGAGTCCTCAGGCGCTGCCAAACGACAGTGCTCTCGAAGACGACCAACATGAAGAGGGTGAAGAGCGAGTAATACCAATATTCGTCCAACATCCACAGCCCGACACAGAAAATCTGGAACACGAAGAAGGGGGCTACGGAGTGCTCCTTGAATAGCTCCAGAAAAGTAGGAACTGGAATGTCGAAAGTGTTGTTCCCATAATGCTGCTGTATCCTTGAGAGCTCAGATGACGATGAGATACCCCTCGATTTGTGGAAAGTCTCGATGCGTGGCTTTGGCTCGGCATCGATCGCATAGGTTAACGGCGAAAAGGAGTTGGACTTCTCATTATAGAGGAACCGGCGCTTTTGGAAGAGGAAGGAGGTGTTGGGTTTGCCACCAGCCTGGTACTGTTAGCGCCATAGCAATGATTTGGTGGGTTTAACATACATTATCTCTGACGATCTTACAGATCTCAGAAGTTCCGGCATTTGCAACTGGCAGGACCTTGATCAATTGAGCTTCCTTCACGGTTTTGGCGGTAGTAGACGTGAACAATGACTTCAAGTTGACGTTCCAGTTGGTGCTGAGCCAAACCAGACTCTGTACCGTAATTATTGCGCCGCACCACACAAAGGTCCATTCCTGGCCTCCAATATGCTTATCGTACAGTTCCTCGGAGAGATAATATCTGAAGAAGACAGGCCAGATGATCATAAACGGCCAGACATAAGTGTGCAAGTATAATGGCAGCGGATTGTGTAATGTCGCAGCTGCAATCTGCGGATTATCGACGAGGGGCGCCATGATGCAATGCAGAAAGGAATTCCCGAAAGAGAAGCGAAAAGCGGGTATTTCTAAATATTAAGTCGACATCGGTGCCGTCTCTTGTTGTCGACGTTACTGTTGAATGTCGTGAAGGCGGTCGTCTATGTGGCCTTTGGGTTTCCAAACCTCCGCTTCGAGCCACAATTATGGGATTTTGTCAGGTAAGTTAGTCGGCACCACGCGGCGCCGCCTGTTCCCAGTTGGATTTAGTTACTTTTTCTGGTCGTCACGAGGTCACGTGAAATGATACCTTGCTCTATTTTACGTTTTATCAAAGCTGAGCGAAACATCTTGGGATGTATTACTATTATGTCTGTAGAGAAAAATGTTGGGTTTAATTATACTGCTCAAAAGCACAATTACTACGACATATCATCCTGAAAAGGTGGTTATTGACTACCAAGACAAACCCCTTTTATCGCTAACAAGAGTCGCCGGCTCGCCCGCTGGACGTCATTTCTTTTTCTGGCAGGAATCATGATAACCCAATCATTTCACACCATTTCATGAATTCTCAAATATTGGATATTTATTTTTAAATTGCTAACACGGAACGACTCATTTCTTGGAGGAAGCAGTTGTCAGTTACTGATGGAGAATTCGACAGGTGCCGCAAGCCCCGTCATGAAGTGGGACCCAGCCAGACTCATATCTCATGATCATGGCTATGAGGGATATGCCTTGCTCACTTTAAATCAACCTCTTGATAATTTGGATTTGCTCAGGTCGCTATGGGAGAGAGGTATGTTATGATATCCCTTGCTGCCACACCAGACATTGACATACTAATCGAATACAGCCGGATACCGGATTGCAGCGGATGGGGGTGCAAATAGGCTACATAAAGTATTCCACGGCGATAGCACCTTTGAAAACCTAATGAAGAAGATCGTTAGTACTCCCCAGCACAGCCAGCCTCGTCGAGACACCTGTTTAATCACGTGTCCCTCTATCTCAACCCCTTTTTAACGCCCATCCACAGCCACTTGAAGTGATCCACGGTGACCTCGACTCCCTGCACCAGACCACTAGATCTTGGGCACTCGCCCATTCCATGGAAGTCGTCCTTGACCCATCTCAGGACTCTACCGACTTCACAAAGTGTGTTTCATATATCTCGAAACACTGCCTTCCAAAGTGTGACTCCGCCCCTGACATCATTGTACTCGGTGGCTTGGGAGGCCGAGTTGACCAGGGACTTTCTATCCTGCACCACCTGTATAAGGGACCTCAGATTTATCCACACGGGCGCATTTACCTAGTGTCCACTTCGGCAATCACGTTTCTCCTGACTGCGGGAACCCATCAAATCGTTGTCAAGAACCCTGAGGCTCGGGTGCTAGGGAAGAATATTGGCATTCTGCCGGTGGGCGTGCCGGCGAAGATCACGACGAAGGGACTGAAGTGGGATGTTGAGGATTGGGAGACGAGTTTTGGAGGGCAGGTGAGCACGAGCAATATGGTGCGGGAAGCGGAGGTTACTGTCACGACCAATGCAGATGTCTTGTTCACGATTGATTTGGATATGGGGGGGGAAGAATAGTATTTTTATGTCTTATGGTATAAAGAAAACTGGGAAGCATCGCGGAAAGAAATATGTGAGAATTTAAATAGACTCAAATATAATAATATAGAGATACAGTTTCAAATTTTCAGCCATTATGCTTGGGCATCATATCTTTTAGTAAAACGAGGTAGCAGGATGAAAGATGGGCAGCAGTGCGTTAAGCAGCCATATGCCATATAAGATCTATGCAAGGTATTCGTACAGCATCGGTTCCAAACTCCATGCTTCCATAACCCAAATTCAGGGGGGTTCGTCAAGATAGCTTCCCGTTCTTCAAAATCATTACGCATATTCCTCCTCTTTGCCTCCTAGAGGTACGGTCACCTCAAATACTTCAACACTAAGAAGCAGAACGTGAAGAAAATCACCACCCCTGCCGCAAAGATCCATTTGTCCTGCTTAGCCCTTCGCTCCACCATTCGTATCGTATCACCACTTACTCCTAGCGTATTGGCCACGCTGTACAGCCTCTTCTGTGTCCCCTTAAGCATCTCCCTTTGTTGCCCCAGATCCCCCAACACGGCCTGTCCCCTCGCTAAATATTCATCCAAGGCGCTATGTGTATTTCCAAAGAAGTTTTGCTCGCGCAATGCATGCGCCTCCCTCGTCGTCTCTCCACTCCCCATGCTCATACTCTGCTGTCCACCCACACTGTTAGGCGCCCAGGGATTATTCGTCTGCGCATTCCGGTTTATCTGTGCATTCGCATACGGGTTATCGGGGGTACTGGAACCGCCATGGTGTGGCCTGCGCCCGAGCAGCTCGCTGCGGTTCGACTGTGCTGTAGCTTCTTCGCGATCCTTCTTTACGCGCTCGAACTGCGACTTGTAGTCTGCGAGGTCGTGTCGGAAATTTGTGAGGCGCTCGGCTGCCTTCTCGGCTTTCTGGGTGTTGAGCTCGTGCTTGGTGAGGTCGGCGTAGGAGTCGAGGGTGCGCGAGAAGGAGGTTAAAGAGGCGGATATTTGGCCGGTGAGGGACGCGGGGGCAGAGAGAGGGTTGGATGAGAGAGTGGCGAGGTCGGTGCGGAGGGAGGTGGATTGTTTGAGGGCGGTGTTGAAGACGGAGTTCTAGAACGAAGTGTTAGAGTAGCCCGGGGCGATGTGGTCCTGGAGACAAACCATCGTGACGGTATTCGTAAAATTAAGGGGGGTTTCTTGTGTTGTGCGCAGTTTGGGTATAAACGCAGTTTGGAGACAGCTGGGAAGACAGTTGGCTTATTTTATCAAAGGTTCGTCATGGGTGTGATAAACGTGGCTTGTACCCGAGTTGAATTAAAGCATACTGCCGGATCTTGGTGCTGACCGCCTTCTATATTTGGTGACATGTGCTAAAGGCGGCAAAGACCGAATGGAGTTAATGATAAAATAATCTTGTCTCACTATTTTGAAGTTCCCTCTTTTTTTATTTGGTTATATTTTCACTTAACAAATTACTCGGTGGAGAGTGAGTGCATTTCATCTCAGGCCTGCTTATAATTATGAGAAATTTAATTTACGAGGAGATCAGGGTACTCGAGTAACATATGGTGGCCGAAGAATATATAGTAGTCGTTTGATAACGTGGAAAGAGCAACGGACTGCGTGACGCTTCCAACAGTTATGTGTTCAGGTACAGACTCTATGAATCCATGCGGAACTCAGAATATTTCAAATGTACTCCACCACCTCTTCTCCCAACAATATGTAATCCGCATCTTGCTGTTGATCCATACCAAGAATCTCCTTGAGTCCTAAAGAGTCCTAAACCCCGTCAAATACGTGTCGTCATACTTCCACTGCGAATAAACGACGGACCAGTGAAGAATCACAATGAGAGCGCCAGCGCATTGTTGCGCATCTCTAGACAGATTCACAAAATTGTCAGCGGCACTATTATCCGAAGTCCCCAAACCTCAACAAGCACATCCCTGTTATAAAACAACTATACCGAGACTTCTGCGTCGGATGACTTCTGCGTCGGATTCCCTTATATCAAGTGTCCAGGAACCTTATACCGGCGTACTATCTAGCCTCACCTTGACGACTTCAACAAAGAATTATACCCTCAAATGCGAACTTCATTCACCTCTTCATATATCTTACCGGGTATTGTTTTGAACCCTCTCATACTCCTCCACGGCTTCAACACATATGCGTCGCACTATATACCATCAGCAATCGCAACCGCAGCGTCTTCCTCGCGCTACAAATGGTTCGAAGACTATGGGCCTCAAGGAAATCATATTCCATACTTCTATGTGCACACGAACGATTCATTGTGCTGGAGCTACACCGCAGTGATGGTGGTCGTCCAAGTTTTGGCGTACATCAAGATTGTCGAACAGCAGGGAGGCCCAGGGACAAATCCATCTACGGAGGAAGGTAGAGATTGACAAACGCCAACGGATCTCGAATGGAGCAGATCGGGAAGCTCTTGCTCTTGCTGCGAAAATACGATGTACCGAATGAACATGGTGTCGTGGATGGGAGAATGACCAGGGATGGAAGGCTTGAGAATGTGCCAGTCGAGAGCAATTATCTTTCCTCGACCGCGAACTCGACTGGCGAAAGTAGGATCTGCTTGGATGAAGATCCCACTGCTATGGATGGCGGATAAGTGGGAGATTTGCGCGAATCTTTTGTTAAACGCACTGCGAGAACAACGGTCCGGCTCACTCTGTCTGCCATTCTTGGCCAGGAGCTCCAGCACAGCTATTATGAAGGCCCACACAATTCTACTTAAGACAAGGCATCAAAGCTTTTGAGAGCATCGGATTGAAACTCTGCTTGTGTACGCATGAAAGCTCCTGACAAGACGGTTCACTACTCTTCGGACCCATTATTTCAAGGCGTCGCTTCAAACCTGATAAATAGTGGCCACCAATGGAACCAACATGAAAAATCAAAAAAATACTTATATCGTGACTACTCCATACCCAAAAGAATATAGTGACAACGTTAGAGAAGAGATCCGTTCACTATAGAACATTTGCCAAGTCGGCGCGAGTGAGAAAATAAATAAATCGCATGAATCTTTTCCCTGTTGTTCCCTGAAGTGCATCTACGTCATCACTTTTGTGGCACTTTTAATCGACCATCGGTAGCCACTCCCAAGCTTGTATTTACTCGTGCCATATTTCGCGATCGCCGTTAGAACTCCCACCTTCCCAGCCAGACGCTATAGAGCGAATTCCACGCGAATTCTTCCTCCTTGACTTAAATATCATCTCCTCACGACCTGGCTTTTATCACCGAACTGTACCACCATAGATAATACATACAAAGCAGGTGAGAAAGCTTGTACCATTCTCATATTGGCTGAGAACAATGGCTAATGAACACTAGCAGTCATGTCATACGCAGCAGCAGCATCAAAGGGCCCAAGGCAATCCCCAGAGGAGGTATGCGAACCACTTCACCTTGCGATATTGTCCCCTCTTTCTAACTTGTCACCTCTTAGGCCCGCGCACCAGCACCCTCGGAGATCGAGCACAGCGAGGCTGCATCCGCTGACTCCCTCATCGACGTCGACTCGGAATCCGTGCACACTGTCCCCTCAGACTTCAAGGAGCACGATGTGCAGACCAGCTCGCAGGCCGAGCGCATCGAGCGCGAAGCTGAGTCCTTAAAGGCAAAGGCCATTGCCGAGGAGCAGAAGCTCAAGAAGCAGTTTGCCGAGAAGGAGCAGCAGGCCAAGGAGAAGGCCACGAAGGCGGCGGCTAGAATCGAGAAGAACTCTGATAACCCTGTTTTCATTGGCAACGCTGTCGCCGTTGCTGCCCTGAGCGCAGGACTTGGATTTGGCGCATACAGAAAGTATATCAATGGAGAGTTGACCTGGAAGGTTGTTGGTGCTTGGACTGGACTTGTGGGGTTGTTCGCTACTGGCGACTTCTACCTCAGCAAGTAAGATAACATTCCCCTGGTTTTGGCCAGCGCTTTTTGCTAATCATAACTACAGGTACCTCTTCAAGAACAAGTACCCCGAGCGCAAGTAGAGGGGTGGAGGCGGTGATGTCTCACTAAGGCGTCTACGATAGGAGTCTGCTAGGGAGCGGAGAATGGAAGGGTATTCATTTGTACTTATGCAACATATTTTTTTGTCGATATCCCAGCTCTGGTGTCACTCGGCTTTCGGAAGGTTGTTTTGACAATACATTTTTATCTGCGCATCCCTCATTGACCAAATTATTACAAACACGTGATAGTGATGATGATGCTTCATGAGAACTTATTATCAGAGCTAACATTAGTGTTAATCTAGTTGGACCCCTTCGGATCATCAGCCTCTAGGAATTCAGAATTGTTTCTTAGTGTTGAGTAAATAAATGGCTATACGCGGCGCGGATTCACATTTTTAGTGTTGCGGTATAGTCCAGACTTGCGGACCTCACATTAGTATATCCTCTTGTCAAGAATGTCATAAGCCTTCGTCATGACTCCATTTCCAACTACTTCGTCATCGTCCACCCACCTCAATAAACATATCTGAGCCAATCTCTCACTCCCTCTTCCCAAATCCGAAAAGTCAATTACTCACCGTTCACACACGTGCTTACATTCGACTCTAGAGTTAAGAAGATGCCGCCACTTGCCTGCGTCGCTGGGTGGTTTCGTATATATTTCTAGGATCCCCGACCACCTTTATAGCATTTCGTGACATGTCATGAGCGGAAATGCATACGTACGAAGAACAACTGGCCTCATCTAGTGGCGGTAACTCTGAACTTGCTACTGAGCGGATCAACAGTGAAGGTATTTCTATCACCCTTCGCCCTGTCAAATATGTGTTGTGGTGAACTGACATGGCGAAGGCATCAACGCTGGGTCCCCCAATGATTGTGTGAAGATGAAACCACCCACTATGATTCTTGAGAATCACAATGCCACAAAGCCCACCCGTCGCACCCAGACCGACCCCCACCCATGCAACCTCACGAAGCTAAGATCTGGTTCCGTGACCGACCAGTATGGCGAGGCATGCGAAGGCGGGCTCTATCGGCCAGCACAGCCCAACGTCGTTAAAGTCAAAAACGCCGGCACGCAGACGGAAATTACGGATTGGGACGACGGCAGCGATGGCGATCAGTTCGCCATTCTAACAGATGAGGAGGATGAGGGAGTCCAGATCGAAGAGGTCGAGTTCGCCAGTCGCCGGAATAGCATAGGGAATCTTGGATTAGGCGCCGCTGGGGACGAGCCGGTTGGGGGAGTGCCTGCAACAGTTATGGATGTGCTTGATGGAATCAATGCCGAATACGAGATTGTGGTCGACGCGAATGCAGAGAACTTGGATTTTCTGCTGGAAGAACAGTCGGGAAGCGGAATTCCGACGCAGCCATGTCAGGGGCATTGCCGCCGAATGGAAAAAGGAAGGTCAAAGAGGCACTCGTGGAATTGGAGGATGAGGCAGCTGGGCAGCAGCCGGCCATGAAGAAGAAAATTTTCTGAGGCAAAGGTTAGAATAAGTATATTTATATAAGTTATGTTAGAATTAGATGGTGGTGGCCGGCCAGATTTTTATATCATTTATCTTTGAAAAAACATTTACTGGTGGTGGGAGTGACAGACGTAAAAAGGAGCTTGATCTGCAGTAAGAACTTTTTGAAAAGTCAATGCAAGAGAAAAGGAGTGATAGGTTTTGGGTTTGTGACTGGTCTTCTACAGTGAGAGCTATTTGAATGCATAAAATTTATCCGACCGTGGATACGACACAGCGCGAACATAAACAAATAAAATTCCAGGCCTAGCCATTAACAAGCGGCACAGGGACACAAGATCAGCGGCGCCACCGACACATCCCGCCGTTATCAAAGTGCACAATTCCTACCACTTCGAGCTGAGTATGATACATCTCACATTCGAACGCGTATAGGAGTTCGCGTCCAACCCTTCGACGTTCAGTTGATATTGTCAGGTCACCGACGTTCAGTCACCATTGCTAGGTCTTTACTTTTCTTCCCTCTCGCCATTGTCTTCATAAAAAAGCAGCGCGTGCATACTCGCCCGTCATGGTAACACCTCGAACCATTCTGCCGCCTTTTGAGAGCCTCGTGCACTTCCAGCCCACCACAGCAAACAACCAGGAGAACACACAGCCCTTCACGAAAAAGCCTCCGCCGCCGCCCGTCAGACCACCATTGATTGACCTGACGAACAGCGCGCGCCCTCCTCCACCCATAATTAACATCGACACACTCCCCACCGTCAAGCCCGGGCCTTACCCCGTCTCCACGGCGTGCCTCTCCAAGAAGCGCACCCACGAATCCACGCACAACAGCAACTCGCCCACGCCCACCGGCGCCGATGCCAAAGACGGCGACTCAGAGACAGATGAAGATGCCGACGAGGAGCTCCTCGAGGAGCTCGACATGGACTGCGACGTCGTGAGGGCGCAGATCCGCGCCTTCCTTGCGGAGGGCAACACCGCTGTCGCGTTCCGCAAGCTCATTCGCGCCACGCCGGGCAGCTATAATGGGTTTATGAAGCAGCAGGGATGCGATGCGGGGATTGCGGCGGAGACGTACCGGAATGCGGTGCTGTTCTTTGCGAAGCGCGATAGGAGGGCTAAGAGGGCGGCAGAGGCAAACTTGGGTGCGCTTGCTGCACCTGTTATGCCTATTGCTGGAGCGGTAGTGGCCAGTGAGCCGGCGGCGAAGCGGAGGAAGCAAGATGTGCCGCCGGCAGCTAAGCGCCCTGTTGATAACTCGATCTATGATGTTTTGGATATCCACGTGGAGAAGGAGGAACGCGATGCAGTGCCGGTGTTCGACACATGCGACGACATCCGGATAAAGATCAGAGCGTTCTTCAGGCAGCCCGGCTGCACGCAGGCGGCACTCTTGCGGAAGCTCGGCGCCCAGTATATCCTGGCGCCGCGGGCGCTGAGGTCGCCACAGGCCAACACCTTTATGCAGCAGAAGGGCCCGCTTGAGGGGAACTCGTCGGGGATATTTTACGCGGCATATGTATATTTTGAGAAGCTGCGGATAAAGCAGGGCAAGAAGAAGTCGGCGAAGAGAGAAGAGATGGAGAAGAAGTGGGGGCCTGGAGGCGTGGACAGGACCGCGGGAGGGGGGACGTTCTGGTGCAAGCAGGGGGAGGTGCATGTGCAGGATGATTATGGAATCGTCACTTTCGAGAAGAAGGGACGACGATAGCCTGACGATTTATGCGGCAAATGGGCCCTAGTGATGACACCTGGGGGACAAGATACACTTTGGATGATAGATTTGGGAGGGGGTAATGGCTGGTGATTAATATGGGTAAGGAGGCCTCTGGCACTGTGCGCGTTCATATCCTCTGTGCGAATATGTGTAGATTAATATACCCATCGGCTTGTTTTGCTAGATACTTTCACACCAACCGAAGGAGTCCCCGACTTGGAAGGCGGAGGCCCATCTCGAAGGTACTTTGCGTTTGGTGCTAAGCGTGGGAATCAAGGTGCAGCATAACAAATTCATCTTTTCTGAGCACTAAGCAATGCGGTGAATAAACCGGTTGAGTAGAATTTGAGAAATGTCTATCTTTTAATACCCAAGAAAATGGCGATCGACACCATATCATCTAAACATAACTCTTTTATCCAATCCTCATCAGACCTCGCCCTTGTTTCTATTTACAAGCTTTACAGCTTCGCCGTCTCGCGCACGACCTTATCCACCGCCCGCGCAACGTACTCGACATTGCCCGTATTCAGACCCGCCATGCTAATGCGTCCATTCTTCGTCATATACACGTGCGCATCCTTGCGGATCTTCAGCACCTGCGCCTCCGTCAGGCCAGTAAAGGAGAACATGCCGATCTGCTCTGTGATGTGCGACCAGGTCCCCGGTGTGCCCAGCTCCTCGAGCTTTCCACGCAGCGCCTTGCGCATCTCCTCGATACGCCCGCTCATCGTCCGCAGGTCCTCCTCCCATTGCGAGAAGAGCCCAGCATCGTTGAGGATCGTGCTAGCGATACGCGCGCCGTACGCGGGCGGGTTCGAGATCTCAGAGCGCTGGAGGATGGCCAGCTGCGAGGCGATGCGGGAGATGGTCTCTGTGGCATCAGAAGCAGGGCTGGTGATGAAGTGGAAGCATCCCGCGCGCTCGCCGTAGAGACCAAGGTTCTTGGCGAAGGACTGAGCGAGACACATCTCGAATCCCTGCTCGACGAAGTAGCGGACGGCCCAGGCGTCCTTGGCGAGGTCACCTGAAGCGAAGCCCTGGTAAGCCGAGTCGAAGAAAGGGAATTGTTTCTTGGCGCGCATGATGGATGCGATCTCCTTCCATTGCTCCTGGGTGGGGTCCACGCCCGTGGGGTTGTGAGCGCAGGCGTGGAGAAGGATGACGGCGCGGTCCGGTGCTTCTTGTAGCGTCTTCTTCATGCCATCGAAATCGAGGCCCTTGGTCGATGCAGAGAAATATGGGTATTGGGCGATTGAAAGACCGGCATTGGTGAAGATTTGGTTGTGGTTGGCCCATGTTGGGTTGGAAAGGTAGATGGTGGGTTTCGGCTTGTAGAAGCGCGAGAGGAACATTCCTCCCAGGTGGCAAGCGCCGGTTCCCGAAATTGTTTGCACCGATGTGACACGCTTCTCCTTGATAGCTGGGCTATCAGCTCCAAGCATAACTTTGGCAGCAGCGGATGTGAAGTCGGGGAGTCCAGCAATGGGGAGGTATTCGTGGTTGAGTGCGAGGTCATTTCTGAGAATCTCATCCGCCTTGGAAGGTTGTTAGCAAAGCAGCTTGGGAATGACATGAGACCGAAATGAGTGAAATTAATCAGGGAATTGAATTTCTCACCTTCTTGACGACTGGCAGAACCCAAGGTTTCGCGTTATCGTCTCTGTATGCGCCAATTCCCAGGTCGGCCTTCTTGTCAAAGGTGTCAGCCCGATAAGCGGCCATCAATCCGAATAGCGGATCTTCAGGAGCCTGGGGGACGGCATCCTGGGGGAAGTTGGTAGTCTGTGGTTGAGACATGTGTGCGGCTATCTTTTGTAATCTTGCTTGCCGACCTGATGATGTTGAGGTTGTGGAGGTTGATTTGGAGAGGGTAGATGGATTCGCAAAGAATGCCGCAGCGGCCTTATGTTTGCCTGCCATGATCGAACGCTATATTATCGCTATCAGGTTATCAAGAATAAGCTGGGCCTTGTATGGTACAGTAATTCGCGCAAACGTGACCGGCAAATAGCAGTGGAATAGGAAAACAAATATGGCGAGCAATTTTCGTACAAATGGTATATAAAAAGGAGACAAATTGCTAGAGTAGTTCGGCCTGGGAAGCGCGGAAATTGGAATGTTATAACATTTTGTGAGTGACAGGAGACATACTTTCGTGGAGAAGCCGAGGCATCGCGGCAAGAAAAAGACGAGTACTAGCTATGTACTGCATAACTTGTATAACTTACTCGGTATATTATATCTGGGGAATGATTCTGTCTCTCACATGCCACCGGTCGTCTCTCTTTCCCTGATTCACCGATTCGCACACCAATCACATGCATGACCATGAATATGACACAGATGGAACTCCTGCAATCCAAGCCCAGGCCTGGAAAACATGCCAATTGAAGGTATATAACTGTATGGCCGCCAATCCTTTGAGAGAGTTGCTCACTGGCGCGTTGCTGTCGATAGAAAGTATCCAACAGAGATGAAAATTTTGTCCCACGCTAGGAAACGCCACAGTTCACAATTTAGTTATGTACATAGTTATGAAATCAGTGTTCTTCTCGCCCCTCCTTGTACTCATTTCCGCCTTCTAGCTCGATGACTTTCTGGATATGTCGAGGAATCCTCTCGACCCAGGCTTGGATTTGCGACTGAGGGAGATCTTCCCAACAGGTCTCCCAAGCTCGCATCGCGTCTAGTCGACTTTTTGGTGCCCCCTTCCTTGTAGTCCTCCTTTTCATCCATGGCCAACAGGGCTCGATGACATTTAAATCTGGAGAGTTGGCGCACCAGAAGAGGCGATTAATGTCATGTAATTGAAATACTCGCTGCTGAATGTAATGATTGTGTGATGGAGCGTTGTCTTCTTGTACATATAGTATCCGGACGGTCTACCATGCATTCCCTTGCGAATGGGAACATCTTTGGTATCAGAATCTTTTTCTGATACCGGTACCAATCTATCTCCCCTCCTTGTTTCTCACGGCTCAACTTCCCATTCTTTTTATTCCATCTCCATAGCGGCTTTATACTAGGAAGATTGCAAAGAGACATTCGGCGTATCCCATTTGATAATTCCCATTCTTCACGTAAAATTGGTTCTAACTCTTCATTCATTCCATGTATTTCAACTTCTGTAGCGTCTCGTTCTTTTTTATTTTTTGTCTCTGGGATCCAACAATGACATGGCCCTTTCTTGTTGTAAGTAAAACATCCCCAAAACATAAATTCTGAGTATCCTTTCCACCGTTCCCTAATGCAACTCCGTAAAAATGCCTCGTCTGCCTTTCTCCATATCCGATAACCTCCCCGTCTATGGTTTAGTACCACAGATGTCTCGTCTGACCATATTACATTTTTCCAATCCTCGAGTGTCCAGTGCTGATGGTCGAGGCACCATTTTAATCTCTCCGCCCTCATCTTCTTCGTCAACCCAGGCTTCCTCGTCGGTTTCGTTTTCCGGAAGCCAGCAGTCCTTAAAACCCTCCATGTTGTCGTGGCAGAGATGTCGATACCTTGCAAGCTAAGTTCCCCCGCGATATCAGCACAAGTTTTTTCCCTTCCGTAACGGTCGGTTCGCACCTTTGCGACAACTCCCTCTGTCGCTTCAGCTGTTTGTTTTGTCGGGCGGCCAGACCGGGGAGCGTCCTGTAACCACTCATCTCGTAAGGTGAGTGGCATATGGTTGGGGTCAAACCCACGCTCAATTGCGCGAGCATATATCCGGTTGACCTGTCGGGTTGACAGGCCAGTTTTCTCAGCAACTTCCGCTGAAGTCTTTCCTCCAGTCGGAGATTTGAGGGCCACAATCAGGGCCCTCGTCGAGATATCCGTGTTCGGTGCCATCGTTTGAACTAGAAAGGCACTGTCGATTGTCAGTCATTCGTCGGTCGCAAGTGAGAGGAAGTTATGCATACCTTGGCATTCTTGGCAGGACAAAACTTTTGAACGCCTCCTCCGTAGATGGAAAATAAAAGCGAGTTCATCACCTTGCGACAAGTGTGATTCAGAGTAGGTCCCTCAGGAGTGCCCAGCCACACTAGCCCATGCGCCACAATGTTCCAGCCTCAGTGACGGAAGCTACCATAAAGCCACACCACACCTATGCGATAACAAGTTATATTGTATATTTGTTGCCCATTCCACTGTATACTCGACTTAAAAAGAGGCTATTGTACACGGACTTCTTTGATAGCATGATACAAGAAGACTGAAGGCAACGTACAACCGTCATTGTACCTGCATCTTTGCTGTACCTACAAAATGACAGATATCACCCCGTACTTCAACGAGACCCTCAAGGCTCATGGCGCCCACACAACCTCTGGCGTCTCTTTGTCCATGCAACATCTTGACGAGTTCCTTAAAGAGGCATATCGAATAGTAGGATGGCATTGTTCTCCATTCGCGCAAGCAATCGCTGACCGATAATCCAGAACTCCCACATTGCGTCGCTGAACGACTACCTACGGGGAATCCGACAATCCTACCTATCTACCACGCAACCACCCCGACGCCAACGCCAGCTTGCTGCCGAAACCTCGAAGCCCAAAGATAAAGAATGGCGGTACCTGACTGACCGCCAGCGCGACGAGATTGACGCCGAAACGAAGCAACTCCTCCGCGAACTCAACTATGGCATCCGAAACCTGGCAGATGCGGAGCAGCTGCGCCAAGACACCGAGACAACCCTGATAGAAAAGAAATATGGCAACAAACTGGGTGCTTTGGGTAACTGGGCTGTTGGTGGGATAGGGCAGTCGAAGCCTCCCGAGCAGGAACAGGCGGAGAGCAGGGCGAATACGATTAGCACGCACAGGGAGAATGTGTTGTGGTATTTACGGAAGAAGCTACAACAGTGCGGAGGGCTGCAGGCAGCGATGATGGAGACGCGGATTATGCGCGAGATGGAGAAGAACAAGAGCTTGCTCTATAAAAGCAAGGGAGGTATGAAAGGCGGCAGTTCGGGCGAACCGCCCATACCAGCGTTCAAATACAAGGGCGCGGCAGGGACGCAGGTCGAGGAGGAGTATGGAAAGAATGTTGAGGACGAGTTGACACCAGAGCAGTTGCAGCTGTTTGAGAAAGAAAATCGAAACATGGTTCAACACTATAAAGATACCCTGAACCAAGTAAAGTAAGTCCAGCTTCGTCTCACCCGTCACAGTCCTATGTGCTAACATTGACCCCTCAGGACCGCACAAAAATCGCTGATGGAGATCTCAGAACTGCAGACACAGCTTGTCAACAACCTGGCAACACAGTCGGCGCATATCGACCAGCTTGTCGCGGACTCGTTCCTGACGGCTGAGAACGTTGGGGGTGGAAATAAAGAGTTGAAAAAGGCGTCCGAGCGAAGGAGCACAGCCAAATATGTGTTCTATGCATCATGCGGGCTGAGCGCATTCCTAGTGGTGTATGATTTAATCGTCTGATTTAACCGTCTGATTTAGCTACCGGAAGTCAAGCTCTTTCGTATCGGTGCCGATACACACCCGAGGCCACGCCGTCCACAAGATTTTGCCCTGGCGCGTTCCCAGACTTTGCCATAAAGCCCTCTATCATTTTGGCGGTATCTGCGATAATCTTTATGCCATCAGATATGTCGGTATTCATAGGCTGGGTCGGAACTGATCTAGATTTTGAATTTAGATTATAGTCTTGTAGAACGCAATGGTAGAACGCAATGATAAATACTTATGGGCACGGTAGGACATTTGGGTTCGACACCAAACTGGAAAAGGCGGTATATGTACTCGGCGTACCAGCAAAAAAAAAATTCCTCACGGAGTCATCATTATCTTGGACAAGATACCCCTCTTCACTCATTTCAGAGACTGTGTTCTTTGTGTTCTTTGACATGGCCTCCTGCCCATCTTGTCCAAAAGAATGATGGGTGATTCTCTTGATGGCAGATTTTAACTCCTGCACACTGTCAGTGTTATGATCTGCATTAGGCTTAAACAAACATACGTTATGCCTCTGAGCGATGCCTGATTTGATGAGATCACATTCCTTGTTTTCACCAATACGCCTCAGTGCAGTCCCCGCATCTTCTTTACAGCGATTAGAGGCAAGTAGCTTATCCTCTTGAGCTCTGGTGACTTGGATATTTTTCTGCTCCACCTCATCAATTGTCAATTCGCGGTCCGAATCCTCGTTTCGGTGAGCAGAAGCAATAAACTCATTCTGATGAGCTCTGCTGAGCCTAGTGGCTTTGTCTTCCACCTGACGCTCCTCGACGAGTCTGGCTTTCTTTCGATTGTCATCACAAATATCTCCCTCTCCAGGTTGTCATACTCAGCTATAATTTCCTCGAGGTTGGGGAGATCGCTTGGTCGCTGAAATGAGATGTCATCCATTTTTGAAGCTATAGGTGGCCTTGGTGGAGTTGTAGCTTCTGTAGTTATTATCTCATCACCGGAGTTCAAAAGGAGGAGAAGAAGAAACAATATCCCAGTCTGAAATTGACCTTTTACTGCGACCTAATTTGTTATCGGTACTGCTTGTGGTTGTTGTCCAGGCGAGGAAAAGGCGACCCCCTTGGTTCACGCATAAACAATGGGTAAGCTAGTGAGACTCCTTTGGATCAGAACACAGAAAGAACTTACTGTTAATACGATAGTAATCCAGAGATAACGCACCATATGTGAATTTTTACATTTAGTTCCTGAAACTCCACCTCTAATTGTGATAGTATCTACTCATGCCGTCAGCTACGATAATCAAGGACAAACCATTAGATCAAAAGCTTGCATGAATACGAAATAAGAGACCTTGGTATTCGATGATGAGATTTCACAAACCTTAACCGGACAGTTGAGCTATAGACCATTGCCAGTTATTGCCTAATTGTCACTTGGAAACGACCGGAGCAGGTAGGCTTTTAAACCGTGAAATTGGACTGACCAGCATCATTCTATATGTCGCATCTACCAACAACCGGTTTTACTTATTTTTCAACTCCTCCAACCTCTCCTTTAACATATCAAACTCCTCCGTATCTTCCCAAATAGCCCTCGCCTTGCTCATAATACCCCTCGCAGCACTTCTCGCCTTCATCTTCCACCCTTTTTCTACCTCACCGCTCCCATCTGCCTTCTCCTGCGGCCCATAATTCTCAAAGGCACTGACCAGTCCATCAGTTGCCTCTGACACCTGCTTCCAGGCTTCCCTATTCTCCAGCCACATCTCACCTGCCGTCGCTACTCTCCACCTCTTCTCAGCACACGCCAGAGCCCCAGCAAAGTCGCGTCGGTAGAACTTCAGCTTCTCCACCAAAGCCCACAGCTCGCCCTGGGCGGTAATAAGCGGCACCACGTCCGAGTCCATCATCTCGATAACAGCGCGTGCCAGGCTTCCACGCGGCGGGTTGTATATTCCGTTTTCCATAGTCGCAGGATTGGTATCCCTTTCCCTTGTCAGAACTTCTCCGACCAGGGCACGCAGAATATCAATGTCTATTGCTTGCTCTCCTTCCTTCGGGGAGCGGATGCGAATTACAGCACGGAGGCCCTGCAATACCTCGGGGAAAGAGGGCGGTGACATGCGGCCAGCAACTGTAATAACATTGTCCCAAATTTGCCAGTTGTCGTATTGTAAGCTAGCGCCTCTCTTGTATGCAATAAGTGATTGGCGAAGGATGTCTTTCGGGTCCAACGGGGACATTTGTGGCTTGTGAACTCCAACTTCGTCATCGTCGTTTAACTCTTCTGCGTCCTCCTGGATTTGATTTGCAGCCTCTAACTGCTTAATTTTCATCATTTCGGTGTGCTTGGATAATAACGCGGATCCAAGGTTGCTGTACGTCTTCGAGTTATCATCATCTATCATAATTGCTTGCTGAAATGCGATAATAGCTCCATCCCAATTTGCAGTCGCAAGGTCAATATCTCCAAGACGACTCCAAGTGTCTCCGTATTGGCGGTTAACTATGGTTGCTTTGATATATGCCTCCCGCGCCTTCGGTAGGTCACCTTTGCGAGTATAATACTCGCCTAGTGTCCGCTGAGCGCGTGGATAATGGTGGTTGGAGATTTCCCACGCCCTTTCCCAACATGATGGGTCTTGCTCGAGGTCACCGATAATACACCACAAGCGTGGTGCGTGAGGGGGATGGGGTGATCGCATCTCCCCTTCCCACTTATCCGTGCGCACTTCGTCGTCGTCGACGCCGTACTTGTCCATTTCCGGGCCTTTGGTGGAGTGGTACAGTTGGCGGCAGATGACTCTGCGAGCATTGTCCTCTTGACCAATCGAGTGGTAGCAAAGAGCAACCTCGGGCCAAAGCCCCAAACGCTTAAATATCTCAAGGGCGCTCACAAGACTTCCTGCGTGACTCCAAGCATAGGCTAACTCGGTTTCTATCTCCCACCTGGTAGGCGAATTGAGTTGATGAATAAACTTCAACCGCTCGGTAACCGGAGCAGATTCAGATGGCTTTGCCTTTGGTAAGAATTGAGTGATTTGTATTTCAGGGACGCCATCACCACCAGATGTTGGCTCTTCTTCGGTCTCGGCGATAACCTGATCCACAATAGCTTGTAGTTGAAGCACGCTACGTTCCTGTGTCCTCGACCTATGGGCTTCGATTCTACTCCTCACAAGCAACGCTTGGGTGTAGACCTGCCAGTTCGTGGGTTTGTCCTCAAGGACACGGACAGCAAAAGGGAGAATCTCTTCGCTGTTCAACTTATCTAGAGGAGCCGAGACATCTTTCAGTGTAGCCTCAGTGAGTAGCATAATCTGGTCGACTGGCTTCAGCTGCGGTTGGTTGCTCGGTTCTAAACTTGCAAGTTCCTCCGGAAGATCTGTTTTCAGATCCTTGTCGACTTTTGTGAACTCGATTGACTCGAGTAATGTATCGTCATTTAGTTCAAGTGCAGTAGGTCCAGTAGTTTCCGCTCCAGTTTCGGTAGATCCAGAGGCGCCATCCTTCGAGAGGGTAACTGTGTCCTCGCTACCTTTGGTTTCCGACTTTTGCTCCTCTTTGCTCTTTGCGAAGACAACTAATTGTGAGATATCGTTCTCTTGAAATTTTGTTCTCTTTCCCAATGCACCAGACAGCGCGTACTGAAACTGAGACACTTCCTTTGCGTGCTTCAGGTTATCTCTAGCCTTAGCATCCACGCCTTGCATAATGTAGATCTGCGACTTTTCAAGGAAATACTGGACTTTGGATTCTGTAGAATAAGATGAATCCTTGGCCATGATTTCAAGCTCAAGGGCGAACATATCTACCCCAGCCTGGGTCTGAAGGGTCGCCACTGAATCACTGAGACGAGTATTTGACACGCCGGAAGATAGGAGACGCTGATGATAGGCATTGATGCGGATTCGCATCCATCTCGAATCGAGCGTTTGACCAGCTACAACACGTGGGAAGTATTCCGTAAAAATTGCCCTTGCGAAAGTGAATAGCTCGACGTGCGGAATAAGTTGGTAGACTGAGAGGCCATCCACTGCCAGGTTCTGAAGACATTCCTGTCTGTGCTTTTTAACGTCTTCCAAGGTTGTATCCGCGCCAAAGAGAAGGGAGCGTGATGAGAAAGGTGGTCCCGTGACGTTGGCTTGTAGAAAAGCATCAAACGACGCCAGGCCTATCAATATGGCTCTGGCAGAAGCCAGGAAGCTATTCTCTTCCGCTGTCCATGGCTTTGGCTTTCCGGTGCTATCAGATGATAATCGCTCCAGGAACTGGGCGAACAGAGCTTGAGCCTCATTTCCAGCGAGAAGCTTCTGATACTCTCCTTGAAGGTAGGTTTCAGTGACCTCCTCAAGCCCCTCGATGCGTTTGAGGGGCTCGAGGTCGCATACCAGCTCATCGAATGTCTTTTCAGACATCATATCTTTATCGGTAGGCATCACGGTAATTTGAGTGTTAACCCCAGGGAGTATTTTGTTCCTTGGCAACCTTATTTAGACGTCATGGACGAATTTCATTTGGAGATTGGGCGATTTGTGGTATCAAAAGATAAGCGAAACTTCGGGTTTAGGCATCACATTATAAGCAAACCAGGGCGCTCAAAGCAGGTAGCCATTTTACAACTGTGATAATATAATTATTTGAATATTTTTATTACTTTTTTAATATTTTTGGAGCAATATTCAAAAGTCCAATACCGGTACTACAGCAGGTGAAACAATACCACGTGTGGTGGTGGACTGTGCCTGATCTATCGCGGGGGTTTTTTATTCCCGAAGATTATTTATTACCGTACCCCTCTCCATCTCCAACTTTCTTCAACGGGAATAACGAGATTTGCTTAACGTCGGCGAATCAAATGGTACTCCGACGACGCTATATCGCCACCATCCATGCTCAAATGCAACTCACCAGACACACAAGATGTGGATTCAACTCGGCGCAAGTTCCGTATAGCCGCTATGAACCGTCCATGGTTTAAAACCCCGCTCTAATAAGGTAGGTTGCTCGTCTTCATCTTTCCTATCTTGCATTTCTCTTTCTCTTCCAATTCAACCCAGTTTACTCCTTGGTCCGTCTTAATGTGTGATATTCGGCGGCAGAGTAATACTGCACTATGAGCCTAGAGAAGGATGACCTCGACGTGGAACCACAAGAACCTACGAGGACGCCAATCTCTGGTGACACCCTGGAAAAGGACTTGGACGAGAAAACAACAGGAACTCCATCTCCGAGCGAGTCTATACCGCCAACAACCATGGCGTTCCAGCCTGCCAGCGAAGAGGCCATAGCCGAAGATGGAGACCTTGAGGAATTAACAACCGTGCGAACTGGACCGCCCTACTCGGTCTTCTCTAAGAAGCAGAAGCAATATCTCGTCTTCATGGTCACAGTGGCGGCTTTCATATCGCCAACCTCTGCAAATATTTATTTCCCCGCCTTGAATCCACTGGCCAAGGATCTGAATGTTTCGGATGCACTTATCAACGTAACCATCACATCATTTATGATATTTCAGGGGATAGCACCTACATTTATCGGCGATCTTGCTGATATGGCGGGGAGGAGGCCAGCATACATTGTGGCCTCGATCATTTATCTTGGCGCCAACATTGGGCTGGCTCTCCAGAGCAGCTTCCCAGCGCTGTTAGTATTGCGTTGCATACAGAGCGCCGGTAGCAGTGGCGGTATTGCCTTGGGATATGGGGTTGTGGCAGACATCTCAACGAGCTCGGAACGAGGGTCGTATGTTGGAATCGTGGGGGCTGGCACCATGTTGGGTCCTGCACTAGGCCCCGTAATTGGAGGAATTCTGGCCCAGTTCCTGGGTTGGAGATCAATCTTTTGGTTCTGTTTCATCTTCTCAGCTGTATGGCTTGTTCCCTACATTATTACCGTTCCAGAGACTGGCCGTAATGTTGTGGGAAATGGTTCGGTTCCACCAGTGGGTTGGAATATGACCATCTTAGACTACCTGCGCCAGCGCAAAGAGTTGAAGTCTCCAGATTCTCTCTCCCGTTCCGCCACTGCCAACGAGCGTTGTAGGGCCCGAGCTGAACTTGCCAGTCATCGCAAACTCAAGTTTCCTAACCCTCTCAAGACAATCCACATCATCGCAGAAAAAGACGTAGCCTTAGTGCTCTTCTACAACTCTCTTATCTATACCGCCTTTTACGATGTTATATCCTCGATGCCTGCAATGTTCAAACAGACGTATGGATTCAATGATCTCGAAATAGGGCTCTGCTATCTCCCCTTCGGCGTTGGTTGCGCAGTGACGTCCTTCATCAACGGAAAGCTCCTCGACCGGAATTACAAGAAAATCGCAAAACGAATCGGTTTCGCAATTGACCGTAAGCATGGTGACGATCTACGCCATTTCCCAATCGAAGAGGCGAGACTAGGGATAATATGGCCCATTCTGGGCGTCGGGCTCGTCAGCATTGTTTGCTATGGCTGGGCTATGGAGAAGAATGCGCATCTTGCTGCTCCTCTTGTTCTCACATTTCTGATAGGATTTTGTGTCAACGGCTCCTTTAATATCTTGAGCACTCTAGTAGTGGACCTGTATCCTCAGAGCCCAGCGACAGCTACAGCGGCGAATAACCTTGTTAGATGTTTTATGGGAGCTGGAGGCACGGGGATTATTAATATCATGGTAGAGAAAATGGGGAGAGGATGGTGTTTCACTTTCATCGCCTTGGTTTGCACTGTTACGATGCCAATGCTGTTAGCGGAAATCAAATGGGGTCCTGGCTGGAGAGAGGAGAGACGGGTGAGGTTGGATGCCAAAGCTGCAGCAGACCACCAAAAAAGGTTGGAAGAGAGCAATGACGCTTTGGCAGTTGAAAGTGGCCAGGAAAAATTAGGATGGTCGGAATTAGGCATAGACTAGACAGAGAGAATACCCATTTTGGTTTGCACTGTTACTATGCCAATGCTATTGGCTGAAATCAAATGAGGATATCATGTATTTTTTTGAAGGCGCCCGTTTTTTAACTATACAGTAAGCCCGTCATCCTTTTATCTTACATCTGGGGTTGAGGTTGGATAAGCCCTCATGTCAAGTTCAGTTAACAGTACACTCTTAATGCGAAGCGACCCGACCACGCATGTTTTCGCCGCCTCCTCCGAGAGTCTTTCAAGATACCACAGAGTCTCGACGCCCACATCCTGAAGGAACTTTTGTACTTTTATATAGTTTAGCCCTACCTGGGCAACAGCGTGGCTGTCATCAGACAAGGTAAACTTGCCACCAAGGCTCAAAAATTCCTATAGCTTGTTAGTGGTACGCGATAAAACAAAGCCCAGAAACCATACCTCGCAAATACTCCGACTTGGATACGGCTCGTGCAAACCTTTCCGGAGTGCACTGCTGTTCACCTCTAGTAAACCACCTTGGTAGACAATTAACTTCAGGCATTGCACAATCCTCGCCCACACACTATTCCAGGTCTTCAAGTCCTGGTTTGGTGCGTCGCTAAACAACCGGATCAAATCGAAGTGCGCAATAACGCGTGGTCGCAAATCTTGCAGCATAGCAAGCATAGCATCGAAGTAGTCTTCAAACAGCTTTTGGTCACCCCCACCCCCTACTTTCCGAGCGTCCTCATACATTGCCCGGTCGAAGTCGATTGGAATCCCGTGGACGTGGTGCACAGAGCCGACGTAGAAATCTACTCTAGGGTCCTTGGCAAGACCCCTGATGATAGGTCCGTAGGTTGGGCGTATCCATTCCCCCTCAAAGCCAATAAGGATTTGGATTTGTCCCTCATACTTGTCTCGCAGACGAATACCCTCAGTAAGAAATTCTTCGTGCCTTGGAAGCAGCATCGCTGAAGTGTCCCCAGCTTCAAGCTATTGACGACGTCAGTACATAACCAGACTAAGATAACCCGTCGCAAGAATACGAGATGTTGAGGGAAAATATCATCGTTAGGGAAAGCTACGCACTTCTTCGGGATATAAATCCTGGTCATGAGTGCGAGGCATATGCTCAGTAACTGATATAAGGCGCATGCTCAGCGCTATAGCTTGCTGGACCACCGCTTCCAGCTGACCTGTCGCGTGCCCCGGGCAAAACTGCCCGGAATGGGAATGCATCGTAAACGCCATATTGTTTGCCAGCTGATTAACTGTGATTGTTCAATTATATTGTTTACGATGAGATAGAAGAGTTGGAGTTAACTGGGTTGCACAGACGGAAAGCTCTTTGGAGAGTTCCAGTATTGTCACGAGCATCATCACGTGCGGATTCCAATCACGTGTGCTGCGGTGCCAAGGTGGAGGGTCTGCGCTAGAGTAGTATTCGGACACCGGTGTCCTGGAACTCTCTTTGGAAGGTGCAGTATTAGTCATCCACCAAATAAATCACTTTTGAACGACTCTGGGAAGTATACGTACATGCCGTACAAAATAATATCAACCTTCGCCTTCGTTCTTTCTAATTATTTAAATTTATTACAGTCTTACGATACGGTTGAAGTGTATTTTTTTCTCCTAATGTTTTAATTTGAAGCCGGGCTCCTCTTTTGCTTTAGCTGCCGAAGACCGCACCAGAAAGCCTTGAACTACGCTATATGGAGGTCACAGATGGACAAGGGTAAGTATAGGAGTATATATATCCTGCTGCCTTCTAGTCTATTTCTATCCGTTACATCATCCTATAATAACATATGCGCAACGATTTTCGCTATGTCTGCCTCAACCACGTATTACCATTATTGATATTTTATACCGAGATGGCCACAGCTATCTGCTCCGCCATGACCGGCGGCGATCCCCCAAACCTTTCGAGGGCTATAACTACATCAAATAATGTTTTCACAACTACCGTGCCGACGTGGCTCGGCGGAGCAGCTACCATTAACGGCACCTTCCACAGCAATAGTTCCGGTGCAGGTCTCGTTGCCAAAACTGAGGGGGATGGCCTAAATGGCCTAGAGACTATAGATGTCCATCTTAAACAAGGCGCCCCGGAACACGAGAAGTACCTGGCTCCTCGTCTCGATGTAGCCCCTGAGAGCCTCCCAAATAATGCCGACTTCACGTCCACAGCCGCCCCAGACGCCTTCAACATGACCGCCGAGCAACTTGACGCTGCCATCCAAGCTATTATTAAGCCGTAACCGCATCGACGGCCTTCTCATCTTAAAAGATGGATGCCGCGTCCATGAATCCTACTACTACGGCCTCACTGCCTCCGAGCCCCATCCATGTGCCTCAATCACCAAATCTATCGTCTCTCTCCTTGCTGGTGTTGCCATTGACCAAGGCCTTCTCTCCCTCGACGGTCCCGTCGCAGCTGTTTTTGACATCCCCTTGGCTTGGACCGACTCCCCACCCATCCTCCTTCGCCACGCCCTCCCCATGACATCTGGCACGGCCTTCAGCCAGCGTGACGCTGGGAAAATGCTCACTTCCACTTCAGTTGCGTCGCTTATCCTCAACGCCCCTCGGCGCTATGGGGTCCCAGGCGACAAATACCACTATGATAACAGCCTTCCTACCATAGTCAGCTTGCTCATCGAGCGCCGGTCAGGGCTGGTCATTGAAGCTTTTGCGCGCAAGTACCTTTTCCACCCGCTCGGCGTCATCAATTACACTTGGACGCGTATGCACGAAGACTCTGTGGATGGAGCCCCTTTCGTGTTGCCATCTGGTGGGCTTAATATGACGCTTACCGACCTCGCAAAGGTTGGCGAGTTGCTGCTGGGGGGTGGCGAGTATCGTGGAAACCGTATCGTATCAGCAGATTACATAGAGGCGACGACGAAGAGCCAGACGAATAGGGTGATTATCCATATGGGTATTTCTCTCATTCTAATGAGGGAGGCAGGCATGTGACCGAAGACGGATCTATAGGGACGTGTATGGCTCTGGGCAGTGGGGGACAGGTAGCACCAAAGCAAAATCTGGTATTTATAGCGGTTGGGAATAGTTGGATGAGTTTCGAGCAGACGCCGGTGGTCCTCAGCTCTTTTGCAGGCACAGTTCTCAAGGCGTTGGGATAAATATCGCAGTTTATTAAATATTTAAATAGGCAGATTTTAGAAAGAGATATTTTAACTTTTTATGGAGTTTACAGAAAATCAAACAGTACGAGCCACCAACTCTGCAAGGCCAAGCCCAGTGAGATTAATAGGGATAGTACGATCTATCCTCATAATCCTCGCCGTCGTATGGCCTTCCATCCTCATGCAGGCCATAATCATACATTGATCTCCGCATCTGACCGCGATTATAACGCGTATTCTCGATCAGCAGCGAGTCATCTCCAGTCCTACGCCTTAGTGAAGGCCATATCCCCTGCCTCCTGTCATACAGATTGCGCCACGCATCATCCATAAACAGTCCTGGGTTGACTGTCGGGCTTGCCTCAGGCTCGGGAATACCATTCCGTATATTCTCTCCAATGCGAAATGCGTCTCTCCAAAAGTCATTGTGCTCTCTCCTGAACCTCTGCATTGTGAAAAATTAGTATCCTTCATTTGAAGCGCAATGTATGACTTACCTTTGGTCCGGCAGCACTCCAGTCTTTGGTCTTCGGGCGCCGCCTGCGAGGATGCCGGGCAAGCCAATCATGCTCTTCGCGCGTGAAGCGGGGATACTTCTCGAGGGGGTCTTGATCGAAATTGTTGTCGTACTCCCACAGCACATACTTCCTCGTATGAGGGTCGTAACGGCGGTTCCCCCTGTCGACATTGAACGCGTAACTTCGGCGCTCGCGCAATTGGGCTTCTGGGCTATCATAGCTGTCCCTGAACAGACAGTCAGCGGATAATCAAGGCTATCAGGATAGGAACTTGCCAGTTGCCCCAGTGATCTGGCTTGATGGGCGTGGTGTCGTTCTTCCGGGTTATAAAAATATCAGGCCCAGTGTTTGTCATAATGCTCATTAGGCCTCCCCACCAGCCTCTTGGTGTTTTCCCTTTCCTTCCTTCTCGAGGCCAAACGAACTGTTTATCCCAAGCAGAGCGAGGGCCTCCAATGAACTGGGACCCACCAGCCATCTCGACGGATTTAGTTCTTGTAGTCAAGCCTGAACTATGAAATTGACGTATCCAAGAACAAAACGAACAGAAGAGATAGAGGAAACAACAACAGGAAAAAGACACAATGGAAAACTTTGACGACTTATATCCGACCTCGAGTTTGGGTTTGTAACGATACACACAGATGCAGCTTGCTTGATTGCCAACAATTATACCTTCAAGTCACTGCCTATTCTTCTAGGCAAACCCTCAAGGTGTAATATGAGTTATTGCGGACTGGCCGAAGCCCATCTTGGTTGGGCAAACATCGACTCCGCCATATCACTTATGAGAGGCCGTGGTTGTGAACTGAGATTTGGGCACCTGAAAGAGCAATGTTGTATTTAATGCACTGCATATTGCGAACAACATAAACCATCATTATTTCTTGAAGGAGACTGATTTCTGTCGCCCTTTATGACTGCTAATGTTCTTGAGATACGGGGTTGTAGGTAACTGACTGCGGTCCCTTGGAAGGCCTGGATGCACGGACCAGCTTGCTGGTTGACAATCAGACCTTTAACAATCAACGAGTTACCTCAATCGTCTGATAACGAGCTCTCATTGTTTACACCCAACTCCCAACAAAAGCGCGACGGCAGCATTACCACAACACGAAATGGCCCAGGATTTGTGAGAGGCCTGTGTCACGCCGTACAGTAAATCCCACCATCAGCCTTATTATACGACATCAACTAGCCACGCAGCGTGCCTTTCATACTGTGTTTGCTCCCCGACGCGCCAGCGACGTCGAAGTTCGCCTTGAATCCTCTCAAGCTCTCAGCGAACTTCTGGGAGCCAGAATACTTGATCCGTCCGGTGAACGAACCTGGAAAACTTATGCGGTTTTGACCCGTCAGTCTAAGGTCTAATTCGCCCCGATCCAATCATCCACCGACACTTGAACTGGCTTTCGACGAACAGCTCCGATTCCAAGAATCCCGCGTCAAAACTGTCAACATAACGCATGGGAGCTTCTCCGCTGTTCGGTCCAGCTAGTGCTACGAATAAGTATATTTGGCTGGCCCCTACTACGAGATATTGCGCAATCGACAACCCAACAGCAGCAGATCGAAGGACCGATACTGCGGGTGAGGAACGACGCGGTCTTGGATATATATACAACAGATCTATGTATATAATGGTTTGAAGGAGGATTGTTCCAATTTCTGTCCGTTTTAGCGCTTGACGGCGTTTATGGACAGAACTGTTCTGAAGATTTATCAAGTCGCGTCAACTGGAGGATATCACGGATTGTCTGCATATGACGGAGGAGAAGCGCAATGCCCACAACAAATGTTTCTTCGGCTTGTGAGCTGCAGCTACAAGAGATCGCAGATGCCCTGTCAAAATCCAAGAAGGTGGTTGTCATAACTGGAGCTGGTATCTCTACAAATTGTGGCATACCTGTAAGTTCAACCCCAATAATTTCCAAACCATTGAGCTTATGATTTCTATAGGATTTCAGGTCGGAGAACGGACTTTATACTCTCATTCAAGCCCAATACGATGCAGCTGCGGCGAACAAGACGAATCCCAACACTGGCGATATTGACGATCGTCCCGTGAAACGGAGGAAGCTTGACAGGTCATGCTCTCTAGGGTCTTCGGAATTGGAAAATGGGATTATAAAAGCGGCGCCATTACGCCGGCAGCTTCGATCATCGCAGTCTTTTCACACTAATGCAACGGATTCAGACTCAGCAGGCTTGAATCCAGATACCCCTTCGGAAATTCCCACCAAAGAAGTGGAGGAGACTCCAAAAGATGTTTCACCTGAAGCTGTTAACGAGCCCATATTTTCGTCTCAGGCGTCCGGAAGGTCTACGGGATCGAGACAAAGCCTTCCGAATATGAAGGGAAAAGACTTGTTCGACTCCATAATCTGGACTGACAAACTGACGACGTCAATATTCTATACCTTTATATCGAGCCTAAGGCAAAAGATTCTCAAGGATGTCACGTCAACGACAGACACACATAAGTTCATTCGCGCATTGCGTGATGGGGGCAGGCTTGTCCGTAATTATACCCAAAATATAGACATGCTCGAACGTCGCGAAGGTCTCTGCACCGAGTTAGAACGGGGAACAGGCACTCGCGGACGTTTCAACCCAAAACTCCGAAAGGAAGCACGAACTCAAAACAAAAAAGGCGGAACACAAGACTCTGGTGTCGAGGTTGTTCATTTACATGGAAGTTTGGATTTCCTGAGATGTGGCCTCTGTGCACGGCTGGCAAATTGGGAGGACGATGACCGACACGTTACGACTCTAGCAGGCGAGGCTCCTGAATGCCCCTGGTGCTCTGAAAATAGCGCCAAGCGAGAGGGCAAGGGAAGGCGCAGTCTTGCTGTCGGCAGATTACGACCGGATATCGTCTTATATGGCGAGGAACATCCGAGCGCCCATCTTGTTGGGCCTCTCATAACGCACGACTTGTCTCTCAGTCCAGACATGCTGCTCATCCTAGGTACAAGTATGCGTGTCCATGGTTTAAAGGTTATGGTCCGAGAGTTTGCAAAGGCAGTGCATGGACGAGGCGGCTCTGTGGTATTTGTTAACCAGACGAAGCCGCCTGACAGCATATGGGGAGACGTGATTGACTATTGGGTAGAATGGGATTGTGACGCGTGGGTCGCAGATTTGAAGCAGAGGAGAGATGATATATGGCTTCCACAAGGGACGAAGGTGGAAGTACCCAAGGACGACAAGACACCCAAAAACCCCAGCGCCATGAGGCAAGACCACCTGAACGGTGCACACCTTCAATGGAAGATTCTTTTATCTCTGAGGCAGCTGACAGGCCGTGGCGAAGACGAAGAAGCGGCGAAGATGATCGAGAGGATAGATGGGCTCTACAAGCAGACAGCTCCAAAAAGCACCATACCACGCCGCCGTTCGTTGCCAGCCACAACCAAGAAGCAGAATTCGAGAATCCCACTCTCCAATTTGTCATCCAATGTACGGGGACCGATGCTCCCCGCTAATTGTAAGCCGAAATCTACAAATGGCCAGCGTCGCGCATTACCGTCGCCGCCGACTAGTGATGAGGCTGGGCTGCTGCTTCCACAGCCGATGACGCCTAGAGCTGTGAGGATTAAGAAGTTGACGAGCATAGATGCGATTCTTTCGAGCCCTCTGAGCAGTCCACCCAAAGTGATAGTTTGGGCGGACTACCAGTAGCTCTGTATATGAAGTGATGAAGGAGTTTGAAGGAGTAGAGGACCGTTTAGGTCGTATATATACCATGGCGAGTTTAAATTCAGTTAAAGTGTGGCAGCTGCTATTTCCTCGTTTCAAACATCTCCCGTGCTCACCGCAGATGATAACCTCTCGATTCTTCATGTATAAACCACGCAACCGATGTCGTGTTTCAAGTGGCAAAGATATCTACGAGACTCCAACGTCTTCTCGTGTCATAAATTAATTTACGAAGAAATATGAAACCCCTCGCAACTAATGTCTCTCTGGTCCCCTAAGCCTTTGCGACAGACTCGGCATCCTTAGCCAAGTATTCTCCCTTGTTAACCTTCTCGCACACATCCTTCAACATCTTCGCAGCAAACACAAAATCGTTTTCATCCAGATAAACCTGCGCGCTCAATCGGCACCAGATCCCGCCCTGGAAGATACTAGTCGCAACATAAGACTGGTACTCCGTCGCCATTGTCTGCCCCAGATACGTGAGGATAGTACCAAAGTCAGCAGACTTCACAGTCCCACCGTCTTTCTCAAGATTGAGCGGCAGCCGGACAAACGACATGGTGCAATCCATCAACGTTCCCTCTTCATTCTCAAGCGCCTCGGTACCGAGCTCAGACACCATGAGCTTCGTCGCCTTTCGCAGAAGACTGTTGTTATACTCGTAGATTGCCTTCTCACCTCCGCAGACCTGCTCGCGCCACTTGATGGCCTCGGGGACGCAGAGGTACTGCTCATTATCCTGGGTGCCGACCCACTCGTACATCGCAACAAAATGCGGGTTGCCAGTAGGTGATGGTTTCTCGGGCACGCCCTTAGGGAGGTAGGATTCCGATGTTGGCAGCGTGGAGCGGATGATGTGCTGGTTGCGCTCGGCGACGATGAAGACGGCACATCCGCGCGGGGTAAAGAGCCATTTGTGGCAGTTTGAGACGAAGAAATCGGGATCGAGCGTGGCGAAGTCCAGTGGGATCTGGCCGATGCCGTGGGCTCCGTCAATCAAACTGAGAACGCCTTCTTCCTTGCAGACTGCGGTCAGGGCCTCGAAGGGGATGCGGACACCAGGCATGGAGGCGATGGTGTCAAAGAAGGCCACACGGGGGTTCTTGCCCTCTGCACGGGAGGCGGCAATGGCCTCGCGGAAAAGAGAAACGTAGTCGGCATTAGAGATTGGATACTCCGTCGTGATGGCGCGGTTGGAAACAAGGCCAGTGGAGTCACTAATATAGGCGATGGTCTTGTTGCAAGCACCGTATATGGTGCTGAAGCTCAGGATCTCATCTTTGCCATCTTTGTTCCAAGGGATGTTACGGAGAACAGTGTTGACTGCCGTGGTTGCGTTGGGGACGAAGACGCAGTTGTCTACTGGGGCGTTGACAAGGGCAGCAACGGCGGCGCGGGACTTGTCCAGATAGTCATTGTAGGCGTAGCGGACGAAGGGATCGGGGCGGCTCTCCTTCTGGTCCTTGAAGTGGTTGGCTACCTCCCGGATTGCGCGAGGATAGCAGCCATATGAGCCTGGAGAGATGATGAGCCTCTGGCACCGTTTGGATCATGTTTTGCTTACCATGGTTCAGGTTCCTGTACTCAGGGTCAAAGGTGAAGAGCTTCCGCATCTCCTTTCCGAATAGAGTGCGAGAATAGGTCACATCCTTAGCTTCGCTGAGGTGGAGGTCGATGTGGATTGAAGAAACGTTGTGCATCTTGAATGATACCAAGGGGCAATTGGCCGTGTTATGTTGGGTATAATGATAAAATATATTCTGGATATTCCAATTGCAAGAATAGAGCTCGTGAAGCAACACAATATATAGACACAATATTTTTATAGACCTGTGAGTCACCCGAAGCTTTTGATTGCAGAAGTCCTCGATAACTCTATCGAGGCTTGTTGGCAGGGTTGTTCAGGTTTATGCAGAATATGTTGCAACAAAACGTATAACTTCTCGATGTATGTCTTAACAGAGGCAATATATGCAATTTGTAATATGAAATAACTCCTCTGGCCCTGAGTATTTTTGTGATCGAAAGGGCGCAGTTTAGATAACAGACGAGCCTTGATGGTTGTTGTATGCTGTGCTACCCCTCAACCCCTCATTTTGTTGTTCCTGTCCTCCACTAAGATGCCAAGATCCACCACGATGTACACACCGTGCTAAGTTACATATGGAAGGTACATAGCGATGGGCATGAGCAACCTTGGCGAATCGCGGCCGGACATAACTCCGAAGCTCTAGAAGTTATCATGTCGGCTGGGGAATGCCAACTTCATACAACAGTATATTCGTGGGATTAATACAAAATGTCGCTCCAACAGCTCTCCAAGCTTCTTCCACTGCCGGAGGAAGACCTCCAGCAGGTCCTTGCCTACGCATCGACTCTACCTCCACAAGAAGCTGTAGAACACTTCAACAATCTGCTGGGCGAGTCACCAGCATCTATCGAATTCATATCCACCTTCAACTCACGTCGTCAGCCAGCACCAAGCTCCTCAAACAACCAAGCTTCGTCTTCTTCCGCCTCTTCCGCTATCCCAAAGTCAACCCGCGCGCCCAAAAAGAAGAAGCCGCAAATCCACACTCCCGCTCCCCGCCAGGTGCAAGATACCACCTATGCGGGGCAAGGCAAGGCATACCAAAAGAAAGGCAATGAATCCTACGTCCCACCACGCGCAGGGCCATCACAACAGCACAACAACCTCAGCCTCCGCGACCCGCCCAAGAAGACGCAAACCCCTCTTTCCCGCCCCCCGCCCTCAGCAGCCGGGCGCCTGATCTCCGATCCCCTCAAACCATCCAGCGCCCCAACAACTCGTACCTCCTTGCCCGCGCGCCCCTCCGCGCGGGCTACGAAAATCAGCATCACAGGCGGCACGCCCATGAGCACCTCCTCGAACCTCTCCGAACTCGATACCCTAATCTACAGCCTCGAGAACGCATCTACATCCGCCGTCTCCAACGCCTCGCGCTCCTGCAACTGTATAGCCACCAAGCACGCTCTCCTCGCCGCTGCCCCGAACTGCCTCAACTGCGGGAAAGTCATCTGCGTCAAGGAGGGCTTCGGGCCGTGCACATTCTGCGGCCAACCCATCCTCCAGCCTGAAGACCGCGATAACATCGTGCGAGAACTGAGGGCCGATAGAGCGCAGGAGAAACAAGCTATTGACCGCGCAGCACATCGCCGGATTGAGACAACTAAAAATCCCTATGTGAGCCGTGCAGCAGCCGTGCCTGCGGGCCCTACACCGGCAGAGCTCTCCAGGGGCGATGGGGAGGGCTTGAGCGCGGCAGAGAAAGCGCAGGCGCATCGCGATCGCTTATTAGGGTTCCAGGCGCAGAATGCGAGTCGCACGCGGGTATACGATGAGGCCGCCGACTTTGCGACGCCAGATGTGGGGGTTAGTCAGTGGGCTGGGCCGATGGAGCGGGCGAGGTTGCTGAAGCAGCAGCAGAAGGTGTTGAGGGAGCAGGAGTGGAATGCTAAGCCGGAGTATGAGAAGAAGAGGGAGATGGTGAGCTTGGATATTGTGGGAGGGAAACTTGTGAAGACCTTTAAGAGGGTGGATGGTAAGTACCATGATACCGTGGCGGATAAGGAGAATATAGGAGGGGATGAGGGTGTAGATGCTGGTGGTTATGAGCAAGCTGATGCGAGGACGTCGGGAGGAGCATATAGTCGGAACCCACTGATAGGGGGGTTGACAAGGCCGGTCTTTACGCCTCTTGAGGGTAAGGGGGTGGAAGACGGCGAGGCGCAGACAAGGCAAAAGACGTGGCGACGGGTGCAAGACGACTACGATGATAATGAGGAAGTAATCCTAGACGGACGTGTTTATGGGTCTGGTAGCCTGCTGGAGGGAGATATGAGGGAGGGTGCCGATGAGAAGGCTTGCACCTGAGACGAGATGGGAGAACAGGCTCTATCTCGCCGTCGCTGACGCTTAACGAATCTTATGAAGGGAATATGAAAACTCAAAATTTAGACTCTAGATAATCTTGGTCTGTATATTACAATGCAGTGTCACCTATTCAGTGCCACCTATTTGATGAGCAGCTCTTGATGGCCTTTACACAATTTTGTTGACTTCGAATCGCTTTTGCACTTCCCACTATGAGACATGTCCGCTCTTTCATATATGCAAAATGTATTACTAATCTTAGTTCCAATCTTGACCATCGATCCTTCCTTCTGCAACATAGGAGGACTGCTCCTTCCGTCTGTAAAATAAGGAGCCGCTCCTTCCTTCTGGAGGATGGTGAGCTGCTCGTTCTTTTTACAGCGTAACGAAGAGCTCCTTCCTTCTTCAAGGTAAGAGGGTAGCCCGTTCCTTCTGAGGAATGAGGAGTTGCTCCTTCCTTCTACAGAATCAAGAATCGCTCCTTCCTTTGCAATATGCTCGACTCGCTTGAGCCTCTGAAGTCCCCCAAACTATATACTACTACCCAATCACCATGTGCTTAACTTGTTGAAAAGCTATCGCCCAGGCACCTCTCAAATCCTTCTTGGAAATATAGACTAGAAGACTCGCTGGTGTCTAACGACTCTACTGCTGTCGACATACTGGTATTCTCGGTTTATAAAGAAGTTAATTAGACTTCCTGAGGGTAACAATGCCACTCATACTTTTCTCAACATCTGCGTGTGATAGGATCATGATTGTAGTCAAAGCCCTTAATCGCACCAGTCAAATGCGATGCAGCCCGCAGGAGGATACAGGCATGAAATATCTGATGAGAGCTCCCCCAGACATCAAATCTTGCCGGAGCGAAGCGTTCTGGGAGTTTGGCCTGGAGCTAATCATCCCCTGTTGGTCCCTGTGCAGTACGAAACTCACCATATAAATCACCGCACCCCCCACATATACCACATCGCCTCCCGAATATACCAATACCAGCCCATCTGAAAATTTGCCTGATCACTCTCAAGAGTCAAAGCTGCATGTGTCATAGGCACGATGCCCGTCAGCCCCATCGTCAGGAACAAAGCAGTCCTCAGATGCCGCCAGGACCTGTGCCCTTTTACTCACAGCTTCTGCAGATCATGGTGTTCGGATTGGCTCGCAGTAGAAGGAGTAGTAGATGCTGGGGTAGAAGGAGCCCATTATGAGAAAACTGATTCCGAGCATGTCGAGCATAAAGAAGTAGTCGTAGACAGTTGAATACTTGAGTGGAAATGTGAAGTTGTATTCTCATCTACTTTGAGGAGGCGCATACTCTTATGAGTGCGCGCAGCCTAAAGGCTGCCTACGGTCTTTGCTAATACATAAACAAAGGTAAGCTTGTGGAAGCTCGTAAACCCAACTAGTAGTCTAGACTACCAACATAGACGCTGCTGGAGTGGTTGTTGAAGGTGTGGAATGCAGCGGATAATGTTAGGCACATGAACAAGCCCATGGCAAAGGCGCCGAATACCGCAACGTCCACCCATGTTGCTGAATGATACCGTGGGGAAATTATACAATAGAGAACACAGCCGGCAGCTACAAACCCCAAGCACCTAGCAGATGGCTATAGATGTTAACGGTCTGGTCATGGATGTAGCCAAGACTGCTGATGGACTTTAGGTAGGAGTTGCTTGCTGGCCTGTAACTGCGAATAATGAAGCGGTTGTATTGTCGCCATGGCTCGATGTCTGCCCAAGCCAGCAGGACAGCACCTGTACTTTCGCATGAAACCGGTTTGCATTTCTCGCTCTGTGGTTGAGCCATTTACAGAGCCGAGATGCTCGAACTTGACTTTCTCATCAGGGGCTTTTAGTCGTTGGCGGGGTCGATTATCCGTCAAGTCGCTCGTTTCATACATATGGTTGAGCATCGCAAATGGTGTCTTTGGGCGTTAGATACAACGGCAGGAAGACAAAAACAATCGAAAAACATGCTGCAGATATTGAATAGATGAGAAGAGGCGTGTATATATAAATAACAAGGTTCTTGCCGCGCAGGCCGATCAACGGATGTATAATATGAAGCTGTAAGAAGATGATAAATCGGAGGAATAATTACCGCAAATCATGGTGCGAGGATGCAGCCATGCCCCGCTGCCCTATATAGCCTATGCGTGTCGGAACTACGAATAGTTAAGACTCTCATCTGCAAGATAAACCCACGCCAAGGGCCATGTGTTTGCGAGGGGCTTTGCACGTCATCCGTGGGATAAAACATTGGCATTTTCTTACCATGCAGGAAACGTACATTGATCGTAATTTTATAGCGCTGATATGTTGATATCTAGCACCGAGGCAGGTGGTTCACTCAGAATAAATGCATGGATTGACAGGAACTTGCGGGTAATTTAATAAATGGAGCTATGGACAACCCCAATAGTTAGTTCTTCTTCGTTGTTCAAAAGAAAGCTGAGGCAGGAGTAGCTTTCGCTCCAAACTATCTCTATTGACCCGCATTAGAAATCTCCGCTCGCACTCAACGAATAGATACAGCCAGTTAGAAATAAGCCCATTCATAAAAAACATCAAAAGTGCTAGGCCGAGCATAACGGGTCGTAGCACTCAACCACCTTAGTGCGCCAACAGAAATCCACCCCTCATACCCATAACTACAAAGATCCCATCCCTTGGGAGTATCTCGGAACACCCCCAACATTTAGTCGGAGTCCGAGCTCGAGCTGCTTCTCGAGCCACTCCTCTTCTTGTGCTTCTTCTCCTTCTTATGCTTCTTGTGCTTGCCCTCCAGGACATTCGCTCCGACAGCTCCCGCAACACCACCGAGCACCGTTCCGAGCATGCCTCCGCCCATCTTGTGTCCCAAGAATCCACCTCCGGCGCTACCAATCAGCGTAGCTCCCAGTCCTCTGTCACCCTCTTGTCCGCCGCCTGGGTAAGCTTGTCCACCAGGAGCGCCGTACTGGCCCGGCTGCTGGTGTCCTTGAGGCGGGTAGCCACCCTGTTGTTGGTAATCCTGCTGTTGTTGGGGGTTTGGGCTGTGGCCCCGGTTGTCGTAGCCGCCTTCGTGCTGGGGCGGGTACTGGCCCTGAGGAGGGTAGCCTTGGGGTGCGCCGCCGTGCTGGTTGTAGCCTTGTTGCTGCTGTTGGCCGTATTGGTCTTGGTGTTGAGGGGGGTAGCCTCCTTGTTGCTGGGGAGGGTATTGTTGCTGGGGAGGGTATTGTTGCTGGGGAGGGTATTGTTGCTGTTGAGGAGGGTAGCCGCCTTGTCCTTGGGGAGGGCCGCCGTAGTTCTGTTGCTGGTTGTAGCCGCCGCCGCCGCCTCCGTAGTAGTCGTTGCTTGACATTTTGTTGCTTAGGTTCGTAGATCGAGGAAGGGAGATGGAGTTTGTGGTTAAGATGGGGTTTGCTTGATGGAGGCGATGATAAAGACGGGGATGAGGGTCATTTATAGGCGTCCAGAGATGATGATTCCGTGGTTGGTGGTGGGGAGCTCGGACTGCACAGCCTCGAGTTTCATAATAGCGTGCCTTCAGTCACCACACATTCGCTCCCTGTACACCCATATACAAAGTGCGACTCCTCCTACGCCACTACTCTGAATCGGCCAGACCCGAGGGGCTGAGCTGTTTCTATTGTTATTGCATGCATCACCTGGCCCTGCAGCGTCATTAAAAAAGCCACTATCTAGAGCTCTTTTACCGGCGTGTTGGTTGGACACCCTGTATTTGTAGACGCGTTGGCACCCACTTGGCCTACGTGAGAGTGGGCTTGTGACGGGTATCCGGCATGGACACGGGAGAGATGGAGCGCCTCGAAAGCCGAGAAGTGGGCATTTGTATGACTATTTTGGTGGTGAAGGTGATGCATCATTCTGCGGTCTGACAACTGACAAGATACTCTTGCATAATGCCATTCTATACCTATAGAATGGCATTATGCAAGAGTATCTAGGTAGATTATATGCCCAAATCTAGCCAAGAACATCATAAGTGAACATGCAAACGATTCAAATGCAATTAAGGCAATCGCTCCTCTCCCTCCTCATTATGGCAGATGTGACATAAGCCATCCCTTCGCCGACATATGAGAGCTCTAATCGTCATCTAATTCCCACCAGCGCTCCCTTGCCCCCCTCTCCCTCGGTGCCATGAGCAGCCTCTCATGGGCAGCGTATCTACGATGGAGGTCGATTTCGTCATCTGAATAAAGTATCTCGTCGTAGGGAAAGTCCAGCTCTTCTTCGAGGAAGCGATATGGCATCCTGCGTCGTTCGAAGGGGTTCCTCCAATCAAGGTCGTCGTCTAAGTCATCTGCGAAGTGGACGCGTCGACGACCGCGGGGGTGGTGGTGGGGGGGACGACTATGATGGTGTCCATGAAAGTGGTGAGGGCGGTCATGGAGGATTGGCCTCTGTTGCCTCAAGTCATCTCGCATATGTTGAAGATGCGGATTGTGATGTACAATGTCCAAGTCGTGAGAGGTTAATCGCGGTCCAGCGGCGATATCTTCGTGCAACCTATCTGGTAGAGGTCTTCGTATCCGGCCAGTTCTGGGTGGTGGAAAGTCATCATCGGAATCTAGATAAATCTCATCTCTGAGACGATTGTCAAATCGGTCGCCAAAACCTGCAACAGAACCAGGTCCCTGGCGCTGGACAAGGTCGGCATGCTCTGGATAGAGCCGTGGATTCAGTTGATCGAGGTCGTCGTAACATGGATCTGTAGCTTGGTACCGTGGGCCAATAGTTCGCCTTGGGAGGATGGGTAGGCGCTCGACCGGCTCTTGAACAATAAGCGGATCGTAGAATGGGGTGCGGCCAAGCCTAGATATTCCCATCTTCCACCCCGGAGGCAGAATCTCCGCACGTAAATGTCTATCTCGCCACCCCTGGCTTCTGTTGGCCATCATGTCGTATACGATTCTACCACCAGGGTCTATTTCAGATTAGTAGGTAGAGTCTGATTCAGGAGTGGGTACGGTACAGTCTAAATATCGTCTATAGTCGACCATTTTTCGGATATGCAGCTGCTAAGTTAGTACCACCGCACAGCATATGCAACACAGGTGTGGTCCAATAAATGAGGCGTTCGAGAAAGAGCTCAGGGCGTCGAGAGTAAATGTCGAATCCTAACAGCCTCAATATTGCCAGTGGGAAAGTTAGGATGAAATGGAAACCCTTCGCAGTCGCGCCTGTTGGGATTTGGGAAGAGAAAGCAGAGCGTTTGCCTGGGGGAAATAAATCAAAATAATATAGAAACCGATCAGTATCGGAGCAATCACAAGCAGCTGATCTTTGCTCTGTCTCACCGAATATACACAGCCAAACAATAGTGCGCTTTCGGTCCATGCGGCATCGTGGCAGTAAGCCGACATGATGCCCGGAGGAGCAAACCCAATACATGAAAATGAAATATGCCTTTGTGCCACTCTAGTCGCAGCTGCCAAGGCCGCGGCCACCTGTCAATGTGATGAGGAAATGAAAGAATCTGCTACCAGAGAAATGGCAACATGAAGGACAGTAGTATCAAGCGCATGCGCCGACAGAAAAAACGGAGATTTCAAGAGAAGTCGGCCAATTTTGGGGTTAAATTGGACGGGATCAGCCTGTACGAAGGCGAGCGGAGAGGGAACACAATGGGACGTAGTATATGGCGACCTACATGTGTCGCCAACTCACCGCGTCTGTGAATCAACACGTTTTCCGTCCCATACGAACGGATCCGTATCGCAGATATATAAGATATAAAATGTATGTGCTATATGCGTATATGCGTATGTATGAGTAGTTATGGTTATTGTAACTGTATGATGTAACTCTGTTGATCTACAGTCACAAAAGTATTCGCCTCCTCCCTCTCTTTATGCATATGACATTTCGCCAAAAACGGACTGGCGTTGACTCGTCTCCCGACGCCGCGTTCCTGAGCACCAACTACCAACCTCCGGATGCGCCAGATCGCGCTAAGCCCATTTAGCGCTTCTTTTCCACCACCAATACACACTTTCTTCGCCTTCATTTTGAACATCAGCATATACTTGGAGCACAGCAGCACAGCATTGAAATCAACAACTTAATCGATCCCCAACAACAGTTCCTCCCCGTCTTCAGAGACCCCCAAACTCAACCTTCCTACTACGAAAGGCCTCCTCGTTTTTGTGTTTTTTCACAGCGCATATCCTACACTTTTCGATCCTAAAGACGATACCGTCACCACCTTTGGTACTTAAGCAATAGCAAACAACCAGCAATGCCTTCACATTTGCCATCGAGCTTCGCATCTGCTGCGGCAGGCCAATCATCCCGCGACACACGACCAAGTGGCAGGAACGAACCGCGAGGAGGCGGCGACTGGTACGTTATACGCGATCTTGCCCCTCGCACCAGCGACCTCGATGGATGCGGGAGATTGTTATTAGCATTTGGAGCCCAATCATTGCACTACTCTATTAGCTATAGATCACATGTGATACTGGCAGTGCTCATTAATACACTCCCCATCCAGGCGCCGCCGTGGTGAGGACCCTTGCAGGGTGTACTGACTTTGTATTAGGGCCAGGAAGGAAGCTCGATCCTTAAACGGCACTTTGACGCTCCGTCGATCCTCTACGAACCCTAACGCTGTCCCCGGACAAACTGTGCCGCAAGTTGAGCAATCAACCACATCATCAGCGTCGGATTCATTCTTCACTCAATATACCAACAACCCAGGAAGCGAAGCGCCAGTTGACACGCGATATTCGAAAGACGCGATTCTTGATATCTACAAAGCGCACCAGTCTTCGGTTAGTTCTAACGACGACGTCGCGAGATTATTTGTGAATAACTGGAATCCCGAACAGCAGAATAGCTCGGGTGCAAGAGGTTGGGGGAAATCGAACGATACTAGGGACCATAATCACGGACCCGAAATCTGTTGGGATCAAAGTGGCGAGGTGCAACCTATTGGCCTTCAAGATATGTCAGACGTGGAAAGATCTGTAAGTACCGGCGATGGATGTGTGTAGACCTCCATCTGACGATTTTCTAGATTTTCACCAACGAAGTCAACTCGCCACTTAAGCCACTATCGCAGAATACCAAGGAGCAAGGGACACCTGGGGGAGCCACGAACGGACGAAAAACATCCGTCTCTCACGGTCAGGGAGGAGCAGCTGGGCCTTACGGAGTTACACCCCCTACGCCTGGTCGACCCGGAACTCGACGCAGGGAGACCGGCGAATCTGTTGGTTACAGCTCGCTCACGTCGCCCGCAACCATGAGCAGATTTAACCGAGACGAACCATCGCCGTTTTTCAACCGGAAAGGCGGTGATAAAGATTCGTTCCTGGCAGACGATCGTGATGACGGAGTGAAGCACGGCCAGACGTCGCTTCCATTTGGTGGCGTCTCCCGAAGCAACACTGCTGGAAGCGGCCTTGGCAATGGGCCTGCTTCTCCGTGGGCGGCTCCAACTTCCGGTGCCAATATGTCTACTATGGGAAGCTTCGGGAGCTTTGCGCTTCCGTCAGGCTCGAACCCTCCAGCGACTCCTGGCGAGAAGCGCCCGGCGTTTGGGAGAGGCGAGAGTAGACTTGCCCACCTGATGCCGAAGGAAAGCTCCGAAGAGCTATCGTCGAAAGACGAGAGCCTTCGATCTGATGCCGCTAAGTCGTGGAGGGCAAGAGCTCGTACTGATACCGATCCATTTGATGAGTCAATTAGACCGGGAAGTGCGGCTCTGGGAGGCCAGGATATCAGCCCTCCGTTAAGCCAACACCGTCGGGCCCCTGGACTTGATACTCCTAGTCGCCAGGCTTCAGGTGATCTCGGAATGTCGGACGCACCAGGGTTCCGAGATGGGATGCACGGTCACGGAATTCAAACTCCCCATGAACGCCTTGGAGGACATCGTGGGTTGGAAAGCCCGACGGAAACCAACCCCTATGCCAGCCCTCCGGATGAGCGTGCCCAACGCGAAGAGGACGAGACTAGTATTGGAAGCAACCCTATGCACCAAGCTCGTCCTCATGGCTTAGGTGGGGTTGGGGAACAGGCTTCCAATCCATTTGGGGGGCTTGCTAGAGGATTCCCCAACGCACCTTTCGATGGAAGTGACCGCAGCCAGAATTCCAGTGCTACAGGCAGCAAGGGATTTCCATCTCTTGGCATTGCAGGCGCTGGTGGTTTGGGCGGCCTTGGAAGTTGGCCAACAAGCGCCAATCCTATTGGCACCCCTGACCGCGAACGATCGTTCCAAAGCGCATTTGGCAACTCCATTTTCGGGCCCATGGGCGACATGCAATCTCCAGGCTTGGGTGGTTTGGGGAATCTGGGGCCTGCATCGGGCGGTCTTTCCGGATCGAACACGATTGGTCGCGGCAGCAAGCTTGGCTCGCTTTTCCCAGTAGCGATGCAGGCGCAGATGCACACCACTGATACTGATCACCAAGGGGAGGATCAACGTCAAATGAGCAATTTCGGGGCCATTGGCAGAAATGCATTTGGCCCACCAAGAGAGACCGACAGTCCCTTGAGATCCGGAAGAGGGGTATTTGATGATCTGTTCCAGGCATCTGATTTCCGTCAAGGCCAGCACCCTCCTACTGAAGGAGCTCAGCCCCAAACCGCTTCTAGTTCTCAGCCGCCCTCAAATTCGCAGACTCCGGGTCAAGCTTATCAGCAAGGTCAGACCTCTGCAGAGCAGACTCCGACACCTGGGAACCTTCCACAGACCCAGCAGCGCACTATGGTTATGCCTGATCGCATGCGCTGGGTCTACCTTGACCCTCAAGGACAGACGCAAGGCCCTTGGTCCGGGTTGGAAATGCACGACTGGTACAAGGCATCATTTTTCACGCCAGATTTGTCTGTCAAGAAACTTGAGGATGTTGAGTTTGAACCTCTTGGTCAACTAATTAGAAGAATTGGCAATTCTCGTGAGCCATTCCTGGTACCACAAATCGGTATCCCTTACGGTCCTGTTACCGCTCAGTCTGGAGCTCCATTTGTGCCCACTGCTACGACTGGTGCGCCCGGACCTCAACCCGGAGCTGTCCAGCCTCCGTTTGCCGGGGCTTTCCCAAGCTTCGGCACGACTTTGACAGCGGAGCAGCAGAACAACCTTGAGCGCCGCAAGCAAGAGGAACAATACCTCATGGCGCGCCAGAGGGAGTTCCTTGCACAGCAGCAAGTGAACATGAAGCAGATGCAGATGCCAGGAGGTATCCCATCGGCTCTGCACCACCATTCTAGCGCGCATAGCTTGCAGAGCCAGCCCAGCTTTGGCAGCATTACGTCTCCGATTGGCCCCATCATGTCACAGCAACAGATTCCAACTAGCGGCTCAAGCTTCTTTGACGCCAGCAGTCGCCCAGCCCCTACTACTGGTAGCTCAAACCTACCACCGGACTTTTTTCGCGAGGATGAGGTTGCGAGACGAAGCCTACAGGACCGCCAGCAGGCTTTCGGTGCCCCAACCGGCGCCACCCAGGCACCCCGCTCTCAATTGCCTGCTATATTCTCGCAGCAATCTCAAGCACAGGCCGCCGCCTCTCAATATCAGGCGCATTCCGAAAATGATCCCCAAGGATTCCGGGCACGCCTTCAAGAGTTTGAGCAGCTCCGAGCCCAACATGATATGGAGCAAGCCGAGCATGCGCCTGCGCCAGCTACCACTGAGCCCACCCGTCCACCCCAGAACCGTCAACAGTCCCGCACGGAAACAGTCACCGCTGAAACCGAGGTTTTGGTTGAACGTAAGGACCAGGAGGAAGTTTTGTCACTCACTGAGCAGATCCAAAAGGCTGCCTCCGCAAAGCAGACTCCTCAGCCAGAGTCGCCGTGGGCGAAGGTTTCCAGTGGCCTACCAATGCCATTCCCACCACCACCGCAGTCAACTACTCCTCTTCCTGCTCCCGCAGCTCAGCGCGGTCGATCCAACCTTCCAGAGACTCTCCATGCGGGAACGAGGTCTAGATCTGAGACACCTGATACTGCAACTGCTCCACCATCTATCGCTCCGTGGGCTAAGGAGCCAGCTGATGCTCCAAAGGGCCCTTCGTTGAAGGAAATCCAAGAGGTTGAAGCAAAGAATGCCGCCAAACTAGAGGAATCTGCCGCTGTCGCTCGCCGTGCTCTTCTCGAGCAGGAGCTTCGTGCTCAGCCAGCCGCCGTTGCTCACGGGCTGCCAACCACCTCTACCTGGGGCAGCAGTGCCTCGCCAGTCGGCCCTGCCGTTACAGCCACTTCCACTTGGTCTAAGGCTACCACTACCAAGGTGCAGAACCAAGTGGCTGCAGCCACTGCCAGCAAGAAGACCCTTGCCGATATCCAAAGAGAGGAGGAGCTTAGAAAGCAGAAGCTTGCAGCAGCTGCCGTTCCAGCCGCGCCAGCCTTACCTTCCGGTGGAAAACGCTATGCAGAGCTTGCAAGCAAGCCCACTGCTGGACAGCCAGCAATGAACTCTGCTTGGTCTACGGTTGGCGCTGGTGGTAAAGTCAAGATGCCTGGAGGGCCCGTCGGCGCTGCTCCATCTCCTGTGATGCGCCTTGCCAGTTCTACTCCCGGACCTGCACTTGCCAAGGTGGCTAGACCAGCTGTCATTGAGAACCGAGCCAACACTAGCTCTGCGGCCTTGTCAAGCCAAAGTGGAGTATCCGCTGCCCAACAGGAGTTCACCAAATGGGCCAATGCGGCGCTTGCCAAGGGGCTCAACACTGATATCAATGGTAAGATCAATGCATAATACTTTTCAATATCTAATGCTAACTTTTTCACAGTTGACAATTTTGTTCAAATGCTCTGCGAGTTCCCAGGAGAGCCAGGTGTCATCGCTGATAGCGTCTACGCCAACTCCCAGCTTATGGATGGTCGCCGCTTCGCCGACGAGTTCATCCGCCGCAAGAAGCAGGCTGAGAAGGGCATTGTTGAGAGCGCCGGCGCCGGGTCGACTGGCTTCTCTACCGCAGGGTCGGGAAGTGCGTCCGCCGGTGGATGGAGCGAGGTAGCCAAGAAGGGGCCAGCCAAGGTGGAAGAACCAGTCGCATCTGGGTTCAAGGTTGTGCCCAACAAGAAGAAGGGTCGTAAGTGATCGTTCTGTGTGTTATTATTTGACTGTGATGCAAATGTATCAATACCATGGCCTACTGCATATCGAGTATTAGTTAAGAAGCGTCATCACAGGGATGGAGCGGGTTGTTTCGTCTGTTAAGAGTAGCTGTATCTGTATTATGAGTAATAATGAATTATTGTACACTACAACCATTGAGATTTACTGTCATATCCGTTCAGATGGAAGCTCAGTTGTCATGTTAAAACTGCATATACATTGCAATGAGCGAAGGCGCTTCATCAACCAACTTGATTACTGATAATCTTCGTTCTCTCTGTCACCATGCCTGAAGATGTATGCCAGGCATATTCACATGTGATCCATGAATTACAAATATCAATTAAATTAAACCTCCGTTGGAGTTCGGTATAAAGTCGGTAGAATACGTACAGTGATGGGTGCCTCCTCCTCGCGGCCCGGTATAATACGGAGGTTATGTTCATAAGTTTTGTGAGTGGGAGGGGCTATAAAAGCCACGTACAGGGCTGCGCGCAAATCGATGGTGTATCTCGCCTCATATTTTATATGTGATCGATACATGAGTTTATGCTGTTGTGCACAAATTCTGGGGTCCCATGCTCGATCCACTCACAAAACTTTTTGAACATTACCTCCGTAGTGTGCCCCTGTGCTGGTTTATGGTTACCGTCCTCCCAATGCCGTCATTGACGTTGCCTCGGCAGTGTAATGCGGGGCTCACTAATCCGCGAAATATAATATAATAGAGCTATTAACCCATTAAGCAAACAGAATTATATAATTTTGATCTGAGCGAGCATATACATATATCCGAACACTATAGAACTCACAATGCCTCTCGCACTCAGCATCACCAAGGCGGAGGGCAAGCCAGGTGTTGTCTACCATCCGTGAGAACCGCCCGCCGCGTCCGGTTCCCATCCAAAACTAACGCGGTTCCCCAGCCTTAAATTGGCCAATGTAGAGAAGCGGACTCCGGCCCAGGGAGAAATCCAAGTATCGATCTTGACCGCAGCCCTCAACCACCGCGACCTCTTCATCCGCCAATCGCTCTACCCCGCCATCTCATTCACGACCCCCCTCCTCGCCGATGGTTGCGGAGTAGTCACCTCAGGCTCTTCCAAACTCAATGGAAAGCGAGTTATTCTCACTCCCGCCCATGGCTGGGAATCTCAAGTCAGCGGCCCTGAAACTTTCATTGGGATCCTTGGAGGGACGACAATGAACGAGGTTGGCACCGCGCAGGAGGTCCTGGTTATACCCGAGACAGAGGTAGAGCTCGCACCGGAGCATCTCAATGATGCGCAGGCCGCGGCGCTGCCTCTCACTGGGTTGACTGCGTGGCGGGCGCTGGTGACGAAGTCTGGAGAGGCGCTGGAGGGAAGGAATATCCTGGTTACTGGGATTGGTGGCGGTGTGGCGCTGAATGCGCTGCAGTTTGCTGTGGCAAAGGGATGCAATGTCTGGGTTACGAGTGGAGATGAGGGCAAGATTAAGAAAGCGGTGGCGTTGGGCGCGAAGGGAGGGGTGAGCTACAAGGGCGCGGCTTGGGATAAAGAGTTATTGGCGATGTTACCAGATGAGAGGAAATGGATTGATGCGATTATTGATGGTGCGGGAGGGGATATCATGAAGCGGAGCGTTAGGTTTGTGAAGCAGGGGGGTGTGGTTGTGTCTTATGGCATGACTTTGGGGCCGAAGATCGACTTCCCCATGTCGGCTGTGTTGAAGAACATCGACCTCAAAGGATCGACTATGGGTTCAAGGGCGGAGTTCAGGGAGATGGTTCGCTTCGTGAATGAGAAGAAGATTGTGCCGGTGGTGTCGAGGGTGGTGGATGGGTTGGATAACCTTGAGGGCGTGGAGGAGCTGTTCCAAGAGATGAAGCACGGAAAGCAGTTTGGCAAGTTGATAATCAGGATTAAGAAGGATACCGGAAGCAAGTTGTAAGGGTAATAGTAAACATGCCAACTCAACAAAATGAAGCAATGTAATTATGATCAGTTATGGGGGCACTATGAGTTGACAACCGTTGCACCAGTGTGTTTGTTGTTTACATTTCATCATGGAAGGTCCGTCAGATGATGCTGCTCCAGAACGAGTTCGGTGGATAGTCTTAACGAAAAGAGCTGTAATAGGCAGCGGGATCACTTTGAACGAACAGGCAATTGAAGTTTGACATAATATAATACACCTATTAAAACGCGGGTATGGCGTATTCCAATGGTTCCCTCGCGCTCTCCCATGCCAGCCAATCTGATCTCGTCGTCCTAGAAGCCACGTTAGTTCATGTAGACCACGATTCTGCTTTTCATCCCCATAGAGCATAATACGTACGGTAACAACCCCATCTGATTTACTTTCCAGATTCCCAGGCCAAACGACGCAATCTGCATTGCCACATATGCGGCCTTCACCAACATCAACTTCTGCGCTGTTCCCTCGCTCTCGAATCGTTGGAACGCCGAGTTTGTCGCCAGTAGTCCCATCAAGGGGTTCTTGAATGCCATCACAACCATCATAATCGAGAATATCTGAAGCCCATTGCCCGACATATACATCATAAAGCCGGTCATGGGAATCTGCTTCACAGGTGCCAACGCGACCTCCCATGCCTTCTTCAGCTTAAGCGTGTCTGTTTCTTCTGTCGTAGGTGGTTTGCGTGCATTGTTGCCTGCGGCAGCTTGTTGCTTCTGGTACACATTAGATTTGATTCTTGGAATGACAATTGAGCTCTGGGGTGGACAAGGCTGACTTTTGATCCGCTGGTAGGAGCCCCTGTAAATCCGGGTGGATCCGGAATAGTTGTGGTCTTTGGCTTCGAGATAGGAGGGTTATTGAGGTCGATGACCCATTGCGGAGGAGGTGGAGGCGGGGTCATGGGTTGGGACATGTTGGCTGGTTGATGGCCTTTATGTGAAGCGTTCTGGACTGGACTTGTACGTATGTCGTCGGTGGGCTGCGCGCCTGTGGAGGTGCCGCTAAGCTAGGAATGAGCTCAGGCCGTACGTATCGTTCGCGCTTGCGGATTGGATTATTAGACGTAGTCAGCACCGGCCATAACGACAACGAACAATATCCCCTATCAACACTCCTACAACACTATCTCTATATTTATTTTCGATACTCAGCTTTGAATGCGCTGATTAGAGCGATGACTTTATAATTGCGCCTCACGACCTGTACTAACAAGGCGAGCGCGCGAGTGACTTGCTGCGAGTTGCCGCCGGTTGCGCCAACGCTCCTGGTTGCTTGTGGAGGGGTAACATACACATTTTGGTCACTGACCAGAAAACCAAGGCAAGATGAGTTCAGGCGGGGGAGATGCCAAGCTCTTTGCAAGAGTACGTCTTTATTATTCCATTCATGTTCCATTCCATCCCTCTTATATTTCTCGGGCGCATTGCTCTCGGATTCGATATTGTCATCAAATGCCTTGGGACACTTCGCCGCACGATGCGCCACGAACCACAATACGATCCAGAGAATCTCTGATCGGTCCCAACCATGGCGATGTTTGCCCCTGCGCTTTACCTGCATACATATAGCTTACCCAAAACTCGACAGGGCAAGGTGGCGGAGCTGCGACAAGAGCTCAACTTTGGGGGAAAGAAGGACAAGAATCACTCCGCGAAGAAGATAGCGCTGAAAAAGATCGTGGCGAATATGACGATGAGCAATAATGATATGGTGGCCCTCTTCCCAGATGTGGTTGCGTGTATGGATATACAGAGCTTGGAGATAAAGAAGATGTATGTGCAACTGGGAGATACACATGCTGGGGCTTCGCAGGGTCGTGACGAGGCTGACAGAGATACAGGTGCTTCTTGTTCCTCGTCAACTATGCCAGAATGAAGCCGGAGACTGCAGTCAAGGCCCTTCCGACGCTCGAAGGTGTAAGTCAGATTCTTAAGGGGCATATTAGGTCCCGATTTACTAACTTAACCCAGGATATGAAAGATTCGAACCCTCTGGTCAGAGCGCTGGCACTTCGAACGATGTCTTATATACATGTGAGGGAGTTTGTGGAAGGAACAGTTCCGCACGTCAAACATCTGTTGAAAGACTCCGACCCGTATGTGCGAAAAACAGCTGCGTTTTGTGTGGCTAAGCTATACGACCACGACAAAGACTTGGTTGAGAGATCAGATCTCATCGAGAGGCTGAACTCTATGCTTAGAGATGACAACCCAACCGTAGTTGCGAGTGCGTTAGGCAGTCTCATGGACATCTGGGAGCGGAGCGATGCGATTAAGCTTACCATAGACTATAGTAATGCATCAAAGATGGTTCAAATCCTCCCAGACTGCTCAGAGTATGGAACCCCGCTACCTTTTTGCCTCACAAAGCTAACAATGACAACAGATGGGGCCAGACATATATCCTAGAAGCATTAATGTCGTATTTGCCACAGGAATGCTCCGAGGCTTTACTGCTGGCGGAGAGGATCGCCCCTAGGCTGTCGCATTCAAACTCGGCCGTTGTGCTCACTTGCATAAGGGTAATTTTGTACCTTATGAACTATATTAAGGACGACAAACAAATAACGGCTCTGTGCCGCAAGCTTTCGCCGCCTCTGGTGACGCTTCTGGCCAAGGGTCCAGAGATCCAATATCTAGCTCTACGAAACGCACTCTTGATTTTGCAACGGCGGCCGGAAGTTCTCAGAAATGACATCCGTGTCTTCTTTTGCAAATACAACGACCCTATTTATGTCAAAGTTACAAAATTGGAACTGATTTTCATGCTTGCGAATGAAAAGAACATCAGGGAGGTCTTGACAGAACTTCGAGAGTACGCGACTGAGATTGACGTTCACTTCGTACGGAAATCAGTGCGTGCCATCGGAAAACTGGCTATCAAGATCGAACCAGCCGCGAAGCAATGCATCAACACCCTTCTTGAGCTTGTCGCGACTAAAGTTACGTATATTGTTCAAGAGGCTACTGTGGTAATTCGCAACATTTTCCGAAAATATCCGGATCAATATGAATCCATAATATCCACACTCTGTGAGAACTTGGACTCCTTGGACGAGCCGGAAGCAAAGGCCGCTATGATTTGGATTATTGGCCAGTACGCGGGACGAATCGAGAATTCGGACACTCTTCTGGAAGACTTTCTGGACACCTTCGCCGACGAGCCAGTTGAAGTTCAACTTGCCCTTCTCACTGCGACCGTGAAACTGTTCATCCAGCGTCCCACAAAGGGTCAGGACCTCGTGCCGAAGGTACTGAAGTGGGCGACCGAGGACACTGATAACCCAGATCTGAGGGATAGAGGTTATATGTACTGGCGCCTCCTATCTTCGGATATGGCAGCTGCAAAAGAAATTGTTATGGGCGAGAAACCACCCATCACTGCCGAAAGTGAGAAACTGGACCCACAGACGCTGGAAGAAATGTGCCTTGTAGTAGGCACACTGGCTACAGTATATCTAAAGCCTGTCCAGCAGGTATTCCGGACTGCAAGGCCTCGTCGCCTGGCTGAAAGCCCAGCGCTCCAAAAGAATACGCTGCCAGGATACACAAACGGCTTCGGACCGGATTCTCAAAAGACTCTTTCAAGTCTAGGGATGGAGGTTCGACCCGCCGACGCCGCTGTACGCAACATCATGAACGGGAATGCCGCAAATAACAACAGCATTTCTGCTGCAGTTAGTGCCGCGGATGAGTTCTTTGCGGGGGTTAAGAACCGCCAGATGGCTGCTATGAACGTTAATGATGGCGACGAGGGGTTTGGCGGCAGCCCAACACAGGGGACCCATGATATGGGCTACGTGGTGAACCAGAACCAACCGCAGCAGATGTATGCGCCTGTTAGCGGACAAGGGGCTAATGGGGATTTGTTGTCGTTGTAAGCCCGTGGTGTATATATCATGGGACGGTTTTAGTTATAGCAGATTCATATTTTGTTGCATGAACGACAGCATGCATGTTAGCCCTTGTTGGATTTTGAGGTTCAAATTAAAAATTAAAAATTATGTAACGTGATTTATCATGACCCCGGACATATCATGACCCCGGACACTTTTCGTGACCCTTCTACCTTTCAACTCCAACACGCGTTATCTTCACATTTGATGATGTCAGTACAAACCCAAGAAGCACGAATCATTTTAGCTATGGAAGCTATTCAATCATCCAAAAAAATTACTGCTGCAAAACTTTACAATGTGCCACGTTCTACGCTTAGTGACAGAATGAATGGTCATTCTACTATCCACGAGCGCCGGCCAGCAAATCACAATTTGACTAAAACAGAAGAGACAGTCATTGTTCATATATATTTGGTTTAGATGCGAGGGGGTTTGCGCCTCGGATAGCTGGTGTGGAAGATATGGCAAATCTCATTCTAACATCACGGGGAGGAAGACGCGTCAGACAGCTCTGGGTCAACCCATGCTTCCATGAAATGGAGCCAACAAATGCTATAATGTCTTGTGTTGGGGCATTTGAAAACTTGCTGATCTTAAGGTCCATTCGGTTAATCCGCTTAGCTTCTGCAATGAATGCCCTTCGTTCCTCTGCTGCTGTTGCGGCTGGTGCTCCAGCGCCGTAACCAGACATGTTGAAATTGTAGAGCGAGATTTACTTAACTCTTCCAAATTGAGCTCTTTTGATCCTAAGTCTGGTGATGGGCTGGGTTCTCTGTACCCAACGAAATTCATCCAATCTCTTGGTTCAGTTGACTCACTGTCCATCAACATGTCCTTGTTACTCTCTCTAGACTCCTACTTTGATAGCTGCGGTAGGGATCGATCCCTTTTCTCGACTGCTAGACCACTTGTAGGCCTGAAGCTCGCACTTGTTCGTGAAGTGTCCGTTTCCAACCTCTCACTTAGCTGCTACGGTTGTCTTCTTATGCTAGTGGTGAACACTGGCCACAACACTATGATACACTTCTTGTTGACTTGATTCTTTCTCTCTTGATTGGTAGTCTGATTCTCCGACAACTCACACACTCCTCTGCTCGTGCAGACTAGCAGTAACAGAAGCTTGTGTTCCTTTCTAACTGAAAACTCGATTCTCTGCTTGATGATGATATTGACAAGTCGTGAAAGTGGGCAGACTCCCCTTCTTGTCTTCTGCTCTTCTGATGTGGGTTAATTCCTGTGCGCCGATTGGTCCGCCGACTCTGGTAACCAATCACCACCCTTCGAATTGTTCCTTCTCTTCGATTTGTATGCTGTTGGCCTCACTGGCTCTCTATGATATCTTGGTCACTGATATCTTCCTGTCCTGTCACTGTGTCGCTCGCCTAATGTTAGTCTTCCAGGCTGTTCTCCGTCTTCCTTTTGAACTACGTCGGTCCACTGGTCACCGTCGCCTTCTGGCTGGCCTTCGCCCTGGTTTCTCGCCGCACTGAAGCTCCCCTCTGGGCCGCACGCCTCTCTTTCTCGAAGATCCAATCACCCCCCAAACCCTTGTCGCCCTATCTCGGGCAAGACCCCCAAATTGTAACGATTGTTACAAGGGTCTGGTATTCATGGGGTGATTGACGATTCATTATCTAACGATCTACTCCGAAGACCGACATAAGTAAGCCGGCTCCACGTGATCTCGTGATGACTAACCTAGTTTTCCGTACACTGGATGTGAAAACAATGCCATGACATAATACCGGGACTTACCTTCTAGACCAGTATCCGTCCAAAAAGTTTGGCTATGTACGTACCTACGAGATATTATTTCGTGCTGACGCATTCTACAACTCTCTCCACACATCTGCGTTTTGCTAGCTACTGTTACTTGCTTCATGGCTCGAGTTGCATCTTATCATTGCGTTACCGTCACACAGCACATGTCGTTCAGTTAATAGTCTCCGAACATGGCACCTTCACCACCAAGGCCCAACAGCCCAGATCCAGCGACTCCACGACCCGATCAGTCTCCTTCGCCCTCAATTAGGAGCCAAACCCCAAATCTTCATGCGCCAGCGCGCCCAAGCCAACTGCGTGAAGCGCACACTCTCTCTTCGTCGCCAGATCAGGGAGCGAGTGAGCCTGGCGATGGCACTGGCGGAGTGGACGGGAACAGCGACAACAACAGCAACGCCCAATCCCCTCCCAGTACCACCACCCCTACCGCTGAGCAGACCGGCCCGCAGGCAAAAGACAAAGATACCACCTCTAGTTTCCCAGAAGTTCAAAGCCAATCTAGTCCGTCGCACTCCAGAGAGCCGAGACACTGGCTCGGTCGCCCCCCCAGGCTGGCTGGGGAAGTTTCACGAGAGTCCACACCATTACTACAGAGACCGCTAGAGATCACATCAGAACGGGCACATGAAGGGCCTTGCAACCATGGGACTTTCAGCCCTAATACGATAAGCAGGCCAGCTAGCATTAGAAGCCAAGAGACAACAGACTCCGCTAGAGAGAGAGGCTTCTTTCGTAGTGTTGCAGCGGGTATTGCACCGACGAATAATGCAAAGAGGAATACAACTGCAAGGCTAGCAGAAGAGCATGGGTTAATACTGAACAAAACCATGTATGCCTCCCCCTCCACTTCATGACCACTCTCTATAGAGAGGCGCGAGTTATTATACGGCGACTTTGCTAACATACCCTCGATACTCGATAGGTACGTGACATATTATGTCCCGTTTTTTGCGTGGATACAGCAATACAAGTGGGCGTACGTGCGTGGGGATCTCATCGCCGCAATCACGGTGGCATCGTTTTACATCCCGATGGCACTCTCGTTAGCCGCTAACTTGGCCCATGTGCCCCCGATCAATGGACTCTACTCCTTCGTTTTCACGCCTCTGATATATGCGTTTCTCGGTAGCTGCCCGCAAATGGTAGTAGGGCCTGAGGCCGCCGGCTCCCTTCTTGTTGGCTCCATTGTAAGTTCCATTACGGATGCCGGGCACGAAGATGGCGTAGCGCAGGCGCAGATGGCTGGTCTGGTGACAGGTCTGGCTGGTGCAATCATTTTTATTGCCGGACTGACTAGGCTGGGATTCTTGGAGAATGTACTCAGTCGCCCTTTCATGCGCGGCTTTATCTCATCAGTTGGTTTCATCATTTTGATTGACCAATTGATCGAGGAGATGGGTCTCGGGAGGATTGCGATGGAAGCTGGAGTGACACATGGAAGCAGTGTCGAGAAGCTGGGCTTCTTGTTTTCGCATTTTAACGACGCACATCAGCTAACATGTGCTGTTGCGGGTGGGAGCTTTCTTATCATTATGACATGCAGGTATGTTCAGACACACTTAACAGGTTGCGAAGACCGCGTTCAATTGCTGATACTATTATAGGGAAATCAAGAGACGACTCCAACCTCGGTACCCTAACGTCGCGTACGTCCCCGACCGCTTCCTTGTCGTGGTTCTCTCCGCCGTCCTCTGCTATCAATTTGGCTGGGACCAACGCGGCCTCAAAGTTCTTGGCGACATTAAGTCTGCAACTGGCGGGAATTCTTTCCCATTCCGCTGGCCGTTTCGGACGTCCAATATGAAGCACGTTCGTGATTCTTTTGGGACGACCTTCGTGATCGCTCTTCTCGGGTTCTTTGAATCTACAGTTGCAGCGAAGGCGCTCGGCGGCGGAGAGAGTAAGAAAGGTGATGGGATTCAAGGCATCCAATTGAGCGCGAACCGCGAGCTTATCGCGTTGGGATTTGCAAACCTGGTTAGCGGCTGCTTCATGGCCCTGCCAGGCTTTGGAGGCTACGGGCGAAGTAAAGTCAATGCCTCAACTGGGGGAAAGACGCCGATGAGCAGCATATTTCTAAGCCTTATCACTATTATCTGCATTCTGTTTCTTCTGCCATACTTCTACTATCTACCTGTAAGTTCTCCCCGAAATTCCTTTTATTCTAGCATGCAAAATCGTACTGTACTAACAAAAAGCAGAGAGCGGTCTTGTCTTCTATGATTACTGTCGTCGCCTGGAGTCTTATAGAAGAAGCCCCTAGCGACATAAGATTTTTCTGGCGTATCCGAGCGCTTCCAGAGCTTGCTCTCATGGCCATCATCTTCTTGTCGACAATTTTCTACTCCCTAACCTTCGGTATTGCAATTGGAGTTGGTCTGTCGCTCTTGTCCGTAATCCGCCACTCGACCCGCCCTCGCATTCAGATTCTGGGCAGACGACCACACACCAACCACTTCGAAAATGCAGAATCCCACCCCGACGATTTAGAATTTATCGAAGGGTGCCTGATTGTCAAGATCCCAGAGCCACTTACGTTTGCCAATACAGGCGATTTGAAGAATCGTCTTAGGCGACTGGAATTCTACGGGACTACAGCTGCACACCCTGCCCTCCCACGCGTTCGCCAGGAGTACCATAACAGGAACATTATTTTCGACATCCACGGCGTGACGGGCTTGGATGGGAGTGGAGCACAGGTTCTGGTAGAGATAGTGGAAGGCTACAGGCAGCGAGGCGTGCGAGTGTGGTTTTCAAGAGGACCTACGGAGGGAGAGGTGTGGGAGTTACTGGTGAGGAGTCGTATCGTTGAGATGATAGGCGGTGAAACGCACTATGTCAATGATGTTGGAGACGCGCTGAGACTGACCGAGACCGTCGAAGGCTCCCTATCGGGTGACGAGCATGAGTCGAGAATTGAGGGCTCTGGTTAGTTGCTTGGCAGTTTGGATCGATTGGAGTTTTGAGTTTGGGGTTCGATTCTAGTTTTGGGTTTGAGTAACGTACTCCATGTTGAATGGCGTTGATACCACTGTATTAGACGACAAACGGCAAGTAAATGAGAAATAGACGGTAGTCGTAGATACAAATGGCGTTAAAGGCAAAGAATTTATTGATTAGGTGCATCCGGTGCATCCTCCAAGGTGTTACCCCGTATTGTGGAGGAGTTGGAGGCGGAGACAACGGCCTGCTTACGTCATCCAATTTAGGCCGATTAGTTGCGGAAAAGCCCGGTCGCAGAGATGCCGAGGTCAAAAACACCAGGCGGCTCGGCCAAAAACATAATATAATCCCCCCCAACCCCAAATTCCCCAACTTCATTCCCTCTTTAAACCTCAAAAGTCTCCGTAATTTTTAAAGCATTATCATTATCCGTCAAGATGACTGAACGCCTCACCAACATCCTCAAGCACATCACTCCAGGCTCTGGCCTCTCTACGATGTAAGTTTAAACCCCAACTTGATTACTGAACATTCCCCGCCTTCCACGGAAGCAACGGCAAGATGCTGATTATAGCACAACAGCACATCTAAGAATGCCGACGATATTGTGATCACGCTCGCCGCCCGCACGGCGCTTGGAAAGGCTGGCAAGGGAAGCTTCAAGGATACCGGCTTGGACTTCTTGGTGTACTCGCTGTTGAAGAAGGTTATCGCTCAAAGCAACCTCGACCCAAGCTTGATTGAGGATGTCTGCCTCGGAAACGTACGTCCACTTCCCCCACTATAGCTTGCGAAAGCTCGTCAGCTACCTATGCTGGCTCTCATGTGAAGCTCGGTATCTAACATCCACCAGGTCAACAATGGCAAGGCCGCTTACATTGTCCGTGCTGCTTCCCTCGCTGCCGGAATCCCCAACACTTCCGGCGCCTACTCCCTAAACCGCTTCTGCTCCTCCGGCCTCAAGGCCACCCAGGATATCGCCAATGCCATTGCCGAGGGTTCCATCGAGATCGGCATTGCCATTGGCGCAGAGGCCATGTCTGAGGCCAGCAGCGACAGCCCCATGAAGCCCTTCCACGCTGATATCATCTCGGGCTCGCAGGACGCTGCCGACTGCATGCAGCCCATGGGCCAGACTTCGGAGAATGTCGGCAAGGACTTCAACATCACTCGTGAGAGACAGGACAGGTATGCTGCGGAATCTTACCAGCGTGCCGAGAGGGCACAAAAGTCTGGATGGTTCGATGACGAAATCATCCCTATTGAGACCACCATCAAGGACCCAAAGACTGGGGAGGAGAAGAAGATCCTTGTGTCAAAGGATGAGGGTATTCGCTACGGCACCACCTTCGAGTCTCTGTCTAAGATTCGCCCGGCATTCGCCAAGTGGGGTGACAAGTCGACTGGTGGCAACTCCTCGCAGGTAACTGATGGTGCCGCCGCTGTCATTCTCATGAAGCGCTCTACCGCTATCAGGCTCGGCCAGCCCATTGTGGCTAAGTTCGTCGGTGCCACCGTTGCAGGACTCGCACCCCGCATCATGGGTATTGGCCCATCTATTGCCATCCCAAAGCTGTTGAAGCAGCACAAGCTTACCATCGACGACATCGATGTCATCGAGGTCAACGAGGCGTTCGCGTCGATGGCGGAGTACTGCAAGGAGTTCCTTCACCTGCCACATGAGAAGATGAACCCCCGTGGTGGTGCTATTGCCCTCGGTCACCCGCTGGGATGCACTGGAGCGAGACAGATTGTCACAGGACTGAGCGAGTTGAGGAGGCAGAACAAGAAGATTCTGTTGACCAGCATGTGTATCGGAACTGGACAGGGAATGGCTGGTCTGTTTGTTAACGAGCAGTAAATGGATTTGGATGCTGAGGTTATGAAAAATGTAAAATAAATGGGGGTATATTTATATATTCATAGCAGCTTTGGAATGTACAATGCAAACAATACCGCTACTTTGTTTTATCAGTTGAAGACCACCTGTAGCCGTACTAGAGATGTAAGTTGCTGTGGAGGGTCATGTGTATCGGGAGCATGGGAACATATGCCCAGCATGGTCCCATAGACTGTAGACTGCGGAGGCGTGAACAGACCGCAGCATATCGGCTCGTCGGGGAAAATCTCGAGTATTGCCCTATTAAAGGATGCTGTCGGCGACTACAGACGTAGCAGGATCAGAGAGTGCGTAGATCTCCGCGGGTCCTGGCTTCATGTTCACCTACTGTAGGGCACGGTGGGAACAGCTCGCCGTCTCCACAACGGACACCACCAACACCTGATCATCTATCGCTGGCGAAAACGGTCATCAAGCTGACGGCAGCAAGAACAAGGCGACAACAGACAACCATACCGCTACCGTTCAATTCTTGTCACCGTAGCACATCTGTCACCGTCGAATCAGTCCAACCCTAGCTAATTTTTCGAAGGTCTGGTGTATTGGAGATATTCCGGGGAGTCATTTGGCCGCCCACCAGAACCAAGCCTGGATGAGTATGCAAGAGTGTTGATGGATTCAGGAAAAAGAAAGACGGGAAATAAGCGGAATATTTATTGCTCGAGCCAGTTACTACTGATGAATATGAAGCACACGTTTCTTCTTTTATATCAGCATAGGAATATTTTGATATTTGGAAAGAGGCAATTTGGAGCTCATCTTCCCGCATGAGACATCTAAACCCAGATGGTAGGTAGGAGTGATACCCTGCCTCCTTCGTTCCTAACTCACACCCTTGCTGGGCTATGGGCACCCTTCTATTCATATTACTCGCTTTAGCTTCTGTCTCTGATACCGTGTACCCGTCTCTGCTGTCGTCAGTTCGGCGCGAGCCCCCCAAACAAGTTCTCCCACATGCAGAAAATGGTACGTATGTCCCAGTTTCATACTTGGATAGATAGATCTTTCAGTGCACCGCATCCCAGTCCATTTACCAACAAGTGCTCAAGTTTCTCCGATTGGGGCAAAGGGCTACTTTGGCTTTGCTCCAGATGCATGCATCAGGCTTGAGGGACAGGGAATGCACGTAACCAATAGCCAGCATTTTTATAATTGCGCTTTGGTATTACTAGTATACCACGAGACCCCACGCTTAGAGATCTCCCGCTCATCCCTTGCAAACCATTCAATGGAAGGGGAACCAAGTCCGGCCGCGCGCATATCTTGGCCTCCCTCGGCGTATTTGACATTACCCAACCTGTAGGCTAGCTCTCTCCCATCATCACCCTATGTCCGTCCCCTCGAATATTCCTCGTCGCTGCGAAGTCGTATTCCGCCCCTTTGAAAGCCTGCTTGCCAAGTTCCCAGACCTCGAAGTTTTTGAAAGGGGATGAATAGCGGCATAATTAGCTCTTTTCTTTATTATACATATTTTGTTGAAAAAAAAAAAAAAAAAACCATGAGCTTGGATGCTATGTGTATTTTGCCGGAAGTCATAAGAGTGGTGAGTTTGGGCTTTCATCTACGAGTGACGCCGTTGAAGCAGCTCAATACCTAGTATGTATTAGCACCCCACTCCTGGATAAGCATTTGCACAAGCATACCGTATCAGAAATCACGCCCTGGTTATAAAGATGCTTGCTGATCCCCTTGACCAGTTCCATCTGCTCCTCCGCTGCCAATTGTATGGCGGTCTCAATAACATCTCCCAATGTGACGTTGTTAAGAGCAATGAAGCTGTGGTAATACATGTAGGCGAAGAATCCCATAATGAACTGGCAGTCCATACGGTCGGTAATTCCACCATGTCCTGGAATCGAATCTCCGAAGTCCTTTATCTTGAAGGTCCTCTTCAACCCAGATGCGAAGAAGCCACCAAACGGCGCAATCAGGGAAGCAAAAGTCGCAAAGACCAGTATGTGGAACTGCATGGGTGCGATGCGTACCGATGAAGCAAATGGGAACCAGATTGGCAGCGGGTACTCTTGTGTCAAGAATACTGGGTTAACCTTGCAGTGGAGTCCAGTCCAGATGTTTGCTCCAAGGTCGTTCACTGGACATATGAAGTAGTCGTATCTCATGAGCACATTTGTGAGGAAGACACCGAAGATGACCGTGAGGACCCAAGCACCAACGAATCCCTCTACTGTCTTCTTCGGGGACAGCTTAATGAGCTGGGTACGTCCGAAAGTTATACCACAAAGGTAGGCGAAGATGTCGTTGCAAATGACGAGAGAGACTGGCAAAAAGAACCAGACCATTCCTTCGAAGATGTTGTTCATAATAAAATGAGTTTGGACAACGATAAGATAGAGTGCCATGTGTGTCCATGCGAACTGGGTGAACTGGAATCGGTAATGGCCGGCTTGAAGGGATGCGACGAAGAAAACGAATCCTATAGAGAACCAGTCAGCACAGTACAACAGTGGTTATGACGAAACTACTCACCAATAACGTAAAGAGTAAAGCTGATAAACCTGTGATGAGTCGCGAATGGCTGAAGAACCTTATCCACCAGTACAATATGCTTGAAATAATATATGACGCTCTCGCCGTAAAGGAAGTACATCGTCGTCGCCAACCAGTACCAATTCAGGGACTTTGTGAACCGTAACCTCCGCGCCCGACTAGGCACATTGGCGATGGCAATAACCTCCTTGAAAGATATGATTTGGATTGCTGTGACAATGGCGATGATGTAAAGATGCCCCATGCCCAAAGCTATGAAGAAGAACGCAACCATGACAAGCGTCCATATCGTTCTGGTGATGAAGGTCTGCTTCTTTTTCTCGTACTCTTGCGCCTTCGTCTGTTGCAGCTAGGCACATGCATTAGCACACAGAGAGAGTTTTATTCGTGGTAGAAGGCCTCACTTCGTTGGAAGCATCGCCTCCAGCTCCCGTCTTCTGCCCCAACGTATGCTCTGAGGAACCCTCACTTATGTCCGAGAAACTGCTTCGCCGTCCTCCATCAAGACCCGTTGCGCTTCCATTCCTATGGTTGAATTTGATATTACGGCGCGTTTTGCCCATTTTTGAGGATTTCCGCGCGTGCCGGCCCAGAGTTCGGGGTCTTTTGATCCGTTGTCCTGTTTTGCGATTCAGGGTTCAACAATGTAATGATCGATAAATTCAGGGAGTGCTCAACTTTCAAGGAGGCGATTTGAAAGTTACTTGTCTGGAAATAAAAGGCCGTGAATCGCAAGGGGTTATGGCGAAAACTGAATCGTGGCTTGAAGATGCCCCTTTGACGTCTGTTCCGATGCCCTTTTCGTAGCGTTGGTTGTTAAATTGTAGGCGGTCACTGACGCAGTTAGTTTTCTTAGCTTTGCCGCACAAGCTCCATACGTAATCTAGACAGCTGGTAAATCTAGCACTTGTAACCTGTTGTGGGTTATATCTTGATAGTTAGAAATGCAAGCACGATAAATTCAGATATTTGGAATATTTGACAACAGTAGAAATAATGCCTTCTCTGCTATATTTGACTATTGCTCTCGTTGTTGTTTGCCCATATGTAAAGCTTTTGAACTGTGGAGACTCGGAATGTTGGGCATCCGAATCTGTAATCGGTGACAGCTGGCACAATTCACGTATTTACGTCCCGCCTTGAGCAACAACCGCGACTTTCAATTTCCCTTCAATTGCTCCTAATGATTTCTCAATGGCATGGCGGACTCAGCCGACGGAGATGACTTCTTCTCCGATGATGGGCTAGATGAGTTAGCTCCTGACGCGTTAGATGAAATCGAGAACAATGCAATACGCCATACACAATACCAAGCTACCCAGGCTCTGACACTGCCTCCGTCGTCTGACTATGGAGATGACCTCGATGATGAGGACCTCGATGATGCTGTAGTGTTTGATGCGGCGCAGGTTGACCCAACGAACCGGTTAACGCAATTCCAGTCGTCTGTTGCTATTCAACAAGCTCGCCAGTTCCAAGCACAACGACCCAGTAGGAGTGAAACAGCACAACCTCTCTCAGATAGAAGCAAAATACAGCCTCCAAATAAACCTCTTTACAAAAACCCTCTCCCAACTTCTAGAAGTGTCACAGCTGGGCAAAGCACTCAACCAGACTCTGGTCGCAGCAACCAGTCATACCAGAATGTGGCATCTCCGGAAGCGGACGTTGAAACTCTGCGCAAGAAACTTGAGGCGTTGCAACAAGAAAAAGACCAGCTGAGGCAAGACCTACTAGCCAGGACAGGCGAAATAAGTATTGTGCGAAGCAAGCAAGAAAGACAAGTCAAAGAGCACGAGCGAGAATTGACTGCCCTTCGAAAATTAAACGCCGAAAACTCAACCAAGAACCAAAAGGCCATTGAAGCAGCAAAAGATGCGGAAAAGACCAGAGCCACCGAACTAGAATTTGCGAAGAGAGATCTCTTCGAAGAATCAGAAAAAGTTCGAAGTCTGATACGACAGAAGGAGAAAGTAGCGCTAGGGATAGAAGTTACAACACCAAAAAAAGACAAGACATCTGCATTTAGAGACGGCTTCGACGACGATGAGATAAGATCTCCTTCTAAATTTAACGACAGGAAATCGAATCAGAGTTCACCGAGGAAACCTGGCGCCAAAAGGAAGAGAAAGGGTCAGGAAAGCCCTGCTCCACCGCTAGATGTTGCGCCAGGAGAGACAGCTACAAACCGGGACGGCCAAACTGATAGTTTGGTACCCGGCGATGCTCTTTCGGAAAGGCTTGGTAAACCCGATGATAGTCTTGACTTCCTCAAAACTGTCTTGGATCACAAGATTGACCGAAACCATCTGAAGACCATTGAAGAGCTTACAAAGTTTCCATTCCCGTCCGCCCCTGATGAGTCTTTGACGTCCTTGATTTTGGGCAAGCTTCCAACTTTGAGCACCAATTCGCCCAGTACGGACTTTCCCATAGAGCTTTGTGAGCTCATTATTTCTCTGTGGTCTCGCTGCTTGACCGAAAAGTATTACAAGCCTATCTTTCTCCTTCTCGATCTTCTTTCCTTCGCCCTAGAACTGCGCACAGTGGCCATTGCTCCATTCATCCTCGACGCCCTACTACCCACCGCTCAAGAAACAGCGGTCCTAATTGCTCTTCCCCGTTTCCGGCAGGAATCATACTCCAAATACGAAGCTGATATCGACCTACACGCTTGTCTTGTAACCATACACCTAGCTGCCCTCGGCTGCATATGCAACAAAGAATATACTACTCGGTTTTGGCGCCAGATGCGTCTCGACTTTGTCCTCATGACACTGAGCCAACACCAGCCCGTGGAAGACTTTGACATGATGCTTCAACTCCTCGCCATGAGCGTGCTGAAAGACTCAATTGGTCCCATCTCCGTCGAACCTGACTCGCAGCCTGACCAAATGAAGTATATTCTCGACCGCGTCGGTTATCTCCTTGGAAACAACCCTGTCGCGTCAGAAGGCAAACCAAAGTGCGATGCCAAGACGCTGGCGAAACTGCGCTCACAGATTCTAACAACACTTATCTCATTCTCGTATTCAACCATTGGTTCTGCCGCTCTCGCAGATCACCCCCTTGCGATCGGTCGCATCGTCAAAGCGCTGTCGGGCTCAATGGACGCTCTATACTCATATCCCTCGTTCCATGTCACCCTCACTCAAATCATTACCAAGTCCATCCGTCTCCTTTATTATCTGTTCAAGAGACATCCGGAAATCGACATGCAGCAGAAACTATCGGTGGTGCATGGAGGCAGTCAAAAGTATCTTATTGCTCTAGCACGACTAAATTATACCGCGGGTGAGCATGGTGTCCTAGAGTACGGAATAGGCGAAGACACATCTCAACAGGCGCACGAACTACTTGAGAATGCATTGACGCCTGAGGAGGGCGAGGCGGTCCACGATGCGTTTGTAGATGCATAGGGTACGAAAGATGGCATTCGAAATGGCGCTTTGGAGGGTGGGTTTGAGGAGTTTTGGCGATGTGTGGCTTGGATATGGGTGAAATTTGGTGGATTCACTGGTTCGGCGTTTTGGTTTATAAAGGGGTAATTATCAACTTAGAGTTACGATCTCTAAATAAAAATACATAAAAATACATCAGGCTATAAATTTTTTTCAGTAGAATTGGATTGATTCATAAGACAGGCAAGGCTATGAAAATAGCACTTGGATATAGCTACATATTATACAAATTTAATCATACAAAAGGCGTTCGAAGTCGCCACGTCATTACACACCATGGTGACACCGATTAAAGCTGTGCCGTAACCCCCAAAGCTCCCCTCTAACAAAATCAAGCTACCAGCAGTGAACCCAATTTATGATTACAGGAATTCTGTCCACAGAGCCTTAGAAGATTAGTTGCCGTCTTTGGGTTCGATGGCGACAGGCGAAAATGACGCTGTGGTTGGAAATGGGGTTGCGTAGGCGTCGTGAACCTTGACAACTGGCGATGACTCTTGCGGGTGGATTTCATCCACGGATCCTTCTGAAGTATCCACAAACCCATCTGCATCTATTTCCGCAAGTAGACCAGAAGTCTGTCTCCTAGCAATCCCACCCCACAGCCGCTCCAGGTCAAGTTCCGCGCGCTTCTCCTCAACAAGCATCTGCACAACAATCTTGGTCCCATCGGTCTGGCGCCCAAATCCCACAAACCCGGTGTCCAGCTGTGTCACCTCACTCTCCGCACCCTTTGCACTCTCCACGGTCCCGACATTAACGCACACCCACCCCGTCCTAACACCATCATCTGCATCGTCCTCATGCGGCATGCCTGTCAACTTCGCCTTCTTTGCCTTCCTTTTTAACCTCAGCTTCAACTCGTTGCGGCCTAAGAGTCCATCCGCATCGGGGCGCAGCTTGTACTCTGTGCGTAGCCAGCGACAGAGGCGGTCGGCGGAGACGTGTAGGTGTTTCTCGCTGCGGGCGGTGCCGATAACCATGATGAGGTTGGCGCCGAGAGCAGGAGGGGGGTCGAGTTTGCGGAGGTCAAGTAGGGAGAGATCATCGAGGCCGAGGTCAACGGAGATGCGCTCGAGGAGAGGTTGCAAAATTGCGGGTGGAGAGGAGGGGAGGTCGGGGATTTTCTGGCGCTCAGATAGGGTCGGGATATGGCTCATGGGAGCGTCGACTTGGAGATACCATGGCGTCGACGATGCCTGTGACTCTGTTTGGGTATATTCTTCGAGTAATGTGTCCGCCTCTGGAGTTGCCTTGGGTTCAACTGCTTCCTCGTCAATTGCCTCCTCTGCAGCCAGCTCTTGCGACACAGCGCTTTCTGTAGCTTCGTTATTTTTCAACTTCGTGGCATCAGACACCCCAGTCGTTCCTAATGCTTGATGATCAAATTGTGACGAGCTACCGCTTGCGTTGGAAGAATATCGAATCGAGGTCTGGGTTGCGCCTGGTATCCTCCATAACCGGGTTGCAGTGGCGGTGTTCGCGTGCCACTGAACTCCAGCTATCGACGTAAAGGATCGTAATAACGAGGCCCGACAGTTGCTACATGCCGTTGCCCTTATGGCCTTGCTCACAGTTTGAACCATGGCCAGCGTTGTATATCGGAATTGGGAGTTGTATAAAGTGCAACAATATATGGAGTCGAGAAATGGATGAATCTTCATGGATATGATTGGCTGAATTGCGACTGAGCGGAAGTCTTGGCAAAAAAGAAAATCGCCGCCCATCTCCGTATCCATCCCTATTTGGCCGCCAGGAACAATTTCTGACGAACACACGCGACACCATTTCACCTCTTGAATTCTTCCTTACTTTCTTTTCAAGTTATATGTCCGATTATTTAGTTCTTGTTTAATCTATTCGATCTTTAATGTCTCTCGGATCTACCGCTCTCCGTTCGTAAATCATCATGTTGTCTCGAGCTGCACAGAGGCATACTCGATTACAGACAATCCGATCATACAATGCAGCACGAGAGCAACTATACCTTCCCTGGTTGTGCCCAACATACCCACGACTGCGGCAGCCATGCCATCGAAGTTTGACTACAGCGCCTGGGGAGAATACGATTCCATTGAGAAAGAGGCGGAATTCTAAGGATGGCGCAAATCCTACGGTTCGATCGCTGGCAACTGCTGCACATATGCCGTTGACGGATGAGATTCCATTCGTTGATAGTATAAACCAAGTTGCATTGAAATACCCCGGGCAAACACAAGACCAGTCTCGTCTGTCGACTATTATGCCCTTCGACCCAACGAAGATGATTTCCCTGGAAAACACCCTGGCGCTACCAGCGGAACGAATGCGGATGAAAAATGGAGTTACAGGAGAACAACGAGAAATTTTTGCGATATTGGAGGCATGTTTGAGGCTGGGGCGGATTGAGCGCGCAGCGGCTATAATAAAACGATCTGTACCGTTCCTGAAGCTTTCCCCGGAGGAGCTCGGAAGACTTCACAATGAGTATCTGAAGGCGTCTCTGGAACGAATTCTCAGGGAACCCAACGCCGAACATGCTCACGACATGCATAAATGGTTCGAAGTAATGGTGCGAAGCAAGGGCATCGAAGTTACCGCTACGACAATCGCAATTATGCTTAAAACTTCACTACAGTCTCCCCGAGGAGCCCGGCAGGATAGACTGGTAAAAAGATACATGGATATGGCTCGTGGGGATGTTGGATTGGAAGTTCTAAGCATGGTTGATATCATGTCCGCCGAAGATTTGGATATTATCAATCAGATCGCGCCTGATCACAATATACTTGCGAAACTGCACTCTATAGTTGACGAGCAGACCAATTTGGAGGACGATATTGCAGCAGCCGACCTTCAATCCTCGAAAACAACAACTAAGGTCATTATGGACGTTCGCGCAGCTCCCCAGAGAGGTTTCGGGTTGAAGGCGCTCAAGCAGTCCCTGTCATTATTTTCTCGGAAGCCTGAAGGGTTCAATGCCGACGTCCTCAGCGTGGAAGAGCAACGCCTACGTCAAATTAAATTGGAGGAGGACTCAATCATTTCTGCTGTCGACAGATGGAGGAAGGAGAGCGCCTCACTCTCCAAGATGGGACTTGATACATCACTTCAAACCAAGTCTTTAGGCGCAAGAATGTGGAAGTGGCAGGAAGCTCTAGAACAACGCCTCAACCAAGAACTTCAAAGTATTGACAAGGCGGAAGCGACACCGGAAAAGGAGAAATCGCAGTTGGATGTCGAGCGTTGCATATATGGCCCATTTCTGAGGTATCTACCAACAGATAAGCTGGCAGCAGTGACGATTTTAACCTCCATGCAATGCCTAAGCTCGCATGGGACGGATAAAGGAATGCCACTTGCATCTGTCATTATGTCCATCGGAGCCAACCTTGAGGACGAAAGCATCACCGAGACTATTCGCAATAACACTACCAAACAAGGGTGGCAACAATTAAATAAGTCTGCCAGTGCAGGGAAAGGACTGGGCCTAGCCCGTGTAATAAAAAACAAGCGTACCCGGCAGCAGTTGACAGATTCACTAGCAAAGTTGGTACGAGGAGATTCTGCGGCTAAGCATGATCTTTCCGACCAATGGAACACTGAGTGGTCAGCAACGATTAAGGCCAAAGTCGGATCATACCTTCTCTCTGCGCTCATTGACACTGCCAAGGTACCAGTCACAATGGAAAATACGAAGACTCAGGAGCTCTTGACACAAATACAACCCGCTTTCTCGCACACCCACCAATACAAAATCGGCAAAAAGACGGGCATGATCCTCGCCAATCGTGCGCTGGTAGCATCCCTGAAGCGTGAGCCCGTCCACAGTCTGCTGGCAAAGCATTTGCCCATGGTAGCTGAACCAGAGCCTTGGTCAGAGTTTAACCAAGGTGGCTTCATTTCTCACCCGGCCAAGGCCGTGCGAATTAAAGGCGGCGATAAAAACCAACGGCAGTATCAAGAGGCTGCCATTAGAAGAGGAGATATGGAGCAAATGTTTAAAGGGCTGGATGTTCTCGGGAAAACCTCTTGGGTGATCAACCGACCTGTATTTGACACCATGCTGGAGGCTTGGAATACTGGAGAGGCCATTGCGAATTTCCCAGCTGAGGAGCCGAAGTTAGAGTATCCGCCCGAACCCCCGGCTTCCAAAGACCCAACGGAAAGGCGCAAATGGATACGGAGTTTGAAGACTATAGAGAACACACGAAGTGGATTCCATTCTGCCCGCTGCTTCCAGAACTTCCAGCTCGAGATTGCGCGGTCGCTGCGAGAAGAAAAGTTCTACTTCCCTCACAATCTAGATTTCCGTGGACGGGCGTATCCTATACCTCCATACTTAAACCATATGGGAGCTGATCACTGCCGTGGCCTCCTCAAGTTTGGCAAAGGGCGGGAACTTGGCGAAGCCGGCCTCAAATGGCTGAGAGTCCATCTTGCTAACATCCATGGGCACGACAAAGCAAGCTTAAAGGAACGCGAACAGTATACTGTTGATCACATTGATGATATTTACGATTCGGCAATGAATCCGCTCAATGGAAGAAGGTGGTGGCTAGATGCGGAGGACCCTTGGCAATGCCTCGCCGCTTGCCTCGAGCTTAAAAATGCGCTGGACTCTGGAGATCCAACTAAGTTTGTGTCGCACCTTCCGGTGCATCAAGATGGAACTTGCAACGGACTTCAGCATTATGCGGCTCTTGGCGGCGACGAATGGGGTGCAAGACAAGTTAACTTGGAACCGGGCGATCGACCAGCTGATGTTTACAACGCCGTCGCCGAATTGGTCAACGAGAAGATGGCTGTTGATAGGAAGAATGGGAACAAGTGCGCCATCTGGCTCGAGGGTAAAATCAAGCGCAAGGTCGTCAAGCAAACGGTTATGACGAACGTTTATGGTGTCACCTATATTGGAGCCCAAGCCCAGGTCAGAAAGCAGCTTGTTGCTGCTCATACCGACCTTCCCAACGAAGGCAGCTTCAATGTCAGTCTTCTATCTGGATATGTTGCCACGAAGATTTTCGAAGCCCTGGGAACCATGTTCAGAGGCGCACATGATATTCAATTCTGGCTTGGCGAGTGTGCCAGTCGAATCTCGACATCTGTCACACCCCAGCAGTTGGACAGGCTTGAACACCTCCACGAAGAGGCACTGGATCAAAGGGTGCCCCGGCTGAACCGCTACCACATTTCTATGGTTGATGCAGAGCAGCAGTTGCAGTTCAAGTCGAGTGTCATCTGGACAACTCCTCTACGAATGCCCATTGTGCAGCCATACCGCGCAACGAAGTCACGAACAGTCCAGACCAATCTACAGCAGATAACCATCTCGGAGCCTCACCGATCTGACCCAGTCAGCAAGCGAAAGCAACTTCAAGGCTTCCCGCCCAACTTCGTGCACTCTCTCGACGCCACACACATGATGCTCTCGGCCCTCAAATGCGATGAAGCGGGCCTGTCATTCGCTGCTGTCCACGACTCCTTCTGGACCCACGCAGCCGACATCGATACCATGAACGGCGTTCTCCGTGACGCCTTCATTCAGATGCACTCCGACAACGTCATTGCCCGCCTCGCTGTTGAGTTCGATGCCAGATACAAGGGCAGTCTCTACCTCGCACACGTCAAGTCTGACTCCGAGTTCTTCCGCCGTGTCCAGGGGTGGCGCGCAGACGTTAAGGCAGGCCGCATCGAAAACCCCTACCGCGGGCCCCAAGGGAAGAAGTCAAAGAAACAGTCGCAAAAGAACATGCAGCTCGTCGAGGCACTGCTCGAGCGAAAGCGTGCGCGCATGCTTGCATCGGATAATCCCGAGACAGTCGCAAAGGGCAAGGCGATGGTGACGCCGGCGAGCATTTTCGAGGAACTGCAGGCGTATAATGATATTAAGGGTGGCAACGACACACCCATTGTGGGGCTCGGGGAGAAGGGTGCCGCAGAGCCGAAAAAGAAGGCTAAAGCTGCGGGCACGGAGTCCGTCGAGATGGAGAATGAGGATGCGGACGAGAACGAGGAGCAGGAGGAGCCGGAAGAGGATGGTAGTGAGGGAGAGATGGAGGTCGAGCATGATGCCGATGAGGGTTCTGAGAAGCGGAACGCCTTTTCCAGGAGCGTTTCGAAGAAGCGGATCCGATCGAAGGGCGCTGTGCTGTCGGTCTGGCTGCCCGTGTCGTTCCCGACTGTTCCAGAGAAGGTATGCATTCCCACCCTTTATTCTCCAAGTTACGTTGCTAATTATTCACAGGGCTCTTTCGATGTCACCCGTCTGAAGGACAGCCAGTACTTCTTCTCTTAGATGTGTCGTCACACCTCACACCTGATGACCATCGACATCACCAACCACCTTCTTCCGATCTGCCTCCCATCTTTTGGGGCGTTTATATATATATACATACCTATTTATCACCAAAATTTCGGCGATTTTCATTCATTCAGGGGGGGGGGGTTTGGGTGTGCAAAGCACACAAGGCGCTAGATTTTTGGTAACGCAATTCATTTGAAAGCACGCGGCATTTGCGGGGTAGCATGCGTTTTAGACGGAGAGAGAGGGAAGGAAGGCCAGAGGAGGCCGCTGCATTGGGGGTGTTGTAAGATCATTGTATGTATATAGGGATGAGGAGGATGCAGAGGAGTCTGGCTGGCATTGTATAAAAACCAGGGAGGAACTGCATACAATTTAGATATGTACAGATAGATGGGACTGTACAGCGAACACATTTATACACAGACATGGGAGCAAAAGCTTCATAAATGATCCTTTCCTCTTAAACAAATGTCGACGCATGTGTGAACAATGAAACCTGAAAATTCCTATATACCCGCAAACCAAAATATGTAGCGTTCACAAAATCAACCCTCATGTACAGTAAATATCATGCATAAACAGCGAGTCGAATAACTCCAAAAAAATGAACAAGAAACAACAAAAAGGGCAAGAGGAAGCACACCAGCCAGCTGACGCCATCTCCCCAACCCAGATCTCCCCGACTCCTTGTCCCAACACCCCATCTACAACCCCCTCAAAACCTCCCCCAAAGCCTCAACCAACCCCTCCCCCTCCCGCAGCCCAAGAACTCCCTCCGGCGCAAAAAGGCCAACATCTATCCCTCTCCCGCCATCCACAAGACGTAGCTCAATATCTACCGAAGCCTGGTAACTAGTTAGCACAACCATCGCAGCATATTTATATAAAGAGTAAGGACTCACCAAATACGCTCCCCTCAACTCTTCTTTCTTCGAAAACGCAGCCAGTGCGGCTGGGTTAGGGATGACGTCGATGACTTCTGCCCTGGGCCGCAGCATATCCACCTCGCTCAGACTCTGTGCGAATAGTTCGTTTGCTTTCTCGTCCCCACCCTCGCTGGAGGAGGAGGAGGGAGAAGTGGTCTTAAGCACATTAACAAACACGCCAAGGCTCCTCCCCGTCCAGCGATACACATCCGCCAAGCTTGCACCTACATTCCCCACCTCGCTCAGCTTCTGGAGGTCTTTCTGCACCCCTGAGGCAACGTCTTCAAGCCCCCCCTGAGCGGATTGGATTCTCAAAGGCACCAAGTTAAGCGTCGGCGCCACCAGCTCCGATAAATCAGTCGTAGCAGACCGATTGGCGAGGTAGAGTCCGATGACCGTGTCATCACTTTCGGTCCGTTTCGTAACCTCATACGCTCTTGCAAAGGCAGCCATAAGAAGCGCATCAACAGTCACACCCGCCTTCCTCGCCGCAGAAGTAATATCCCCAATAGGAACACTAGGCTTGAAGATCTCCACCCTGTGTGTCGGATCCGACGTCTCCGGAACACTTGCCAGCTCGGTGCGCGGGAGGTAGGATGCCCAAAACGTCTTCTGTGCCTGTCGTGACTCCTCGTCCAGGTCGCGGGCTATGAACTCCTTGAAGCTTAGCGGAGATGGAAGCGCGGAGTCAGGGTTGGAATACAGCGTCTCGAGATCGCGGATGAGGAGCTGGAGACTTATCCCATCGTAGAGCGCGTGGAGTAGACGGAGACTGATTATCTTTTGCCCCTCCACTTCTTCAACAACGAGGAACACCGGGCCCAACAGTGACACCGGCGTCTCAGAAGACTTGCCATACTTGACCGGGTTCCTCTTTTCTTTCAAGACGACCTGCACAGCTCTCACCCCGTCGTCCTCCACAAACGCAAACACCGTCCGTAGGATAGTATGTCGCCTCGTAAGCGCCTCCCATGCCCTCTCCAACCTCTCCTGATCAACCGCACCATCGAGTTTATACTGGAAGTTCGCCTCGAACTGCGCCCCCCAAGTCTGTTCCCAGCGCGCGAGCATATATAGTTGTCCGGCTGATACAGGCATGATATCCTCGACATCTTCCTCAGCGACGCCGACATCCCTCGCCAGCGCCGTCCTGTCAATATCTTTGACCGACTCAGCAATAACGGCATCAACATCCCTCGTCTGCGTCTCGGCCACAGTATCGACCCTCTCCGCTAATAAAGCACCCATCTCCTGAATACTGCTGTTCTTCATAATCTCACCAACAGTAATCCTGACATCCCGCCTCCTCAACAGCGACGACACCTTAATCGCACTAATCGAGTCAAGCCCAAGATGGAAGATACTCTGATCCTTCTCAATCTCCCCCTCCGGCGTCTTCGAGACCCGCGACAAGACAGCCCGAATAGCAAGCTCCGTCGCACTCCACACCCCCTCCTTCCTCTTCGGCGCCTTCGCAACACCATTCACCTGCGCCATGGACGACTCATCCACAAACGGCTCAAGCCCACACAGCGCCACCTGTCCTTGAGTAGCAACAATAACCTCCGCCTCCACATCCCCCACAATCCTCCCCATCAACGCATCAAGATCCCTCAACAACTCCTCCGTCTCCCCCACCGTCCTCGCGGCCTCCCGGCACGCAATCCTCCACACCAACTCCCCGCCAACAACTTCCATCTCCACACAGACTTTAAACTCCACCTCCGCCCGACTCTCCACCGCCTCTGCCAGCACCTCGCCAGTAGCCTCCTGCGCTTTGCCCTGATAGATGAACAGCGTATCGAATAGCGCACCCCCCTGTCTCCCAGAGAGGGCCTGCGCCTTCCGTAATGGGAACTGCTGGTAGGCGCGCATGGCGTTGCTGCTTTCTTGCATATACTGCAGCATCACCTTGCGATCGCCGTGGACCACTACGCGCACGACGACAGTGTTCATGAGCGGGAATATGAGCTCGCTCGTCTCCTCTGTGTCTCTGCATGACAGTACGACTCCAAAAGAGACGTCGAGGCGCTTCAGGCAGCTCGCGAGAAGGATAGCCCATGCCGTCTGCCCCAGAGTCTGGAGACTGATGTTGTTCCCTCTACAGAAGGCATTGATATCATCCAATGGTATCGAAGACGCGAATTCAAAGCGGTTAACGCCTTCCGATGTCTCGTTATGGAGCGGGAACTCCGACTTGGGCAGGCCGCTCAGCGCAGTGCGCCAGTACTTCGTGGCATCTGGTCCATTAGCATTGAGTAGCTGCTCCAGTGGCAGCCGCACGCTCGGATTGGCGAGTTCTTGGCCGTTATACGCTTTCTGCACATTGGCGTGGAGGGCTTGGAGAGACCACCCGTCGTACAGCGCGTGGGAGATGGAGAGGAGGTAGTATCTCTCCCCTCCATGCGTGATATCGACAAGCTGCAGCAGACTCCCTTTCTTCGCCGCCTCAACCGCCCCCTCAATAAGCAGCTTTGTCTCCACTCCAAGATCCGCTTCCTCCGCAAACTCAGCGGTGCGCCAGATGCTGCTGGTAGACACAGGATGCACGACCTGCGCAAAGCCAACATCAATCTCCACATCCTCCACCCCCACAAACGAAGTGCGCAGTATATCAAACTCCGCCACCACGGTCTCCCACGCCTTCTTCAACCCGTCCATATCAACACCCCCCTTAACGCGATAGAGCTCATGGTTGAAGTACTTCCTAAACCCCGAAGCCACCATCTCCGCAACCATCCCCTCCTGCAACGGCGTCGCCGGTAGCACCGCAGTCGCCCCTTCCACCTCCTTATTTGGCAACGACTCCCTCAACCGGCGTTCAAGTTCATCGATACTCGTCTTCACCTCCACTGGCCCTTGCTCAAGCTGTATACATCCCATCATCTTCGCAACAGTCTGGCTCTTCACAATCGCACTGACGGAGATCTTAACTCCCGCCTTCTTCAGCCGCGACGCAAGCTTGATGACATCGATACTATCCAGCCCCAGTGAGAAGAGCGTCGTAGTCGCCGCGATACCCCCCTCCTCCACCTTACTCAACTCCGAGATCTGCGTACGAATCACACTCGCCGTGGGCGTCCACTCAAAGTCCATGTCAGAAGTCGTAGTATCCGGCGCCTGACTCTCTCCACCTCTCTTCGCCAGCCGACCCCCCCTCACCGATCCCTCAACACCAGGAATCTCCCCCACCGGCTCCTTCAACGCAGCAAGCGCACTCTCAACCCTCCCCAGCAACACCCCCGCAACCTCCTCGTTGACAAACCCACCCTGCCCAACAAGCGCAATCCTCACATCCCCCTCACCCATCAACGTAGCCTCAAACGCCATCGGATAATCCGCCACCGCCTCGCCCTCCAGCTCCCTCCACAGCCCCTCCTCTCCCCCCTCCTCCTCACGCTGAAACACAAAGAGGGTATCGAACAACTCCCGTCCGCTCTCACCACACCACCTCTGCACATCCTTCAACGGCGAGTGCTGGAACGGCATAGCACCAACATTGTACGCATGACACGCCTGGATCAATTCCTTCCAGCTCATCCCCTCCTTGACGTCGACATGGAAGACGAGGGTATTAAGGAACGGTCCAACCACGTTCTCCGCACCACTGAAATCAATCGCGCGCCCCGAGATGATATTCCCAAAGCTCGGCGCCGCTTCAGCGGGAAACTGAGCACGGAATGCAGAGATCCACGCCGCCTGCAGGATAGCCTGGTACGTCACCCCCAGCGACTGCCTCAGCGCCTCCAAGTGTTCCAGACCCTGCACACGGCGCGAGGCACTCACATCACCCTCCTGAGAGTTCTCAAGGAGCGGCAAGGGTGTAAACTCCGCCGTCTCCAGCGCCCCCTTCCAGAAGGCCTCCGTACCTTCAGAAGTAGCGAGCGGTCCATGAGGTAAGGAACTCATGAATGAAGGACCATAGTCGATCCCCTCCACGCCCTTATACTCCTCTTCCACCTTCCTGAGGAGAAGCGGGAGACTAGCCCCATCATAAAGCCCATGGAAGATCTCCAACCTCATCACCCTCTTCCCCTCCTGTTCAGTAACACCAACCCTCCACGGCCTCGCCAGCGCCTCCCCCTTCTCCATCCCCACAAACTCTGTCTCAACACCCCAAGGAACCTCCCGCTCCTTCAAAACAACCTGCGCGCATCCGTCGCGTGTAAAAACGAACCCCATCCTCAACACCTCCAACCCGCTCACAACCCTCCCCCACGCCTCGCGCAACTTCTCCACATCCACCTCTCCCGCAAGCTCAAATGCAAAGCGCATGAAATACAAGCTCCCCTCACTATCCAAGAACCTGTAGATCATCCCCGCCTGCGCCGCTGTACAAGGCGCCAACGCCTCCACCTCCTCGGGATCGACCCCCATCTCCTCCGCCGCACCAAGTATATTCCTCTGCATGAACGCCATAATCCTCTGCTGTGCCGCCACGATCTCCCCACTCCCCGCACCCTGCTCATCATCCCCAACCAACAGCCCCACCAGTGCCTCCACCCCCGAATTCCTCACCACAACCGCCGCCTTCGCCCCTGAATACCCAGCGTGCTGCAGCCGCTGCGCCAACCCAATGAGCGAGATCGAATCAAAGCCCAGCTCAAAGATATTCGTTCCACTCTTCAACTCCGCAACCTCCACCCCCATACACTCCGCCAACACCACCAAAACCTCCTTTTCAGCCCCCGTCCATTGCCGTCCCTCCTGGCCGGCGGCGCTGAGACGTTGCAAGTCCTCGGTGGAGAGATCATCATACATCCGCGCCAGCGCCTTCCCATCTGCCTTATTACTCGGCGACAGCGGCAACGCCTCCAACGGCACAAAATGGGTAGGGACCATATACCCCGGCAACCGGCTTGTGCAAGCATCGCGAATCGCTCCGATCAGCTCCACCGGCTCCTCGACCCGTGCAGCCGGGACGAAAAACGCAACAAGCTGCTCCTTAAGCTGCGCACTATGCTTCAGCACCAGCGTAACCACCTCCCCTACACCCTCCACCCCGCGCTTAATCACCTCCGTAATCTCCGTCAGCTCCAGCCTCTGCCCGCGTAGCTTCACCTGATCATCCGCCCGGCCGAGGAAGAGGAAACTCCCATCATGACAAATCCTCACCAGATCGCCCGTCCTATAAATCCTCTCCCCCAGCGCCTCCAGATAGGGGAATCGCTCCGCCGTGAGCTCTGGACGGTTCAAATACCCCTTCCCCACCAACTTGCCACTCACGCAGAGCTCCCCCACCGCCCCGCGCAGCACCGGCTCGCTCGTGCCGGGTTTGAGGACGAAGGACCCGACGTTGAGGAACTGCGGTCCTATATTCGCGGGCTTCCCGTTCTTCGGCACGCGCGGATACATCGTCACCCCGATCGTGGCCTCGGTCGGTCCATACCCGTTATAGATACACGCCTTCTCCCCCCACACATCGAGGATATCCTGTCTCAACTGCTCCCCGCCCGTGATGAAAACCCCCTTACACAATTTCGGCACCTCATCCGGATGCAGCAGCCTAGCCAGACTGGGCGTGAGATCAAGATGCGTGATCCCCAGGGCGCGGATGGCACGGGGAATATCCTCGAATATCAAATCCCTCGGCGCGGAAGCGACGCAGATCCCCACGCTCCAGCTCCAGAATTGCTCAAGCACAGAGACGTCGAAGTGGAAACTCGCGAACTGGAGCCACTTTGACTCGGGCGTCCAGTGTCCGGCGAAGAGGTGCTGGAAAGCGTACATGGCCTGTACGGCGTTTTCGTGGGTGAGTTCGCACCCTTTCGGCGTCCCGGTCGTGCCGGAGGTGTAGAGGCAGTACGACGTATCCTGTGGATCGATCGGGCGGGACAGTACTGGTGCATCAGTACTGCACCCCTCCAGCAGCTCCGTGGTGCCCAGGTCAACAACCTGGATCTCGCTGCCCTCAAAAGCCTCTTTCATGCTCTCCGCGGGCTTCCCAGCGGTCAGCACAACCGTCGCCCAAGAATCCTGCATGATGAACTTCACCCGATCGGCTGGTGCGCCGGGGTCAAGCGCTACATACGCGCTCCCGGCCTTCATGATACCCACGGTCGAGAAGGACGCTTCAGGGCACTTGTCGAAGCAAATCGCAATCAGCTGCCCTTGCTCAGCACCGAGGTTCTGCACAAGTCTTGCGATGCGATTAGCCTCCTTGTCAAGCTGTGCGTACGTCCACGCCGCCGTGTTGCCCTCTCCAGCCCCAAGACTCGTGGTGAACTCCAGCGCTATCTTCTCGGGCGTCAGGCGAGCCTGCCTCTCCACGAAACCATGGAGTAGCATATCCCCCTCCTCGGAATCCGATAGCGTCGGGTGCTCAGGCGGGGCAATAGACAGGATATTCTCATCAAGTCCACCCGCCCCGGGAGTCAACATATCCACCAAAAGCGCATCAAACTGCCTCACCATCAACTCCGCCTGTTCCCTCGGCACCAAACCCTCCTTAGCCGTAAGCTGGAGGACCATCTCCTCACCCTCGGGTAACATCTCAATCGAGACCGCGAAATCGGCTTCTGCGTCCTCCTCCACGATTTTCCACACCTCGTCGCCACTTACCTTCCCCTCACCCTCCCTGTCGTCACTACTCGCGGACTTCTGATAAGCAAAAAGCGTATCAAACAATCCCCCCGTATTCCCCGTCCACCTCTGCACATCCACAAGCGGCGTGAACTGCCACTCCGCCACCCTCGCAATCCCCTGCATCACTCTCTCCAACAGCCCTCCCTCCCCAACATCATAACAAACAGGCACCGTAACAATCGTCGGAAACGGCACCTCCCCCCCACCCCCTCCCCACCAGCAACCCCCCGTCCACTAAGGACGACCCCAAACGCCACCCTCTCCTCCCCAACATACCCCCCCAAAAGCCTCGCCCAAACCGCCTGTCCGACAGCTTGGACACTCCAACCCCCCTCTCTACACCTCTCTTCAATCTCCTCAAGGGTCATCTTCGACGTAATCTTACTCACGACACTCCTCGTGCTCGCCACCCTCAGCGGCGTCAAGTCCGGGAACCGGTGGAGTTTGAGGTTCTGCTCCATCCAAAACGCCTTCCGCCTTTCCTCGTCGGCGGGAGAGTTGGCGTTGAGGATCGCGCCGAGAAGTGGAAGAAATGATGGATAGCTTGGCGAGATGCCGTGAGAATACACAGCCTGAACATCTTCAAAAATCCGATGCAAAGACTGGGCATCATACAACGCATGGTGCGCCGTGAACTTGACACACACCTCCCCTTCCTCCCTGAGGACCTCCAACCACCACGGCCTCCGCGCCAACTCACTTAGCCCCATCCCTCCTGTCCCTTCCTCCCCTCTCCCATCAACCCACGGCACCTCTACCCTCGCAGCCTCATAAACGACAACAGCAAACCCCTTATCCGTCCCCACAAACCCCGCCCTAAGCGTCGGACAAGCCTTCACCACCACACCCCACGCCTCTCTCACCCTGTCCAGCTCAACATCCGGGCCAAGCTGTAAGGTGTACGAGTTCACATACTCCACTCCCGAGCTATGCATCGTCTGTGCCAACATCCCGTTTTGCACTGGCGTACAGGGATACACGCCCTCTACCTCGCAATCTACCCCTAGCCGGCTAAGTTCTTTGATAATAGTGGCGCGGTGGCGGTCCGAGAAGGCTTTGAAATCATACTCCCCCACCTCACCACCCGTCACAGCGCTAGCAGAAGAAGTGCTCTTCCCCGCAATCCACCCCGACAACTCCCGCACAGAGGGGTGCATCAACACCTCGCTCGCGACAACTGTATACCCTTTTCCCCTCAATGCCGTCGCCACCTGTACAGCATTTATACTATCAAGCCCCAACCGATAAATGCTCGTCCCCCTTCCAATCTCCTTCTCCGGCACCGTCGTGAACGCTGCTATCACACCTCTGACTACCACTTCGATGTCGGTCCACTCCGCCTCCTCCTCAGCAGCAGCAGCAGCACCACCATCAGCAGTTCGGACCTTCGCATCTCGTCTATCCTGCGTCGTAACAGCCCACTCCCCCTTCCAAGCAGCAGGAACAATCTGCTCCCTCGGTCCGGTGAGCGCAATCTTAAGAAACCTATCAAACTTCTCCAACACCCTCCTCACCTCCTCCTTCCCTAGTGGAAGGTCGTGGATATGCAACGTAACCTCCAACACCCCCCCCTCCCCAGCTCCAGGACGGGGTACAATCTCCACCACAACCGGGAAATCCATACCCCCCCTATTCTCCTCCACCTTCCACACTGCGGGATCCATCTCCCGTTCCGGCGTCTGGACGAGGATAAGAGTATCAAACAACCCCTGCCCCCCTTCAATACCGGCGAGGCTCTGCACCCTCCGCAACCCCGTCATCTGCCACTCCACCGCCTCCACATTCTGCTCCTGCAGCGCTCTAAACGCTTCCAAGTAGCTCAATCTATGCAGGTTCCGCAATCGAAAGGGGATAGTGTTGAAACACGGCGCTACAAGCCTATTAAGTCCCTCAACAGGGACGGTACGGCCGCTTACCACGCTGCCGAGGCAGATATCTGTGGTTGAAGAACGGTGGGCGAGGAGGGAGGCCCAGGCGGTTTGGCAGACTGAGAGGAGGGAGGCGGAGTGGTGGGCGAGGTGGGATTCGATATCTGACAGACTCATGGATGAGGGGAGGGTGAGGACGTGGTTTTGCCTCGGTACCTCTTCCTTCGTCTCCTTCTTCACCTCTCTCCCCTCTTCCTCCTTCTCCAACGATGGTGTGAACGACACCGGCTGAAAATTCTGCAACAACCCCCTCCAGTGCGCATCCGCCTTCTCCCCGTTCACACTCGTCATATACCTCAAAAACGGCGCCAGCCCCACCGCCTCCCCCAGTTCCCCCCTCCGCAAATACGTCTCCATCTCCTCATAAAGAACCCCCATCGCGAACCCATCATAAAGCGCATGATGCATCGCCAATACCAACTTCACCCCCCTACCCGCAACGCGGATATACGTCAACTCATACGGCGGCCTGCACCCCGCCTCGCCATCAACCTGCCAGCTTACTCCGCGGGTCATGACGTCTTCCACCCCCGCAGCGTCGGCGACCTCAACGACTTTAGATTCGTGAGTGAAGCCGGCAAGTACGACTTGGCAAAACGCGTACCGCGCGTGTTCGGCGCGCACGAAACAGGTTCGGAGAATCTCATGGCGCTTCACCATCTCGGACCATGCGGAGTCGACGGCTTCGATGGGGACGGAGAGGGAGAGGAGGACGCGGTTGACGTACGCGCCCTCTTCGCCTTTATCGCTTGCCGACAAGTCTCTGGTGGGGGAGGTACTGGCGGAAGAGTCGCTGACAGAATCCAGCTCACTAGCAGCAAGCATGGCCTCCTGCAGCGGCGTACACGGCAACACCCTCTCCACCGTCCACCCCCTTTCCTTAACAGCATCACGAACCTCATCCACCAGCGCGGGTTCAAACACAATCTCCCCCGCCGTCAGCATTCCCTCCACCCCACCCTCTTTCTCCCCCTCATCTCCCCCCTTCACATCTTCCTGCCTAGCCCGCTCCCTCTCCCTCTCCCCCTCAACCCACCCCGCCAGCCTCCTCACACTCCCAAACCTCAGCACCCCCCCGACATCCGTCTTCACACCCCCCTGCTTGAGTTTTCGCACCAGACCGATGGCGGCGATGGAATCAATCCCCAGTGCCGCAAAGGGCGTATTCGGCTTCACAACCATCTCTTGGGATTTGGCCGCCGCGGTTACGACTGCCGTGACAGCGAAGAGGATTAGGGACTCGAGAGGGGTCCAGGTGTACTCCGCTGTCGAGGCGGAGGGGTTGGCGTATTGCGCCAGCTGGGTGGGGGTGAGGGACGCGTACGCGCTTTTGAGAGTCGGGGTATCAACATCACCCTCCGCCGTGATAGGGAGGGCAGAGATGGGGATGATCGAAACCGGCACAGCGTAAGAAGGAACCGCGGCGTCTAGATGGGCGTAAATCCCCTCCAGCACCTCTTGCTTCACATCCAAGATTTCGAGGCCCCCCTCCCCACCATCCGCTTGGATAGGGGTAAAGAACGCCACTAGTTTCGCCTCCCCCACCACCACCGTCGCACAACCATCCCCAACAGCGGGGTTCTCAAGCACAACCCCCTCCACAACACCCACATCAACTCTCCGCCCCCTAGCCAAAACTTCCTTCCCCTTCCGTCCGCGATAAATCACTTCACCACCAGGTAGGAGTCTTACCAAATCGCCCGTGCGGAGGAGTTTTCCATGCATAGGATCGTCCACAAACCTCCCCCCCTCGACAAGCCCCTCCTCAACCCCATGGAAGGAGATACACAACTCGCCTTCCGCGCCGAGAGGGAGGATCACCACGTCCTCCTCTAACTGAGGTGCGATGACGAGGATTCTGATACCCCGCCCGACGCGGCCTACGTAGCCTCTGACCTTACCCGCGATGGGTTGCTGGAGACTCACCTCCACGTCCCTTCCGGTAACCAACCTCCCAATCCGATTCGCTCTCCTATTTCCCCTTACCTTCGGCCCCCCCATCGCTGCAACTTCCTCGCCATTCTCGCCATTAGCAAGAGCGGGACTCACCCCACTCCCCTCACAAACGCTCATCCACCCCTCCCCCTCCAACCCCCAAAAAACACCCTCCACACCCGCCTCCATCCCATACCGTATAAACACCTCTAGAGCACCCTCAACCTGTCTCAGAAGCAGCTGGATCATTTCCCGCCCAAAGATGGCAGTCTGGTAGCTAGCATCGAACCTCACCTTGCCATCCCCGCTCCCAGCAGTAGTGCCAGGGGTGACTTCTAGTGTCAGTGCGAACTCCAGATAATCCCTCGCCTTCACCAACTGTACTCTCTTCCCCCCCCCCCGCCGTCGGCGAGGCTCTGCTGCCAAATAACCAACGTATCAAACACCCCCCCCTCACTCTCCCCCTCCACCAGCCCCTGAATCTCCCGAAGTCCAAGAGCTTCATTCTCCATATGCCTCCTCCCCACCCTCTGCATCTCCGCCATCACGCCCCCCACCGTGCCACTCCCGATATCAATCCTCACCGGCAACGTCGCAATACACGGCCCAGCGATCTCCTCTATCCCTTCTACATCCACTGATCGGCCTGAGAAGACGGAGCCGAAGCATATATCCTTCGTCCCGAAATAACTCGACAGCACTATCGCATACGCGGATTGCACCATAGCTTGCGGACTTGCGCCAGCTAACGCCGCGGATCTATCCAGCGCAGACGTAGAGATAGAGGTTGTGTGGGCGACGATATCCAACCCGCGCGGCGCGGAGGAGGAGGCGTGAAAAGAAGGCAACGACCTCGGTGAGAAGTGCGCGAGGTGGTCTTTCCAGTACTGCTTCTCCTTCTCCATCGATCTCGAGGCGAGGCGGAGCGTGTGTTCGACGAGGGTGCGGAAGGGGGGGCGCGGTGCCAAGGTGGGCTTCGTGTCGTCGGGTGAGGATGGGGAGGATGGGGGAGACAAAATCCCCTCCAAATCCCCAATGATCAACTCCAGCGACCACCCGTCATAAAGCGCATGATGGATATCCCACCTCACCACCGCGTGGTCCCCGAACGGCGTGACTCTCATCCTTATAGGCCTCACCATCTCTAACCCCCTCCTCCCCCCCTCCACCTTGTCCTCCCCATCCCCAGCCATCTCAACAACAACCTGCCCCTCCCCCAACCCCGGCCACACAACCTGGGAAAACGCGCTCCACTCACTCTCACACTCCACAAACCCCGTTCTCAGCAGCGGATTATGGCGCGCCAACTCCCTCAGCGCGCTGACAATCCGTTGCGGGTCCAGGGGCTCGGAGATGCGTAGTTGGATAAAATTATTATAGGCCACCGCATCCACACTAGTCTCGAGTAGCATCGCATCCTGGAGCGGGGTGCAGGGCATCACCTCTTCAAAGGGGTCATGGACGTTCATCTCCGCCAGTGCATCCCTAACCGGCCCCTCCAGCCCCGAGAAATCAAAGACCTCGGGGGGCTGGGAGGACGCATCGGGTTGGTCCAGGCGCTCCTCACAAACCCTCGCAATCTCGCGCAGGGTCTCCGCTTCTAGGATTTCCACGGGGGAGATACGCAGTCTCGCGCTCCGGAGATGGGAGGCTAGTCGGATGGCAGTTAGGGAATCCAACCCATACGTCGCAAGCCGTTTCGTCGGGTTGACTCGGGCCTTTAACAGCGTCTGGAGCGCCGTCGCAACCGTCTTCTCCGTCTCCCTAACCACTCCCGCTTCATCACCCCCGTCCTCGGCGCGAGAGCGGAGGTACTCGGCTTCCGATCTCTTCTTATCAATCTTCCCCGACGGCAAGTACGGGAACGCGCTCATGACGACCACTTCGCTCGGCACCATATACCGTGGAAGCCACTGCTCGCACGTCGTCATTACTTCTTCGGCCTCGACGGTCTCCCCGCCTACCGCGCGCGCGAAGACGATGAGCATCCCCTCCAACACGCTCGCAAACGCCAGCTCAATCCCGGGGTGCTTATACACCACCTCCTCAATCTCCCCCAACTCCACGCGCTGCCCCCTCAACTTGACCTGTCCCGCACTAATGCGTCCCATCACCTCAATCGTCCCGTCCTCAAGAATCCGCCCCCTGTCGCCCGTGCGGTAGGCGGGGGATCCGTTGTATGTGACGAAAGCGGCCTTGTTTTCTTCCTCGCGGTTCAGATACCCGTCGGCTAGTTGCGTGCCGCCGAGAACGAGCTCGCCCACTTCGCCGATAGGGAGGATGGACAGGGCGGAGCCGGTGGAGGGGCCGGTGGGGGAGGGGATGGCGGCGATGAAGCAGGAGACGGTGGAGAAGGGGCGGCCTATATTACCGACTTTGGAACCAGCGGCCATGTTCGTGTACGCCGTGCAATGGATAGCCGCCTCCGTGGGACCGTACATGCCACACAACATCCCCACCTTATCATCCGCGTACCCGAACTCGTCAACGACGGGCCTTGTGAGCATCTCCCCAATCGTAAGCAGCAGTTTCAACCGCGGCACATTGGCGCGCCGCAAGAGCAGCGATCCGACCACTGTGGGAGTCAACTCACACCCGTCGACGTCCATGGCGTTGATGGTGCCGGGGAGGTCGTTCAGGAGACGCTCGCGGTGGCAGGCAATCAGCGTGCAGCGGCGGAAGAGGGGGAAGAAGATCTCGAAGACGGAGACGTCGAAGGAGGGCGCGGCGAACTGGAGGAAGCGGGAGAATGTCGGTATTAGAACCTCGTGCGCGAGTAGGGATTGCGTGGCGGCGCGGTGGCTGACGCCGACGCCTTTGGGGAGGCCGGTCGAGCCGGATGTGTACATGACATAGGCGAGGGAGGAAGTGGTAGTAGTCGCGGGGAAAGGGGGAAGGGGAGGGGGGGCGAGGGGGGCGAGGGGGTCGAGGGAGGGGGGGATGGGGAAGTGGACGTCGATTAAGATGGGTGTAGGCCCCCCCTCCCACGTGACGGCCTCGTCATTGTCGCGTGTAGAAATGATAAGTTCCGCCTTGACATCGCCGGCAATGAACTTGATACGCTCCTTAGGCGCGTCGAGATTGATCGGGCAGAATGCGGCGCCGATCTGCAGGGCGGCTAGCTGCGCGATGTAGAGTGCCGGGGACTGCGGGACCAGCAGGGGGATGATAAGCTGGGGTCCGTCCGGGTCCCCTCGCCCGGAGGATCTGAGGGTTTCGTGGAGGGTTGCGGCTAGGCTGGCTACGCAGCGTTGCAGCTCGCCGTACGTATAGCTGTGACGCACGTCCGAGCCTTCGGGGCCGAGGAAGTCGAGGGCGGGGGCGCCGGCGTCGTCCCAGCTCACGAGGTCGTGTAGCAGGGCCGGCCCGGCGAGGAGGGGCGGGTGGGCATTGAGGATGGAGAGGCCCGGCATTATTGGTTTTTGGTGTGTCGGTTGGGTATCTCAGCGGGTGTTGGGGGATGGATTGATGAGAGGTCAGAGGGGAAAGGGTGTAACGTGAGACCGAAGCATGCACTGGTGATGGGTATAACGTGAGACCGAAGCATGCACTGGTGATGGGTATAACGTGAGACAACATGCACCGCAAGACAGAAACAAGCACCGGTGATGGGTATAATATGAGACGGAAACAAGCATCGGTGAATGGGTGATTGGAAATAGGTGATGAATGGATGGATGGATGGATGGATGGATGGGTCTGGGGATGGATGCAATGGGGATGGAAGTAAGCGGGGTTTGTTGGGAGTGTGGAGGCAGTGTGTGAGACGGGTTTTCTGTATTTGCGTGGGAAGGAGGAGGTGGAATGGGCAGCTTGAATGGGTTGTTGATTAGTGCCATTGGTGGCAGTAATCAACAACCCAGCAAGAGCCACGGCACTAGTGAAGAGAGTACTCGAGTACCAGCAGTGGAAAGTTGAGTTAGTTGGTGGTGAAGAGTTAGTTGGTGGTGAAGAGTGATTGAGGTGGGAGGGGAGATGGGAGATGGGAGATGGGAGATGGGAGGTGGAAGGTGGGAGATGGGAGGTGGAAGGTGGGAGAAGGGAGAAGGGAGATGGATGGGTGAAGGGAGGTGGGAGATGGGAGTGGTGGTGATGGTGATGGTGGGTGATGGTGGTGATGGTGAGTGGTGGTGGTGATGGTGGAGTGGTGGTGGTGATGGTGGAGTGGTGGAGTGGTGGTGGTGATGGTGATGGTGGAGTGGTTGAAAAGGACGGTGTGTGTGTAGGGGTAAAGAGAGGAGGGAGGGGTGGGTGAGGGAGGGTAGCTAAGGATAGCCAAGGATAGCCCAGGATAGCCCAGGATAGCCCAGGATAGCCAAGGATAGCGTGGGAAGTATGTAGAGGGGTAGAATCACCGGCACTTCACATTCGACGGGCGGGCGAGAAAGACACGGAAGGGAGTGGGCGGGCAGGCGAGAGGGGAAGCGAGAGGGGAAGCGAAGGGGAAGCGAGATGGGCAAAGCAGGGAAAGCAGGGAAAGGAGGGAAAGCAGGGCGGGAGTGGGGACCGGGGAGGCCGGGGTGGGGCGGGACTGGGTCGCCAAGGTGAAGAAATCTTATCAGATCATCAGATTAGTGCAGGAACGGGGGGGGAAAAGATTCTTCAGCGGAGGGGTGGTGGTGGTGGTTGGGGGATGGTGGTGGTGGTTGGGGGTGGTGGTGGTGGTGGTTGGGGTGGTTGGGGGATGGTGGTGGTTGGGGTGGTTGGGGGATGGTGGTGGTGGTGGTGGTGGTGGTGGTGGTTGGGGGATGGTGGTGGTGGTGGTGGTGGTTGGGGGATGGTGGTGGTGGTGGTTGGGGTGGTTGGGGGATGGTGGTGGTGGTGGTGGTGGTGGTGGTGGTTGGGGGATGGTGGTGGTGTTGCGGTGTGGTGGTGTTGCGGTGTGGTGGTGTTGCGGTGGTGGTGGGGGATGGTGGTGGTGGGGGATGGTGGTGGTTGCGCTGGTTGCGCTGGTTCCGGTGGTGGGGGATGGTGGTGGTTGCGCTGGTTGCGCTGGTTGCGCTGGTTCCGGTGGTTGGGTTCTGTGTCCGGCTTTCCTTCCTGATCTATCCGACCGATCGCTCTCATCTGACCCCATCTGACCTCGTTTTATAGCGGACTAAAGTGCTCCTTGTGCCGGGATACGGGATGGGAGTGCGTGGATGGATGATGGATGGATACATGCTTCATCAGATGGTGTGAAGAGAAAGTGGGCATTTGGACCGGGCGGCATTTGTCTCCTCCTGTCTCCTCTCTTTTGTCTCCTCTCTGTCTCCTCTCTGTCTCCTCTCTGTCTCCTCTCTGTCTCCTCTCTTTTGTCTCCTCTCTTTTGTCTCCTCTCTTTTGTCTCCTCTCTTCTGTCTCCTCTCTTCTGTCTCCTCTCTTTTGTCTCCTCTCTTCTGTCTCCTCTCTCTTCTGTCTCTCTTCTGTCTCCTCGCTCTCTTCTTCCCGTACACGGTATGGACACGACTGCTCTACCGCCTCCACAGCACAAACAAGGGAAAGAACAGGGAAGCCTACTCTATTCCACTCCCCATCTCTCTCCCACGCTCTTGCACCACCACCACCACAACCCACAAACTATCCTCTAATATACCCATATCCATATCATATCCATATCATATCCATATCATATCCACATCATATCCATACATCTCCATATCATATCCATGCCCATGCCCTGCCCATCTCCATATCATATCCATACCCATGCCCTGCCCATCTCCATATCATATCCTTGCCCATGCCCTGCCCATCTCCATATCATATCCATACCCATGCCCTGCCCATCTCCATATCATATCCATACCCAACCCTATCCATACCATCTCCATACCCAACCCTATCCATACCATATCCATGCCATACCATATCCACATCCATACCATATCCATGCCATACCATACCCACATCCATACCCACACCCATACCCACATCCACATCCACATCCACATCCACATCCATACCCTTACCATACCCTTACCCTCCATCCAAACTAACCTTAACTATTACTCGGTAATACTAAACCATGTCCGCACCTTAGTCATCCGCGGCCGCTTTCTTTCCTTCTTACCATCTAATCTGATCTTCCTTCCCTTTTATCTATCCCCCCCCTCCCTCTACCGCATCCATCCCCTCGGGAACTCCTCGCATAGAAATTCTGATATTCCATTTATTTATTTGTTTAAATCCTCCTGAACACGCGCCCTTTACGCCCTGTCTTTCCTTGTCACGTCAAACCTATACGTGCTTGACCTCGAGGCCGCTTGACTCGTATATTCTTATACTTTGTTCAATTCCCGCTTGACGGTCTTCTTCTATCCAGCATTTTCTTGGTGAGTCCTCCTTTTTGATGAGGCCTTCCACCCCAGATTTCTCACTTGCCGCGTCACACACACCCTCTTCCTTCACTGCCGCCCTCTCTCCTCACACCCTCTCCACCACTCACCTTACTCGCCTTCACACCCGCTCTCACGCTCACTCTACCGCTCACTCTCACGCTCACTCTCACGCTCACGCTCACGCTCACGCTGCATCATGTATTCTCATCCACCCCTCCCCCTCCCTCAGCACCCACTTACTCAATATAAACAAAAATTCCACTCCCTCATCATCTGTACTCCCAACTAACAAATCCCAGGAACCAGCCTGCTGCAGCACTCAAACGCGCCATACCTAAACACATGGCCGCCATCCCTCCCTCCAGGTCCCGGAGCACCGAGAGTCTCTTTTCACCCGGCCAATCCACACCAACTAGCTCGGTTGGGGATAACAGCTGCGATGGTATGTCCACTATCCCCAGTTCCCATTCCCCAGTTCCCATTCCCCAGTTCCCATTCCCCAGTTCCCATTCCCCAGTTCCCACTCACCAGTTCCCATTCCCCAGTTCCCATTCCCCAGTTCCCATTCCCCAGTTCCCACTCACTAACCCCCCCACCAGTTCACTCTCATCAAACTACCACCACCACCCCCACCACCACACCCCCCAACACGCCCCTAACCTCCCTAACCTCCCTAACCCACGCCTCCCTCCTCTCCCCCACCTCAAAAGGGTCCTCCACCCCCCTCTCCCTCCTCACAATCGGCTTCGGCCCCGCCTCCCTCGCCATCGCCATCGCCCTCTCCGACCACCTCTCCTCCTTCCCCTCCTCCCCCTCCTCCCCCTCGCCCCCCGTCCTCTTCCTCGAAAAGCAACCTACCTTCGCCTGGCACTCCGGCATGCAGCTCGCGGGGACACACATGCAGATTTCCTTCCTCAAAGACCTCGCTACGCCGCGTGATCCTACGAGTCCGTTTAGTTTCTTGAATTATCTGTTTTCGAAGGGGAGGTTGCAGAAGTTTATTAATCTGGGGACCTTTTTGCCGGCGAGGAGGGAGTATGAGGATTACATGCGTTGGTGCGCTTCTCACTTCTCCCGCGCTGTGAGGTACGGGACGGAGATTACCAGGGTGGATGCGGTGCATAATGAGGAGACGGGCAAGGTGGATAGATTCACCGTCCACTGGATCGATACCGCCACCGGCGCCCCGGGGTCAGCGACGGCGCGCAACGTCGTCGTCGCAACTGGTGGAAGCCCAGCTGTTCCTAGTCTCTTCGCGCCTTTCGCCACTGGTCCTGACGCGCGATTCATCCACTCCTCCCAATACGCGACTTCAATCCCGCACCTCTCCACCACCCTCCTCTCTCCCCCCGCACCGCAGCACTTGGTGGTAATAGGCGGTGGCCAATCCGCCGCAGAGATCTACGTCGATCTCGCGTCCCGCTTTCCGCGTTCGAAGATCACGTTGTTGGTCAAGGATACGTCGCTCAGGCCGTCGGATGATAGTCCGTTTGTGAATGAGATTTTTGATCCTGATCGCGTGACGCCTACTTTTGAGATGGGGGCGGAGGAGAGGAAGGAGAAGAGGGAGAGGGATAAGGGGACTAACTACGGCGTCGTCCGCCTGGAACTTCTGGAGAGGATTTACTCCGAGTTGTATGCGCAGGAGGTCGATGAGCCGGTGGAGGAGAAGTGGAGATGTAGGGTCAGGAATAGCCAGACTGTTGTGGGAGTGGAGAGATTTGAGGATGGGGGGGTGAAGTTGGAGATCGCAAGGACGGGGGATGAGAATGGGGAGAGAGAGGCGATTGAAGCCGGGTTGGTGGTGTTTGCAACGGGGTATGTGAGGGATGCGCATGTGCGGATTTTGGATGGGACGAGGGGGTTGCTTGATGCTGAGCGTGCTGTTGCTGAGGACCCTGTTACTGCGACTGTTGAGGCACCTGTTGCTGAGACTGCGGCTCCGGAGACTGCTGTCCCTACGGAAGCTGTTGAGGCTGCTGCTGAAGCTCCTGCTGCTGTCGAGGCGGTAGCTGTTCCCGATGCTGCAGAGACTGCTGCTGCTGTGGAAGCTCCTACTCCTACACCAGTTATTGAGGCTACCCCTACCGTGGAGACTGCTGAGGTGATAGCGACCCCTGTTGCGGTAGAGACGACCCCGGAGGCGACCGCGGAGACGGCGGTGGTACCAGAGGCTGCTACAGCACAGGAGACGACCACGGAAACAACAACGCTCCCAGAAACTACGTCGGTTGGGAAATTGGATGAGGAGGAGGTAAAGGTAACAGTCGAACTCGCACGCGCTCCAGCCGTCTTCCCAGTCGGCCGCGACTACAAAGTCCAATACGCTGAGGGCGCGGTGGAGGAGGGGGCGGGGATTTGGTTGCAGGGGTGTAATGAGAAGACTCATGGGGTAAGTCCTTTCTTAATGATCTTTTTTTGGAGACGGCGGCTAATACGTGTGATAGTTGTCTGATACGCTACTCTCGATCCTCGCACACAGGGGGGGTGAGGTGGTACAGAGTATTTTCGGCCCCAGCGCCTCCAAATAAACGGTGTCCTTTGTCGCTTTGACGCGGCACAATCATTAATGGAAAGAGATGCCACGTCTACACGTCGAGTCGTGGCGGGACGGGGGGGTGGTAGGGGTGAAGAAAATGAGGAATGTGTCAAGAACGAAAAGGGGAAAAGGTGGAAAAAGAGGAGGATATTTATATATACTAGGTATGCAATTGGTGGAAGGGGGTTGTTCATATAGGCGTCTTATATACGATCATATTAGTCAGTTTTAGTTTGTTTTTTGTATCTGAATTGATCCATCGCAGTTTATTTTTTTTGTAAAACTACATCCCACCATACTCCTGCATTCCACATCGCCGCTCCGATTCGCACATACACGACAACCACCCCCTCCCACACCCACTCCGATGTCGGTAACGGACCCACCCCACGTATCCCATCCCCAACATGCTAGTTGGTACCCAAGTGCGCCAGCCGCTTCTCGGACCGTGCTATGTTGGGATGGCGTGCGGCGTGTGCGGTGAGTGTGGGTGCTAGCACAGTGTCGATGCGGGGGTTGTCAAGGATGAGATGAGATGAACCCCCGGCACGCGTTGTTCTTTTCATCTCGCGAGGCATGGCACTCAACTTCCCCTTCTTCTCTCCCCGAGCGCTGCAGCGCGGTATGGAGACATTTCTTGCTGCGGTGCGTGGCAGAGCGGTACGCTCTCATCCGTCCCGTTCCACTATCGCCCGCCGTGCACTCGGTCCACCAAGCTAACCCTCGGCCGTGTCAATCCCGCCTTCGTAATTCTCATCATTCAGCCGCCCACCCCTTCCGCTCAGCAACCCCAACCAACATCCCCAGCACCCCCTCCGCCCCCTCTCTCTCTCCCCTCCCTTCCCTCTCAGCAGGCGCGGAAATCTTCACCCTCCCCTCTGCAGCTATCACGAAGGCGCCGCACGCTATCTTCGCCACTGCCACTGAGGGATTGGAAAGGTCGAGCGCGAGGCGTTTGGTTGTGTATGTATGCAGGGCTGTCCAGAAGGGGTGCTGTTCGGGCTGCGCTGGGGATGTCCGGGCGCTTGTTGCGGTTGTGGTTGTGATGGAGCTGCCGCCGCGCTGGAGGAAGTTGGGGATGTCATCGCGTGAGATTGTTATGTCGATATTCTTCAACTCCCCCCCTTCCACACCCGGAAACGCGAGAGAGATCACCACCTCCCTCACCGCGCTCCTGACTTCCCCTCCACCCGCGACCAGGGCCTCGATGTATCCCCCCATAGCTTTCTTCACAAACGGGGAGGGTAGCTGCATCGGTGACGCGCGGGTATCAAATCTCGTCGATAGGAAGTCGAGGAGTGTCGTCCGCAGGGGGGGGGGAGACGGGTTAGTAGGAGGGGGAGGTGTGTGAATTCCCCTTCTGTTGTGGTGGTGGCGGGGGACTTGATATCGCGCAGCAGAATCGCCGTGTAATTTGCTTTCTCGTAGGTCATTTCGATTATCACACCCCAGCCCCCTTCCCCCCCTTCCTGCCTACTCTCATCCGGCTCAGCAGCAGCATGCACAGCAGCCCACCCATCCGGTGATCTCAGCGGCCGCATCGACACGCTCCTCAGCGCGCCGGCGCGGGAAAGCGACGCATTAGAAGTATCCAACCCGATCCTTACACCGCGGAGTGTAGACCCAGTCAGTATCTCAGAGAGCGCGGCGGCGTGGGAGGGGAGCGAGGAGGGCGTGAAGGCGTGCAGGGGGGAGAGGCGGTGGAGGGTGTATGTTGTGTTGTAGAGCGGGTAGACTGGTGCTGGTGGGGCCCCGGAGAGGGAGGGTGAGGGCGGCATTGTGGTTTGACGGAGTGCCGGCCGTGATGGAGGTGTGGTTGGAGGTGAGTTTGTGGCAGTTGAGGTTTTGGGGGGTGGTGAAGGTGGAGGGGTGTTGTTGTGAAGGTTCAGCCGCGTCGACAAGGCTGTGTGTTATGGACTGGACCCTGCCAACGCTGTGGTGAGACAACAGGCGGTAGACGGCGTGGCAAGGTGTAATGATGTACGGTTACGAGTATGCTCGCGCTACATCCCACTGAGCCAAAAAAGACTACAGTATTCCGGCTCGCCCGGAATACGCGTAACGCGCTTTATATACCACATGTACTGTAACGGCGGCACCCGTTACACAAGGCACCAGATCCAGTGGCGCTCAACGCCTCTTTGCTGTATATCTATCGCCCATTTGCCATCTCCATCATTCATTCAAACTATCCTTACATCACAATTCAACAGCTGTTGCCACCACACGCAACAATGAAACCCTCACTCCATATCCCTCTCCTCCTCCTCCCCATCCTCCCCGCCGTCTCCGCCTGGGGGTCTCTAGGTCACATGACAGTAGCATATCTCGCCGAGCACCTCGTCGCTCCCCGAACAGCGGTATACATGCAGGGGGTCCTGTCCAACCCTTCATCACCAGGCTATCTCGGTTCTATCGCCACATGGGCGGACTCATATCGGTACACCAAGGATGGACGATACTCGGCGCATCTGCATTATATCGATGCGGATGATAGTCCGCCGTGGAGCTGTGGGTTGGATATAGAGAGGGATTGTGCGGATGAGTTTTGTATCGTTTCGGCGATTGGGAATTATGTGTGTAACCCCCCATCACCTAGCACTACCCTGAAGCTAAATCCCCACAGACATCACGCCTCATGGACGCGGACCTCGATGCCTACCAGCGCGCTATAGCCGCAAAGGTCCCACCCCCCTCCTCCCTCCCCCCCTCCCTTTTCTTTTTACATAACGAACCGCAAACTAACCCCCCCCAGTTCGTCGTCCACTTCATAGGCGACATCCACCAACCCCTCCACACCGAAGGCCTCCTCCGCGGCGGCAACGGCATAAAAGTCCGTTTCGGCAACCGCAACTCCAACCTCCATTCCGTCTGGGACTCCGCCATCGCCGAGCACCTAATCGGCGGCTACACGCCCACCCACGCGCGCGAATGGGCTGGCACCCTCCTCGCCGATATCGAGGGGGGGCTGTACTCCCCCCTGGTGGATGAGTGGAGGGAGGACATCAGTTTGGGGGATGTGGGGGGGTCGGTGATGAGGTGGGCGCGGGAGAGTAATAGATTGGTTTGTGAGGTTGTGGTGCCGGAGGGGGGGTGGGAGACGTTGCAGGGGAAGGATTTGAGTGGCGAGTATTATGAGAGGGCGATTGGGAAGGTGGAGATGCAGGTTGCGAGGGCGGGGGTGAGGTTGGCGGAGTGGTTGGATTTGATTGCTGGGGGGGAGGGAAGGGGGGAGTTGTAAGGGGGGGAGGTATGATTGTGTAATGAAGTTATTTTGTTGGATATTTTGAAGTCTATGAAGTATGGGGGCGTTGGTGTTTAGGAAGGAGCGACTCGCCACTAGCAAGAACGCGCTTTCCATTCTCACAAAGAATGGAATCTGGGAAGGAGCGACCTACGTATTGTCGCTCCTGCATATATTAATTGTTCCAAGTCGCTCCTGCCAAAATTGATAGTTGTGCTGTCGGATGACTTTTAGAGTCATTGGAGTCGTTAAGGTACATCATATTAGATAAGTAGCCGATTACTAACAAATTCCCCTTTGTAGCTCAGTTGGATTAGAGCATCGGACTGTAACTGTAACAACAATCATCCGGGGGCCCCCGGTTCGATTCCGGGCGAAGGGACTATAACTCTTCAGACGAGCACACTCGTCCACGGTTCTTCTTTTTTTGCTATTTATTTTTTTTTATTCTTTTTATTTTGCTTGTAGAGAAGGTGAAGAGGTGTGGTGGTCGAGAGAGAGAGAGGTGGTATTAATTCAAATAAGCGAAAATATTCAAATATGGAGGCATTTCACGATCGTACCTTACGGTAACAGAAATTGTTTATTAGTTTATCAGGTTAATACTCACCCTTTCCCTAAACTTGATCACTACACACCTATTTGTGCCTTACATCTTACATTCAAACACAGACCGCTCACCTTAGTAAGGGAACGAAATCCTGTCGCATCCATCCTGCTAGAACCTTGTCGCTGCTGCGCCTTGCCCTGAAAATATTACAAATGAGCCGCCAGCCTTGCTAATCCTATTTTTTCTCTCTCGCTCTTTCGCTCTTTCGTCCTTCTCTCTATTACCTTGGGGCGCTCTTCAGACGGTGCCCATTAGTCTCCGACGCCTACTCCCTGCTATCTAGCCTAGGGAGGAAGTTTCCCTACGCCTGCTTCGTGCCTGCTCCGTTCGCAGTAGACGCCGTTAGTTCTCTTGTGTGCATCACGGCTCTCCCCGTCACCTAACTTATGTCTCCGCCCGCGCGCCTTCTGAAGACACACCCATTGACCCAGATTGTCTCTTGCATATACCCTATGAGTGGACAGCACGCGCTCTTACCTGGATCCTTTTTTACGCCTCTCTCATCTTTGCTTCTACAATGAGACGCTCTAGGTGGTTTACCAACATCGTCTTTGGGTTAGCTATGCCATGTAGCACTACTGCGTTTGTCCACATCATTGTCATATGCGCGACACACGGGTGGAATCCGCCTATCCTCGACCTTGACGTGTGTGGCATCTTCTTGCTTGGTACGGCAGGCGTGAGCATGTACCCAGCTCTAGTTGTCTTACGGCAGCGTTATAAGGATCTAGCAGTGCAACATAGCTGCGTTCTTCCTCGCCAAATTTGACAATCCTAGACATAATAGCAACTCGGAAGTGGCATGCTACTTGCCGGATGGCACCCTTCTTACTAGCCTCGCACAGCTAAATGGTAGCCGGGACCTTGAATGCATATACGACTGTTTCCTTACACGCAAGTCTGTCCTAAAGACTCAAGATGCGGTGACGGTTATGTGTGTACTCCTGCGAATGAAAGGCTAGATGGATGGGACTACTTGTTGGATATGCCTTCTCGAGCATTATGTTCGGTCTCGGGTCTGATATGCATCAATATCATTGGATATTAAAACAGCTAGATGCCTTGCTCAGTGTACAATCAGGACGGACGTGCGGTTATGACGCCAGTAGCTTGCATTTGTTTAATCTTCATGGCGCCGTGGGTAATTATCAACGAGTACTGACTCCGGAGTACCCCCGTCGAAGAGAGGGCAGTGGGCACCTTGAGTGGCTGCGTTGCTTGCTATTATAGGGGGGGGTCTACCGTGCCGTCAAGGCCCTTAAGAATGGTGAAGGAGCCCTAGAGCTACGAGTTAATTCCCCTGCTGATTATGTTATGTCCGGCGCATTAATTGAGCCTGGTGGCGATATTCCAATCGACGATTTGCTTGCGCCAGGCAGGAGAGATGATACAGTTTCGTCGAATGGATTCACTCACTTACTCGACGAGATAGATCTCGGTGCCTATAGAATCACACCAGAGGGCAAGCGCGCCCTGCTTGCCGTCTCATAGTATACTGTTATATATATGCCTCCCGAACTAATTTAAAATATGGATTGTATTTTTTATTTTACAAGCTTGATATTTTCAGTAGGAATTAAAACCATCCTACATTAGGCACAATCAAAATTTGTATATATTGAAAATAATACCAAACAGCGCAGGCAATTTTATCGTTCTTTTTTAAGCAATCATAAACTAGATCCTGCGAGCCTAATATAAACAAACCCCTTCCCCTCATCCCTCAAACCTCGAGCACAACCTGCAACCCCCCTCCCCCTACGAAAGCGTAATAGAAATCGGCCCCGTCAGCGGCCCTCCGGCTCACTACACGTCACCGTCTCCACCACCGTCGCACACCCCGTCTGACACGTCAGACACCTCGCCACCGTCACCGTCGGCGTACTCTGACAACATGCATCCTTACACGGCACCGTCTCCGTCTCCAAACAATGCAATCTGGGTACGGCCCACAGGTCGCCGAGTTGAAGAGAGGGCAGTACGCGATGCTGGCTACTTCGGTGGCGGTGTAGCAGCTGTGGGGGGCTTGGGAGAGGGAGATGATTGTGCTGGTGATGGTGTGGTGGAGGCGGGTGTAGGTTGTGGTGTGGAAGACGGTGATGGTGGTGGGGGTGCAGGTTTGGGGGGTCCCGATGATGACGGTGCGGGAGATGGTGATGAGGGATTGGGAGAGGGTGGTGCTGGGGGGTGTTAGTAGGGTGGCTTTGTGAAGGGGAGGGATTGGGGGAGATGGAAGATATATTTAGGGCTAGGGCAGCTGCCAGGAGGAGGATAGATAGCATATCGTGGTAGGTATGATACACAGATAATAGACAGGTGGTAGACAGGCGAGTAGCTGTTTAAAAAATGGATCGACAAAGATCTTCAAGTATGGAAGAGACGAAATATTTAAAGAAGGAAAGCGGGGATGGACAGTATGGAAGAGACGAAATATTTAAAGAAGGAAAGCGGGGATGGACAGTCTCGAAGAAATAATAGTACCTTGCCTTCCTTCCCCTGAATTATTGGCATATCCCAGCGAAACATGTAGGGGAATCCTTCCGCGCAATGATTCCCGAAGTAATTGGTGGGATTTTTGGAGGTCCTTGTCAGCTTACAACAATGATGTCTGAGAGTTGTTTTTATGACAGAAAATCCTGGCGATGCTGTCTTTTATGGTTATAGTGCTTAATGGTATTTAGGCATAAACAACAATGATAGAACGGAGTAAGCTTAAATCCCCCTTGGCCGCTGCGAGTCGGCACGGCGTGAGCCTCCTTTGACCGTAGGAACCACAGGGAGCCGAAGCTGGAAAGCAAGCAAGTTCTGAACCTCCGTCAGTGTTGGTAATAGAATGACCTGTCTCAAAACTCTATAAATTCCCCTCTCTCCTCCCTCAATTTCTAAAAACCATCCTCATCACTTCAACAACTCACACTACTATCTCCAAACTCCAAGCTCCAACAGCAACATGCAGTTCACCACCATCCTCCTCGGCCCCTCCGCTGTCCTCACCACCGTCCTTGCCCCCCCGGTCGACACCTCCGCCGCTTCTCCCCTCGTCGAGCGCGCCTGCGCCTACGACGACTGCGCTGCTTGCGAGGACTACTGCTGGAACGGTGAGTCCCCCCCCTTCTCCCCACCTTCCCTTCTCCCATAACCCCTATACGAACACGGAGCGTGGGTGGACTAGAATCCTAATATCAAATAGATCTCCCATGCCCTCCTGACCACAACTGCGGTATTAGCTAGGCGACTTGCTTCATTCTCTGCATTGAGACTGGCTGCTGCGATGCTTAAATCGGGGATGTAAAGCTGATATGGGGTGAAGACGGGCGGGCAGGTGGCGAAGTAAATGGAGGACCAGGGCCATTGGTAGTGTAGCTGCCGCTGTATGAAAATTGTGTTACTCCTCTTGAAGATGCGTTCTGCAACCTTGGACGTGAAGGGTGGCATACACCGGTTCTCTCACTGACATGACAACCTTATCAAATGGCACACTCACCTGCAAGGGGAGATATTTCCATACACCTAATCTACAACTCTGCTACTCTGCTCCAGCTAGTAAGCTCATTGCCCCCCCGGGCCCCCGCTTTCCCCACAGCAAATAAGCCCTCAAAATCCCCATAAATCCCTCTCCCCCTACTATCCCGTCCTATAATCCTAGCCACTCTTCATCCCAGTCCCAATCCTTTTGTTTTGTAGTAATACACACACCCCATCCAGCCGTGCCAGCAGACCCAATAAACGCCGTAATACCGCGCACACCGGTCATCTCATCAGGGAACCAAGAGGGAGAATCTGGTATGTCCGGCTCCCTGCTTGTCTACATCCCTATCTCATCCCATTCGATCCATCTATCCAGCGCCTCTTCAATATAAATCCCCGCTCCCCAGCTGAGAACTTGCAAAGTGTGAAGGGTGAGGATAGGCCCCTTACCCTCTACCGGGGGTATGCGCCCCCATGAAGAAGCCGTCGCCGAAGCCCGTCCCGGACGCGGGATCCATCTGCATCTCCAGCGCATTGGCATCATACACTCCCGGAAAGTACGGCGGGTTAGGGTCGACAGCGCTGCCCATCTGGACGTATTTGTCCCAAGCGGCCTAAATAACACCACAGTCAGCAATCCACCACCGATAAAAAAACAAAACAGTCAGGGCTGTAGATTCAAACTCACCCAGTCCAAATTATGAGGCAAATCGGTCAAACTCGCACCCCCCCAACCCCCCAATACTGACCCAACTCCCCCCCGCCACCCCCTCCATAGGCCCTCCATACCCCTCCCCCACCTCCCCGGACTCGGCGCCACAAACGCCGGCGGCGCCGCCACCCCCACTCGACAGCATCCCCAGCGTCATCGTCGCCGAGTGCTCCGGATGCATCTCCTCATCCACCTCCTGGTTCACCTCACTCTGCTGCGCTTTGAGCTTATCAACCATAATCCGCAGAACCTTGGCGCCCTTGTACGCTTCCATACTAGTCGCCTGGTCGCCCTCCCAGATCGCCAGCGCGGTTTCGAGGGATGATAACATGTCGGCGCGTTGCTCGGCGGTCCAGAAGGTGTGGGAGCCGCCACCGCGGTCGTGGTTGAGATCGAGGGAGACGATCATGGCGCCGAGGACGAAATCGTGCTTTTGTAACGCAGTCAGCCGCCACATCACCTCGCTGATCCGGCCGCCTGGTTGCGCCTCGCGGTGCAGCGTAGCTTGGATACGGAGGAGTGCCATAGCGGCATCTACGGACGCGCGGCGCGAGTACGCGTACCGCGGATTCGTGCGAGCGCGCGCGATGAAGCGGCGGTGGAGGACGCAGATGGTTTTCTGGTGGAGGACTTCGATGTAGAAGCGCTGGAGGATGAGCGAGGAGGGGTCTAGAGCCGAGTCTTCGAGGGGTCGGAAGCGGAGGTGTGGTTCCATGGTCATGCGCGCAGAGCGGATGCGGGCGCCCCATTTCATGGTTGTGTCGTAGGAGGCTTGGGGGCCGGAGAGGATTGTGTTTCTTCGATTATGGCTCCTAGCAAGAGGACGAGGCGGCCCTTGGCGAGGATGGAGGACATGGGGGTTGCTTCAGTGGGGGGGCGGGAAGGGGGGAGAGAGTGGAAGTGGTGCTGAATTCGTCGTCGAAGATGTTGCGCGGGAGTTGGGTGTCGCAGTCGCAGGACTTGATGATGTTGGGGAGGGTAAGTTGTGCGGAGAAGATGATGTCAATTTGGCGAACTATGAGCCACACACGGCGCCGCATCTCGGGAGACGCTGTTGAATTGTGAGGCGTCGCGGTGGTAGCCCACTGAGGGAGTTTGTTAGTTTATTTTTCTGTAGGGAGAGGTGGGAGGGAGGGGTACTTCTCATCGCAACCTGGACGACTGTGCCCACAACGAGATACAGCCCGAAATCGACATCAAGTCTACTACTGTACTCCGCATGTACATATAGAACAAGCGTCTCGACCGTATACACATTCGGCCTTGTATAATCACACGTCGCCAGCGACTGGACCGTTCTTCCCCGATACTCCGCCGCGAGCTCATTCGTCCGCCCCTTCCACTCCGGCGGCTCATCCCCAACCTTACTATAACTCAGCATTGCCAGCGTCAGCGTCGCGTAGAGCAGACCCACCCACGCCAAACTCTGGCTCTTCGGGTCCGCGAAAAACGCCTCGAGCCGCTCATAGAACGTCTTGTGGTGCAGCATTTGCACGAACGGATCGAGCGAGTTGAAGAAGCGCGCAACGACTCGACCTTTGCGCGAGGTGGCAGGCCCGCGCGCAGCTCTATCTCCGTCGTGGGTGCCAGCCCTTGGAATAGGAAATCCGGCATCTGGCTCGCGGCGCTCGTTTCATTGACTTTTTTGTACTGGTTATCGAGCTCGCGTTTATGGTTGGTGAAGTAATTGCGAACTTCCGCGATCTAGTAACTGTCAGCTCTATTTCATTCGACAGTAACCAGCGCGCCCTGCCGCAGAGCAAGAGCGCTGAAATAGGGGGAAAGAGGACTCACATCAGATAACACAAGGTGCCAATGAGAATCTCCAATATACATCGTCTTCTCCGTCTCCGCATCAACTTTCAATACCCCAAACGAATTTGCCACTGCATCCACATCACTCTCTCCCCCTTCCTCCCCCTCTCCGTACTCTTCCTCTTCCTTAATCTTCTCCATTTCCCCGTCGTCATCTCCCGTCCGAAGCGCTTGCCATACATCTCGTTCCGTTGCCCCTTTACTCGCCCCCCCCATCCATCATGCCCGAAGAGGGCGAGGGCGGCGATGGTGGGGTGTGGGCTGGGCTTTCCGGTTTTGCCGATGACGCAGAAGTGGCATTCGGGGTCGTAGGTGCCCGCCGTACTCGTACTGGTACTCCCACTCCTTCGCTCGCCACCGCCGCCACCGCTGCTGTCGGTCCTGGCAGTCGAGCCGTTCGTCATCAAGGACAGAACGAGCCCTTCGAGCCGGTCGATGCGATTCTGCATATCGTCGGGTGAAGAGCCAGGGGGAGCGGCTTTGCGACGCGGGCCTGGGGCCGCGTAGGCGCAACCGGCGGCGTCACCGCGGCGGATGCAGTTCTCACATGGGATTGAGCGGCTGCATTTTAGTCTGTTAGTGGGCGGATTAGTCTGTGCCCAAAATACCGTGGAAGTGGGGTGGGAGGGAGAGGGAAGGGCAGTGAGGAATGAGGAATGAGTGGTCAAAGAGGGGCCTGAGACAGCGGGGAGGGAGAAACGCACTTCTTATGCCTACACGGCGCACATGACAATGGGACCCTATTCCTAACAAAGGGGCACATACAGCGACAATGTCCCACTCATCTGAATCAGACACAATGTCCACATTGTCCGGACTATCCCCTGAAAGCAAACGTGAAAGGTCAATGTCTGAATTATGGATGTCTGAAATTATGTCCTTTTCATCTGGACGATCCCCATTTCCACCTGCATTGCCAGTACCAAAGACTCCAGAATCCACGTCCTCGACATCATCGCCTCTGGCATTCAGGACCCCGGCTTCCACGTCGTCATCATCTGTGTCTCCAGCTCTTCCTCACCACGCTATACTGCGTATCCGGAGAATTCCCCGTAGACGACCTCGAAGGGGGCGCCGGCGACATCTTCTGTTTGTGTGGTGACTTTCCCGTTCCGGTTGTAGAGATATGCGCACAGGTGGCGAAGCCTGTAACCTCCGTACAGTGAATGCGCTTTCTCTTTCTCGATCTCAAGAATTCGCGCGACAAATGCTGCTGCTATGGGAGGTGCGGGCCCAAGGCAGAGATGCGCTACGTTTCCTCTCCACTCTCTCATCGTGCGTCGCAGGGTCCAATACGTAACTTATGCGCCCGTCCTTCGATGCTGTACTGCTCAAGCCTATAACCTCGTAAACGTCGTAAATAGGATGGAAGATGCGAATATCGAGACGTAAGAGTAGTGAGAGAAAGAAAGATCGAAATCCCACTCTCCTCCAACAACACAGCCGTCGTCAACGTTAGCTCAGCACCCACCCAGCCCACCCAGCCCACCCAGCCCACCCAGCCCACCCAGCCCACCCAGCCCACCCAGCCCACTCAGCCCACTCAGCCCATCCTACAGCGGGCCGCCCCCTGCTCCAAACTCCCGAACTTAAACATCACCACTCGCAAACAAAACCCCCCACCGCCTCAGCCGTGGGGTGGGTGGTTGTTGTCATTGTCATGGTTGCGGTGGTGAAATTGATTGGGGATGGGGGGTCTGATGGGGGGTCTGATGGGGGGTCTGATGGGGGGTCTGATGGGGGGTCTGATGGGGGGTCTGATGGGTGGTCTGATGGGATGTCTGGGGGAGGGTGTTATGAGGAGAATGCGGGTTGAAAGCAGATGAGTAGGGAAGGGGGGGGTGGTATGAAGCAGATGCGGTTGCTTTATACTTGCAAATGGCTCTTGTTAACCGCACGATCCCCAACTGGATCGCTTAACCACTATATAACCCCCCCTAAGCGCCCACCCCCCCATAATCCAAACAGCCGCCTGGCCTCATGGTCAAGCGGTAAGGTATAGATGCAAAACGCACTCTGCGGGGAGGGTGTTTCGAATTGCCTAGACCTCGGGTTCGAGCCCCGTTCAGCTAGGAGCCTTTCTGGTCATTTGTATGGTTCGCCCTATACGTCATCAGCTGTTCCACGTTTCGTGGCTTAGTACGGTATGATCATTTGATGTGCTGAATCGAGGATTCCTTCATTAGTACTGTGCCTTTAATTTTTTTGGCATTTTATTTGGAGAAAGAAAGAGGGTTATTGCATATTCGCCTGCACTTCTTTGAGGCGTCTTGAGGTGGGGGGCGGATGGGGATGGTTTTGTATGGGGGGTGGGATGGATTCTTTATCACTTTTTCCGGAGAACGGGGAATTTCATCCGATAACAGCTTCGCACATCTGATCACATTTTAACGTCCCGGCAATAGATAACATCGTTGGTATAAAGACAAGGAAGGTGGTATCATTGCGCGCGACTCTCGTCTCCTACACTCTGTCTCCGTCGTTGGGTAATAGCAGCGCGGTATACTTCGAATCGCACAAAAAACAAAGATTAACAAAAAATGACCGAGGGGGTATCCGTCCATCCATCCATTCCGTACAACTCGCCGTCCATAAAACCAATTACCTCCCACCATTCGTCGTTTCATCCTCTCATTGCCCCCACCCACCATCCATCCCACCAGTCGCAGTCGTCGTCGAGGGGGGTGGCATCATCACCGTTAGGCAATAGAGCTCAAGTAGACCAAGCTAAACCACCCCCCTCGTTAGCACGTCCTCACATATGCTCAATAACATCCGCCCTAATAGCCTGAGAAAAATGCGGGTCCGCACCTCCAAAGTCGCTGGTCTCCACTCCCTCCACAATCCTCTTCCCCCCATTCGCCACCGACCCCTCCCCCACACTATCCGCCATCGCCATCTGGGATGCCACGTTCGCGGGACCAGGCAGGAAGATGACCTTGCTATTCGCGCTCTTGGCCATGGCTTGCATAGCCTCCAGGTATCTGATCTGCATTGCGGGGGCGGAGGACAGGATGTCAGCAGCCTGGCGCATGAGTTTCGCGGACTCGACTTCCGCGCGCGCAGCAATGACCTTCGACTCTCCAATACGCTTCGACTGCGCGGCCATCGACAGCGAATCCTGCAGCTCGTTGGAGAAAATCATATCCTTAATCAGCATACTCTCGACCTTGACGCCCCAGCCGGCGGCGACATCCTCGATGATCTCGCCGATGGACTGGGCGATCTCTTCGCGGCGCTCGATGACGTCCTGGAGGACGCGGGCGCCGACGACGTGGCGGAGGGTGGTTTGGGTGCGCTCGATGAGGGCTTGGCGGACGTTGGAGATGCCGAAGGCCGCTTTGTGGGGGGAGGTGATGTGGTAGTAGATTACGGAGGTGAGGTGGAGGGTTACGTTGTCTTTGGTCATGCAGACTTGTTTGGGGACCTCTGTGGGGGTGGGGTTAATAAGTCTGTATCCAAGAATCCTAGCATTGTAGGGTGGGAATCTGAAATCCCTTTGTTTGAAGGGAGGAGGGAGGAGGGAGGAGGGAGGAGGGAGGAGGGAGGAGGGAGGAGGGAGGAGGGAGGAGGGAGGAGGGAGGAGGGAGGAGGGAGGAGGGAGGAGGGAGGAGGAAGGGGGAGAGACGTACCGACAATCTGAATCTTAACATCCACCTGAATCAACCTCTCACTCAACGGATTAATCTTCACCAACCCCGGATCAACCGCGCGATAAAACCTCCCAAACTTCGTCACCAACCCCACATTCCCCTGCGACACCGGCTTATACGGGTTCGGGCAGATAATACAGCACGGAATCGCGCCGAACGTGCCAATGCAGTTCCCGAGCGTGTTGATCATCGACCCGTACCACCCGTGCGTGCCCTGCTCGCTCTCGCCGACCAGGTTCTGCGCATAGCTCGGTTGCAGGTCTTCGCGGCGGGGAGGCTCGACGTTGATCAGCCGGCCCTCGCTGCGGGCGCCGCCGATGTTGGCGGGGCGTTGGTAGCCGCCGTCGGTGCCGTTTTGGGAGGGCTTGGTGATGGAGGGGGGGGGGGGAGGGGGGCGAGGGGGGCGGCGGAGGAGGTGGTGTTGTCGGACATGTTTGTGGTGGTTGGATTCATCAAAGGGTGGGGGGGGTGGGGTATGAGATGAGGGTGAATTGGATGTGAAGTCGTTGATAACGCGAGTTTGTGAGATGAAACGACGGGGTATATAAAAGTCTCGATGAGGAGATGTATGTGATATGAGACGATACCTAGTGTTTGGGGGGTGGGGGGGGGAAGTGGCGATTTAAGTAGGGGTTTGGGGGGGGGAACTGGCGATTTAGTGGTTAGTGGTGTTGGTGTTGTGGTATGGTAGGTCAGTGACGGAGCCTAAGCAGCCAAGAAAGTGATTGGTGGTGTGGAGGGATAGGTGGGGAGCCGTGTGTGGTACTGTGTGGTAGAGTGTTTGTACGTACGTATGGTACTGGTCTGGTGTTTTGTGGTCAGAATGCAGAGTGTTTGTACGTACGTTACTCCGTAGAGAACCCTCGTAGAGACGCCTCATTCAACGCTCCCTCGGAGATATACCTCACCTCTCACCGTCCTCCTACAGTACAACATCCCCCGTCCGCTGCTGCGCCACCATCACCCACCACCCAACATCCTGACCTACCCATCACAAACGCCGTACCGCAGCACAGCCTGTCTATCGGAACTGGAGATGCCGGGCTGGGCTGCCGTGAGAGATGCCGGGCTGGGCTGCCGTGAGAGATGCCGGGCTGGGCTGCCGTGAGAGATGTTCACTGCGGTGGGTTGATCGGGTTATAAGCCACTGCACGGCTGAGAGGGTGGGTTTGTCGTAAGGCTGTCCCGAAGATGGAGGAGAGGGTTAAAAGGCTGTCCCGAAGATGAAGGAGAGGGTTGTAAGGCTGTATATATATATATTTCCCAAGGCTCTGTAGCTCTTTTTATATCGCATTATATATGGCAGATACATCTCTTTCACCTTCTACCCCCTCTTTCACCCACAACTCCCCCTCTCCCTCACCCATAACTCTTAAACCCAACCTTCCTCACCCCCCCTCCCCCCCTCCCCCCCCAAAGCACCTCTCCCATCGCCTCCCCCAACTCCCCCACCGCCTCCCCCGTAATCTGATAATGCACCACCACCCTCCCCCCTCCCACCTTAACCCCCCTCCTCCCCGCCGCTTGCACCCACTCCTCCTCCGCCACCCCCGCCGCCTCCAGATCGAGCCACACCATATTCGTCTCTACCTCTCTCAGCTTCCCCCCCTTGCTTTCCCACATCTCCCCTGCTCTCTTCGCCATCTCCCGACCCCTCTTCAACTTCCACCCTAGGAAGGTTTCTTCAACCCCAATCCGCGCAGCTGCTGCCACGACACCGCTCTGGCGGAGGCCGGCGATACTCTTGCGTACCCAGCGGGCGCGCCTAACCACCTCCTTACTGCCCACAAGCACACTCCCGATCGGCGCCCCAAGCCCCTTACTAAAACACAAACTCACCGTATCAAAACACCTCGTATACTCCTCCAACCCCCCCGCACCCGCCACAACAGCCTCCCACAATCTCGCACCATCAAGGTGCATCAATATCCCCTCCCCCCTCGCCCATTCCGCTATCCGTTTCGTCTCCTCCAGTGGCATTATGGAACCCTCCCAAGGTGTTTTCCAAGGAGATCACCCGCGTGGGACACGCATGCACATCATCCGACAACACCCAGTGTTCGGCACGGATACCAATATACCCGTGGTATCCGGGTATATCCTCGAGTATATACCTACCCGGCGATATTTTAGGAGTATCCGGCGTATCCGGATACTCTCGAGTATATATCCGGATACATGCCAAGAATAGCCAAGCGCAGCCAAGACCTCTTTTTTCCAACGTCGTGAGATCTATATTGATGCTGTATAAAGTGATAATTATCCTCAGAATGAGCGACTCGTCGTTATCAGATATACCAACGGAGCCTGAGGGCTATAATAGCTATGATACTCATAATGAGCCAAGTCTGCCAACGCTGCCGCCCCCTATTCATATTCAACAGGATATTAATCCTACACCGCTCCGGCTTCAGCCTCCAGGACGAATGCTGCCACCAACGTCGTCGGTACTATTTACGAAGCTATTATATTCGCGATTGATACTTGATAGTAACCCACCTACAGTCAAAGTAACTTGCTTACAACCAGGCTGCGGATATTCACCTACTCCACAGCTATTAAGTCAGACTTCAACCGGTAATCTTTGGAAGCACTATACGCAGAAGCATCCAACAGTAGCATATACAATGAAAGGTCATACAATTACGCCGTCAAGCCCATCAAGTAGTGCATCGTCATTTTTTGAGCCACGGCCGCGGAACCCGCAAGTCCAGCACGCTGCTGTCACAGGCCATTGGATTAATGAGAAGTGGCAGCACCGGTGCGTATTACTTGATGTAATCCACCTTCAAGAGCCAATTCATAGCGGCGAATATCTCGCTCAAGAGTTAGCTGCAGTAACAGATAGCTTCAAAATTACAGGTGCTATATTTACTTGTACGCGGGATAATGCCTCAGCGAATACTGTGATGCTTTCAGAATATGAGAAAATAGCCAGTAAGCAGCAGACGACTATTCAACAGCCATGGACGTTTACTGTAAAGGAAGGGGACGTTCGGTGTATTGCTCATATTATCAATCTTGCAGTTCAAGCTACTCTAAAGAGCTTGAAAGCTAGCCCGGATACAGAAACAGAAGCGTACTGGTGTCAGCAAGGGCTTGCCCGGATTCCGCAGCGTATTGATAACTCTTCTACTGAAGTATCAGCTACGCTTGAGAAGCTCCGAAGGCATATTTATGTCTTTCGAAACCGAAGAGCATGGAAGGATGCTTTACAGAAGCAGATACAAGCTGCAGGCCAGAAGCCACGCCAGCTATCACTTGATATGCCTATACGCTGGAATTCAACGTACTATATGCTTGAAACAGCTATAAAGCTTCGAATACCAATTACTGCAGTATGCTCTACGCAGAAGCTTGATATCAGTATGAAGGATATTGCGTTAACAAGCAACGATTGGGCTATTATCGAAGCTCTTGAACAATTATTCTTAGTATTCTTAAAGCCGTCAAGACGGCTACAAAGCGATTCATATCCAACGCTCAACTTTACAATTCCTCTTTACTTAAAGATGATAAATAAGGTCACATTACTACAAGAAGAGCTTGGTAGAAGCTCTACGATCGGAGTAGCTTGTGGAGCTGCGCTTCAAAAGCTTAATGAGTATTATACTCTTACAACGAATCGGCAATGTAAGCACTCAGCTGTTGCTACAATTTGCGACCCACGAATGAATCATACAGTATTTAAGAAGATATATCCAAATGCTATAGACGATACACGAAGATTACGAGCAAGAGCGCAGTTCGAAGACGTTTGTAGAACGTACCAAAAGCGAGAGTATCACCTTGATACGGAGCGAATTACTCACGAAACAGCTCTTGCAGAAGCAATAGGTGCTACTGCTACAATAGATCAAGAACCTGATTCTGACGAAGATCTATTTGCGTCAGAAGGCTTGGCTTTTCAAGAGCCAGAATGGAGGCGCTGGATGCTTGAACCACGGCCCGGTGAGCATACTGATATTCTCAAATATTGGTGCGCAAAGCAATACCAATATCCAGTTATTGCCCGTATTGCTCGTGATCATCTAGCTATTCCAGCAACATCTGCAGCATCGGAACGAGTATTTAGTAATGGTAGTGATATTATTACAAAGAAGCGGAATAGGTTATCACCGCCAACTATTAGATATTTACTTTGCTTACGGAATTGGGGTAAAATACGGGAGGCTGATAGCGACGGCGATGATGCTGACGATGAAGCACCTGAATAGGGACTCGCAGAAAGGGGGGGTCTCACGGAAAGGGGGCTCGCGGAAAGGGGTTTACTACTATTATCAAAAGCTTCATTCTTTTTTATATACGCTATTCTATTTTTATATACAATATTCAGCCTCATGTATCCGGATATATACCCTACCCTACCCGTCAGATCGTCGCCGGGTATATACCCTACCCGTGAGCTTCACGGATACTACCCGGATATGTATCCGCCGAACACTGACAACACCACGCGCGCCATTGCGCGGCAGCAGATATGTAGACGGCTTGGTGGTAAGCTCCTTACCCACCCTTACTACTTTCAGACATCCAGACACAATTGAAGTAACCAACACCTCCCAGCAGCAGCCGCAGACAGGGCGCTCACACGACCCCTCTCAACAACCACGCCCCTCCTCACCTCCCCCCCCACAACCTGGACCTCCCCCTACCCCTCCTCCACCGACTTCCGCTCCGACGTCGTCACCAGCCCCACCGCCTCCATGCTGCACGCCATCGGCAGCGCAACCCTCCTCGACGACGTCTTCTGTGAGGACCCCTCCACCATCTCCCTCGAGACCCGCGTCGCCTCCCTCACCGGCCACAATCCGCTCTCCTCGTCCTCTCCGGCACAATGGGTAACCAGCTCGCCCTGCGCGCTCTCCTGACCCAGCCGCCGCACGCGGTGTTGTGCGACGATCGCGCGCATATACTGGAGTGGGAGGCGGGGGGTGTGGCGAGTTTAAGCGGTGCGCTTGTGCAGGGGGTTGTGGCGGGGAATGGGAGATACTTGACGCTGGAGGATGTGCAGAGGAAAGCCGTTGTGGTCGCGAGAGCATTTCGCGGAATTGTTGGCGTTGATGGTTGAGGGAGGAGGGGCGACAAGGTGAGGCTGGCAGAATTGGCGGTCAGAGTGGGGGATGGTGGTGCGTTTGGTTTGGCGGCGGCGGGCGGGTTTGGACATTTTTTTCAGGTACGGAAGGGGGGGTAAGATAAGGTTATAAAAGAATCCAAGGTGGTAAAAAGGCGGGTTTTAACTTTGTTTTGCTTTTGGGAGTTTGTTCAGTCGCTGAACTCCATCGCTCCTTACAGAGGCATGCGGGGTGCCTATCTCGCTGCCTTGCCACATATTGAAGGGTAAATATGAGATGAACCTACCGTAAGTTGATCCCCGGCCTGCAGTCAGCCAGCAATATATAGCTCAGACAAATTCTCATATATGTGGGATGTAAGCTCCCGATATCAGATCGTATTTAGCCCTTGTGCTTCCTCGGCGATGTGGACCCAGTCCAAAACATTTAATCTGGGATGAATCCTGGTCAGCCCCGCCGGGGTTGTCCATTAATTCTATAAGATTTGGATTCTATATGAGGTACTACGATGTGGCTCATAGTGACCACAGACTTGCTGAGATAGAAGCCCAAATATGAGACGACGCGTGGTGACTGGACAAAGTTGTGTGGAAAGCTCGTCGATGAGGAATTTTTAATAACGTATCATAGTGCCGATGCTACTGCCAGTCAATGCTGCTAGAACTCACTGATACTGTCGCTTGATGCTGTTGTCGCTTGATGCTGCTGTCGCTTGCTGTTGCTGTCGAGCAATCTCCAGGTATAACAGAAAGTTAGCCCAGTTGCCATATAGCCATAGCATGCAGTCTGCGAGAGTGGTATGCGATGCTAATCCACAGGCTGGGACAGCTCTAGCCGGAGCGACGAATACTCGCACATCATCACAAATCAAAGGAACACGATGATCCGATATATATACGAAATATCTATTGGAACCGTAGATCTTTTCGAACCAAAAAATCCCTCACTGGTTCGTAGACCACAACTCTCATCCAAAACGCCATCTAGCCTATCAAACCACAAAAAAAAACTCTTATATCAAAATGATATCCTATCCAAACATGCACCCCCTCCTAAATCCCGATTTAAAACCCACCCCCCTCTACATCCCCTACACCCACCCCCTTCCCCGCCGCCTGCCCCCCCTGCCTCGACTGACTCAAATACTCCCTCGGCACCTTCGGCACCATCGGACTCTTCGGGACCTGTACCCCCCTCGCCTCCATGCGCACCTGCTCCCTCAACCTCTCGCTCTCCCTCGTCCTCCCCCCCGTCAACCGGCGCATCCCACTCCGCGTCTGCTGCGCGAGGGGTCTAATCATATTCTCCAAGAAGAAACCCCCCTCTCCCGGTGTCACGCGCCCTTCTTCCCCGTCGGAGAAGACTTCAGCTGCGTAATCGTCGTCGGACATGAAGTCTGGCTGGTGCGAGGATGGCGCGGAGGGTGAGGTAACGGAGCGAGAGTGCATGCTTCGCCGATTCGCGGACGCGGGCTGCTTGCTGAATGCACCGGGGTTCATAGAATTAAAGCTCGGCTGGCGACTCATGAGTCCGGGCCGCATATCCGCGAACCCGTTCTGGAAAGACGTCGTGCTCGAAGTGCGACCTAGTGACTGAGTTAAGATCGGCAAAGTCTGCTCATCGTACAGCTCAGCGCCTGACTCGAACTCCCCGCCAAACTCGGTGACGGTGCGCGAGGAGCGGCCGTCGCTGGGGGGGCTCTGGAGGCTGTCTTCGAAGAAGTCGTCGAGGCTGTCGAGTTTGTTGACGAGGTCGCCGATGTTGCCGTCCGTGCGGACCTCGTCGGACATCATGGTGTCGGCGCGGTCTTGGAGGGGAAAGTAGCCGTATTGGAACTCGTCGACGTGAAATTCAACGTCTGCGTTGGGGGCGGCTTCGTGGTCGGTGCTTTCGGCGTTCTGGCACATGTAGAAGGCTGCGTGGACGTTGGATCTTGTCGTCTCTGCGTGCTTGGCTGGCATGGGGATGGACCAGCCGGAGTCTTCGGGGATGCCGAATAGACTCTGAGTTCTCTCGTATTCCTTGCGGATTGCATTTGAAGATCTTCCACCCGCCATACTCATTCTGAGATGGTGGTCATCCATAGGCGTACCTGTCATTGTCATGATGCAATCAAGGACTTCCAGTGCCTGAGTGCAAAACTCAGTCTGCAGCAGTCTCAGCAATGGCGATATCATATCCGGACCATGCGAGGCGATCTCCGGCAGGCGCATATCGATCTCTGGTATGAACACGCAAAGTATGCGCATCGTATTAACCTTGAACCAAGGCAAGCTATTTGTCAAGAAGCCCATGAGAAATTTGAGCGCTTGGAAGCTCCATCTTGGGAAGAAATTGTCTCGGAGAGCAGCTATAAGCTGGGATAGGAAATCCTTGCTTGTTCGATACCTAGATGCGGCGAAGCTACCCAGAGTCACAGAAATCGTCCCGCAAGCTTGAGAATCCGCTACCTCTGCTAAAATCCTCGCGTTTGCTGCAATAGCGGGGTCGATGACGCCTTGGTCCATTGAGTGTAGGAAGCTCGGGAAATTTGCTAGGATCGCAAAGAGGAGTCTGTTGTCGTTTCCAACGAGGTCTCCGCTGGGAATTTGCACGAGCTTGTTGAGAGTCACCAACGTCTGATCCAGACACGAGGACGAGCGAAGGCCCTTGTAGACGAGCGGCTGGAGGCCCTCAAAGTTTCCGTCCCATTTTGGTGGTTGGCCTTCAGACAACATCATCACCACCATGGCGTCTGACAAGTCCAGCTTCAAAAGTAGCTCATCCAACATCCCCAGCGACTCCATAAATTCCAACTCATTAATAGTATCCAAGCACGCACACGCCGTCCAAAACAGCTGAGGGAACGTAATCAAATCCTTGGGCTCCAACTTGCTAATCAAAGTCTTCAGCGTCGTCAAAATCTCCATCGAGAACGTTTGAATCTCGGCATCCTCATCGGCAATTGTGTTTGACAACCGTGCAAGCATGTCAGCCAGCATAGTCTGGTCCAGCGACGTCAGGATACAGCGGAAGATCTGGAAAGAACGGCATGCAAGATGGCGGACTGGGCAGGAGGTCGCCCACGTCAATGATAATTTGCCCCATTGCTCCTTGATGCCGGGATATGTCACTTCAAACGTATTGACAACCTGCGTCGCGAAGTTTTCCATGGCAGTAGGCACCTTGTTGTCTCGGTCATCGACCTTCCCATTCGAATCTCCATACGCCCAAACGATCTTCGAATCGTGGCGTCTAATTGCTTCAATGAGATCCTCAATCTCTCTCTTGGACGGGACAGTCGTCTCGTCATCAATACGAGATATCACCAGCTCGTGGATAAGATGGATAAGCATCTCTCGCGCCTGGTCTTGGACAAGGGGCGTGTAATGGTCCCACAGCACAGTGACAACCTGCAGTAAGAGAGGCACACTCTCCGCCAGAAGATGAACAGGCGCTACCATAAGATCAACCAGCAGTATGAGCGATAGCTGCCCAAGCGAAAATCCGGCCTGTTTCGCTCCCACAGGGAGAGCCTCGGAGAGCTCAGCAACATATGGCATAGCGCTGGTATCCGGTGGTGTCGGGGGCGTTTCTCGTTTCTCGTTAGGGATCATAGCTTTCGGCGTAATCTGCATTAAGAGGAACTCCACAACCTTTACGCCCGCCAGAGTGCTTGATAAGAATACGACGATCTGCTTGGCGTACTCGACGAAATTTTGCTCGCGCCGGTCTAGACATAGGGATATGTTGAAATCGAGAATGATCTGTACATTGCCAGCGTGCGGGCCAGTTGCCAGAGCTTGCCAGAGAGCTTGCACCTCGTTATGTAATGCGCTGCTTGATTTGATCGTGATCTCGAATAAGTTTGCAAGTAGCACGTATGATTGAGCTGTAGGGCCGCCATTGGGGTCGACTTGTAGCTTGATGGTCTGAATCCAAGGCAATATCGTAGCGACCATGTTCTGTTGAGCCATAGGTTTGAGACTCTTGAAATAGACTGTAAATTCCGAAAATATCAGGAACGCAGAGTCGGAGTGGTGCTTTGCTAGGCGCATCGATATCTCGAATTGGGCACGCTTGTAGACTGCCTTTGTCTTGTCGGAAATACTGATATCGAAATCTTGGATCTTCGAGTTCCGGTTCTGGCGCTCCTCGAGGGCGCGGAGGACCGTGGTGGATTTCGAGCGGATCTCGCTCTGGTCGCTGCCCAACGTGTACAGACCGATGCCTAGCGTCCGCCAGAATGGCACAAGATAGTCTGGGTGTTCCAACAGTACTTGTGTGACCACTTCAAAGTAACTATGTAGAGCCTTTGGCACTTCAGCAGTGTAGCAGCGCGAGATGGAGTGCTCTAAAAGGTATGGATACTCTTTATTATGCGTAATAAGATTTTTCAGAGCCCGTCTACCGATGACGTGCATGCGATCGCTTTCAGTGCTGAAGATGGCGTCGATCCAGAGTAGCATTCTCCGTAGGTCGAATTGTAAGATGGCTTTGCTTTCTGTTGTGACACTAATCGGCCCACCACACAACGCAGCCATGGCACTGAGGGCTGCAGTCCTAAGACTATTCTTCTCCTTCTCCATAGCTGCGTTGATGGTCGGGCGCTCGCCGATTGTCTGCCGATCGATCATGCTCTGCTTCATGATTTCTTCTCTGTGCTGGATCTGCACCTGGTTGGGCGAGTAGCCACACCAATCCTCCATCAGTGCGAATGAGGATTTGCGCATTTCGAACGTCATCCAGCGTGATGGATCCTTTGTCCGATTAATACCCTCGAAGAGCTCTTCCATCAGACCGCAGTAGTGGCGTCGCAGTTTCTGGAATTCCCAATCCATCTGCACCTCGCCGTCCATCAAAAATAACTTGAGGTCCTTGGCATATACAACGAGGTTGTTCAGGATCCAGTCATCTGCGTATACCGATTCTTCTCTGAGGAAGTGTGCGGTTAGGCGATATACTTGAGTGACTTCCGTCCGCAGAGTGTCAGTCCGCCTGCTCCGTCGGGAGCTGCTGCCTGTCCTCTGGTGTATGCGAGCTCTGGCATCGTCATTGCATCGACTGACAGCGTCTTGAAGTTCTTCCAATAATGTCTTGTAAATATTGATATTGATAGAACCGAGCGCAACGACGACAGCCTCACGCACAGAAGGATGTCCGACTGACAACAGCGGCAGAATGTACTTAAATAAAGTGCGAGCAGAGTTGATCTTAGGCTGGACTTGCACCGTCTTGGAGCCGTTGCGCAAATGCTGTTGCATCTGAGTGGCTGGTTGCAGTTGCGGACCACCCATCTCGGTCAGGGTGGTGCAAGCGACAATGATGTATAGCTTCCACTGCTCTACCATGACTTCTGGTGGCGTGGTCGATGGTCGGAAGCCTATCCTCGACCCGCTGCCATCATACTGATGTTGGGGTGTTCG